CAGGCCGGGACCTAAGGGTGTGGCAAACGGATGGTCCCGAATCCCGACAAGCCTCGCGGTTACACCTCGACGTATGCGGCGGCGCGGGCGACCCGGCTTGCAGCACCTGCATGCTGACCAATTGAGGAACAACACTTCAGCGCGGTGCAGCAATGTCCTTCTGCCACCTACTCTCGAACAAGTCAGTCGATGGACTCTGGTGAGGAAGGGTCGCAGGACGACGCTCGTCACTGGGCAGCGTCTTCACGCGCCGCGCATCTGCCCAGCCAGTCCGTCCATCCTCACGTCGCACCTACGGGGTGATCGACTGCGAGCATGCGTCTCATGGCGGCAGCATGCAGGATGGGACAACTGACCCTGGAGAAGCGGTTGCGTGTCTCCTCTGCCCCCTGTCCAGCTTGGTGGCGGATATGCTAGGCACGCCAGGAGGCTTTCCTATTTCTGCGTTTTGCGTCATACTTGTTTCCTATTCCTGGCTTGGGATTTCTGGATCTGGAAGATGCCAACCTCCCTTGACGTGCCAGATCCAGCCCTGTGCATACACTAGTGGTTTTTGATGGATCGGAATCGGACGAGAACGTGTGGGGTGCGCCAGCAAGCCAGTTTGCTTAAAGCTCATGACGGCGGGTACGCTGAGCTTGCATTTGGGGTTCTCTGTGAGGAATGCTGGGCCGTTGGGTCTAAACGTTAGCTACTGGCGTCCGTCTGCGGCGCCGTGCCCGCTATTGATGGTCCGTCTCTCAATGTCAACGGCCGTGGTGTGGGTTTGGGCGCACTTATTAGGAGCTTACGGAAGCTGACTTGGTCCCTCGCATGCACCTTGCAGCTTGCGTCTTGCAGCTTGCAGTTTGCAGCTTGCAGATTGTAAGCTTGGGGCCTTGGCTGAAATCATGATTGATGGCCGTAATTCCGCACATCTAATGCACCAGACAATTGAACAAGACAGGGGCGGGTCGGGAAAACCCACCTGGTGCCAGCTAATGGGCAGGAAAAAGGAAATGCAGAACCAAACCAAAAGCAGTCAGCTGAAGTCAGGGTCTGCTTACCCGCCATCGCTTCAATGTAGTGTTGCTTTTTTTTCCAGCTTCTGCGTCTCTTCCCCCACCAGGAAAAATACTTGTCTCTTTCCTCCTCGGCTTTAGTTCAATTGTTCGGATTCTCAGCCGGCGATTTGACAACAGCTTGCGCAGGCTGCAAGTGCCGCCATTACCGCTCTAGTCGGGGTGGTGCAAATCCACGGCATGCCTCTCAGAATCCCAAACGCAAGATCGCGATCTCGTCAATCCCAGCAGTAGTAGCTCGGAGGACGGGTTCAATCCCGGAAATGCGCAGTGCCTGCCCTGGTGACAGACAGCCCTGGCTCAACGCTGGTGATGCTTTGGACTTCTGTGTTTACCCAATCTAAGATATTTGCTGGACGAGAGTAGCCTCTTGCTCGACCTCAACTCTAAAATCGTGGTCAAGCGCATCGCCGTATCGAAAAGGGGGATCGGCCATCCCGATAACCTTAATCCGCATCTTCCTTTCCATTTGCTGAACGTGTACTATCGGTACTTGAAGGTTCAGAGAATCCGGCACTATGGGTTTTTCTGGTGGCGGCAGAGGAGTATGGTGGGCATGAGATCGATGTTGATCTCCCTAGCTAGTAACGACCCTTTTCCCACCACGTTTGCGCCAGACACGCGCTTGGGCGGTCTATTTTGTCGATCCATGCAAGCTGAGTCGGGTAGTGTAAGCCCATATCAGGATACCTGGGCGTTTGTGAACGGAGCGCGAGGAACAAGAGGTGAGAAAGGAGATCTCATGCTATGGGCCTGTCTTTTGTTTGCCTGGATCAAGTTTGGAACCACTCGTATGTCAACCGTAGTCTTGCGACTGATGAGCTTCGTATGTGCCTTGACAGCATTTTCTCCCTTCCGCCCATGCAAACGGTCCTTAGCTACACCCGCATTCCTCAGCCTCTTTTTACAGGCAGCTCTTAATCCCACCCCCTCTCGGGCCTGGGTCACCCAGCTGCCGCTAATATCTAGGGAGAGAGACATAATGACATGTGGGCACCTACACCTCAGAATCCAGCTGCCCTATTTCGCCGAGACAAACTGAGGGTTTGCCCAAATCGGTGCAGACTTGGGCGTTCTTGATGGTCTGTTCCCAAACTAGCATGGTGTCGTTGTCTGCCCAGAGCCACCAGCATCAGTAATAACGTTTGCACATTCCAGTCAAGAGGATGCGAGTGAACGCCAAAGAACGAATTGAAAAAAAAAGGCACCGAGACACTGCCGTGAAACCAGATCTTAGTTTATACTTGCATAGCTCGGAAGACCAGAGAGTATTGCCGGTGGAGCACTCCTCCTCGAGCTGCCCCTTTGCGAGAGGATCAGATGACGTTACTGTGGAATGCTCGGGATTCAATCTGAAACGAGTAGGTCTTGGACCTTGGGCGCCGTCTGGTATGTGTGATTTTATGTGCACATTGTGTTGCAATCTTGTGATATTATCAACAAGCGGGAAGTTCTGGGGATCAAAGACCATAGGCGTCGGGACAAAATGATATTGTGAGGTGCTTACAGCTGTAGGCATCAAGCATGCCAGGTTCCAGCTCTAGTAAGGTCATCGTCTTGAGATTTGTAATATCTGTGTCGATGTTGGGGGTTCCGATTTCTGATTCCTCTATTCGCCAGATGGACCTATTTTGTCACTCTATCGAAAACTTGAGGTATACGCTTCGTGATCTCAACTTCAACTCTTCATGATATATACTTCACACCCTGGACACTCAATCTGCCTTCCCCTCTTCTGAATATTCCTTTCATTTCCTTTTGATTCTATCGTACGTATTTCGACCAATAGCAAAACCGCCGTATAGTGAAACGGCCTTGGAAGAGGCTCAGTAGTAAAAGTCCCCGAGCTGAGGGTGTGAACAATGGCAAATCCAAAGATGGCGGCATTAATGCTCAACACAATGAAAATTCCTTCAACGTCACCTTCAGCCGCTAAAAGGATGCCTATCACACGGCCATGCTGATCACACGGTAAGGAAGCGGCTTGGCCAGTCCCTCAACAGCTATTCCTAAGGTTTATGTGCATTGACAACCAACATCTTCTCGCCCCGTCACGAAGGCTACATCCGGCCCACAGTTCACTCATTCTTCTCCTAGTGGCAAGGCACACTGACATAATCTTGAACAGCCACGGTTGGTTATGCCTCAAGCTATACCAGGATAAGAATCATAACATAAGTAGTTATTCTGGCCACTATGGGGCGAAGAGACACCGTGGTGACTACGCCACATCGCAATCCAGGGGATTGAACCCTCTATCAGCGTCGTCCTTGCGTGACTGGAGGCCGCTTACCAGGGATAGCATGAAAGCCTGGCCTCCAGAAACTAAGCAGTTTCCTGCCGACTGTTCATTCAAAGGCTGCCTCCCGAGCCTGGAGGCAGATATAGATTATATACTACGTCTATTCCTATCAGCCAGTTGCCTCATTCCTTTCTCATTATCTTCATTCTCTCGAAATAATTCCTATGGATTTTCAACTCAAGACCAGAGCATTACGTGTCAGCCGTATCTCCTGATCTTGCCCTCCACCCAGTTTCAACCGCTTTACTAGCCTTCCTCTCGAACTAGGTGCACAAATCCTTAGGTTTCTTCCAGACTTTCCCACGATATTATCTGCTGTCTTAGTCCACTCTTCGAGTTTCTTTGCATTTAAAGAATTTAAACGTCAAATACTACTTCCAGTCTTCCGCAGACAATACAATAAAGTCAAGAGACACAAACTTAATCAAGTCTTCTAGGAGCTTATATTTACTATCCGCTATAGCTTTATAGAGAGGGATATAATCCAGGAACTTTTCACCCTGGGTTAGTAGGTGTTCCGAAATAGACGCCTAGAGGAACTTCTTCTTCCTCTCGGAAGGGCACTGGCTTGGTCTTACTGTCTCGATGGCCTATATGGTTGCGAGGAAGAGGCCGTTACGTTTCTGACGGCATTGGTGCGCGGAAATTCGCCATTCGATCACAAACCATGGCCAGAGCTGAAAGATGGAATGTCTCGCGAAGACTACCAACGAATATGGCAGGTTGCATTGGTCCCAGTATCAAAGCTGCTGCGAGACTTGACCAGATCGGCTTTAATCAATCACAAAGACATACCCCTCTGGAGTACCGCATTTGATGAGAGAACATATGTGGCGGAGGTCCAAGGAGAGGTTATTCGGGTATTCCCGATGGAAGAGAGGTCCGACAGTACACTCCAAAGGCTGATGCCTCAAGGGATACACTTCAACAACGGCAGAGCGCCTATTGGACTGGTCTGCCCGGGTCGGATACCGTTCATATATTCCCCAGTCCAGTGGGAAGCATCACAGCGGAGGGCTAGCAAAGGCATAGTGAAAGCCAAACATCGCCGGGCTCGACACAGAGCCCAGAACACTAAGGCCCAATGGTGGCAACTATATGTGTTACCAAGAGACCCTCGAAGCCTAAACACACTTCAGACAATGGCAGTCGATCTAGTAAATGGTTTGGCTGCAGTTTTATACAAGAACAAAAACCAGCACTCTACCCACCCAATGTTTTCCTCTGTGACAGCACGATGCTCTATACATGCGAGCATCTGTAGCTGAGAGTAAGTTACTCATTATTAAGCAGATCAACTTATTTTAAAAATTTCGGCAGATGCTCTAAAGGCGGCCTCCTGGAGGGAAGCATGGCAGACTTGGGGGGGGGGGGGGGGGGGAAACCAAATTGGAAGATATGGAGCCCGTCCTTAGCAAGGGATCTATTACCCTGGATTGAGACCCATAGACTCAGGCGTAGGTGATATGGTTAGCGTATGAGCCAAGGATCAAAGGACAAACTCCAAGGCGTAGCGAGAGCTGCCATCTGAGCGCAAGGCGAGTCCATCCACGTCGCCAACTACGCCTTCGGTCGGCGAGAATGCCTATCGCGACTATGCGACCATGCAGACCCCATCACGAAGGAAAACGCTAATAATGTTAGTATCTTAGAGCCCATGATTTGCCGCTAACATACTAATGCGGAAAGGAACTCTTTGTGGTGTGGTGCGTTTACCCATCGGAGGAGAACGAGACGCCAGCGTTCGTAGAAACTGGCCATTGGTTGTATTTTCACCAGATTGAGCGGGATCTTTTGCTGAAACATATGATGGATGCTACTTCGGAAAAGAGCATCGTCGTAGGCAAGTACCTCACTCCTTCAGGGCGGGCATGGCTGACTGTTGTAGCTTGTGGGGATCCCGACTTCTCCGCTAATGTCCGCAAAGCCGTCATTGACTGTAGAGCAACTCGATCTATTGACTTCATTGAAGTACAATACCGGCCGAGCGTTAGGCCATCTCGTCCTACCTCAGGTTAAAAGGAGGAACACGCTCACCACCGATGAGTTAGACTTAGAGAAGGGAGAGGGCAAGTTGCGTAGAACTACACAGGAAGTAGAAGGGTGGGAAGCAGAAAGGTGGGAAGCAATCTCGCTCGCTTCGGCCAGCACGCTTGTAGAAGAGACCGTGAAGAAAGGGGAGGAGGAAAAGAAGACAAAGTCGGATGAAACAGAACAGCTTACTCAACCAGAATACACTACATATTCAGAATCGACTCGGAGTGTCCGCACAGAATGACTGACAGGCCGGCAAAGTGAATCCCGGGTCTCCGATCTCGGTAACCGGGTTACTTAAGGTAGTGTCGCTTCTGGTGTGTCGCGGAGCGGCGGCCTGGACCAGGGATCCGGGATACAGGTTGCTCGGTCCCCTTCTCCTATTACCCGTCGCACGCAACCGTCAACAAGCTCGTGCGCGCCGTCGGGTCCGAGCTCGCTGCCTGCCTGACGGGCGAGAAGGACGCCCTGCAGATCCTGTTTGGCGACCCGGCCACCAGGGCGGTGCTCGAGGACGCGTACGACAGGTGGCCGCTCTTCCGCGCGCCAGGATGGGTGCTGGGAGACTTCGTGGAGCGGGCGCTGACAGCAAAATCCTCCGCTTCCACTGGCGACGGAAGCGGCGGCAAGTTCCGCATCCTCGAGGTCGGTGCCGGCACGGGCGGCACGACAAAGGTCGTGGTCGAGCGGCTGCGCAGCCTGGGCGTCCCCTTCGAGTACGTCTTCACCGACATCTCGACCTCCCTCGTCGGCACCGCGGCCAAGCGGGCCGAGTTCGCGGACCTCGCCGGCGACGGCAAGATGTGCTTCAAGGTCCTGGACATTGAGCAGCCGCCCAAGCCCGAGGACGTGGCGGCGTACTACATCGTGCTGGCCTCGAACGCGATCCACGCGACGCGCGACTTGGGCACGTCGCTGGGGCACCTACGGGCCATGCTGAGCGACGACGGCGCCCTGACCCTTCTCGAGATCACCCGCAACATGTCCTGGCTCGACGTCGTGTTCGGCCCGCTCGAGGGCTAGTGGCGCTTCGAGGACGGGCGCTCGCACGCCACCGTCGACGAGCGACACTGGAAGCGCGTCATGAAGGCCGCCGGCTTCGCGGCCGTCGAGTGAAGCGACGGCGAGTCGCCCAAGTCCAAGACGGTGCGGCTGATCGGAGCGTTCCCGACGGCCCCCAAGACGACCACACCCGGCGGAGGCGCCGCCAGGAAGCCCGAGGGATACGGCGCCAAGGCGGTCATGGAGACGGTGGTGTACAAGAAGGTGGGCGACCTGGAAATCCACGCCGACGTGTACTGGCCCGTCGCCGACGGCCCGCCGGACCCCAAGCCCCGGCCCGCCGGACCCCAAGCCCCGGCCCGTCGCCCTCATGGTCCACGGCGGCAGCCACATCATCTACTCGCGCAAGGACGTCCGCCCCGCGCAGACGCGCCTCCTGCTCGTGCGCGGCTTCCTCCGCGTCAGTGTCGACTACCGCCTCTGCCCGGAGCTGACGCTGGCCGACGGGCCCATGGCCGACGTGTGCTCGGCGCTGGCGTGGGCGCGCGACATCCTCCCGGGCCTCGACTCGCCCGCCCGCCCCGCCGGCGGCGTCGTCGACGGCGCCCGCGTCGCTGCCATCGGCTGGTCCTCGGGCGGCATGCTGGCCCTGTCGCTGGCCTGGACGGCGCCCGCGCGCGGCCTGCCGCCCCCCACCGCCGTCCTGGGCTTCTACTGCCCGACCGACTACACGGACAAGTGGTAGACGACGCCCATCGACATACCCGGCGCCGCGAGCTCGGGCCTCGCCTTCGACGTGCTCGAGGGCGTCCACGATGCGCCCCTGACCAGCTACGGCGTCATCGGCGCCCACGCGGCCCTTCCGGACCCGCGCATCCTCGAGGACGCGCGCTGCCGAATGATCTTGCACATGAACTGGAAGGCCCAGACCCTGCCCGTCATCGTCGACGGCCTCCCGACCCGTGCCGCCGCCGACCGCGACGACGAGGCCGCCGGGGCCGGCTGCGTCACCGACTGGAACGCGGCGCCGCAACCCGACCTCGACCGCGTCCGCGCCGTTAGTCCGCGCGCCCACGTCGAGGCCGGCACGTACGCGCCCGTGCCCACGTTCCTGGTCCACGGCACCGGCGACGACCTAATCCCGTGGCTCCAAAGCCAGGACACGTACGACGTGCTCGTAGCCCGCGGCGTGCCGGCCGGCCTCGCGCTCGTCGATGGCGCTGCCCATATTTGCGACCGGAGCAGTGATCCGGAGTCCGACGGCTGGAAAGCTGTGTTAAAAGCTTACACTTTCCTTAGCAAATATGTACTTTAGTAGTTTTAGTAGTAGTTTTAGTAGCTCAGCCTCACGCTATTTTACTTGGGCTCTGTATTCGAATATATAAAAGTTTATAAAAGTTGGATAATAAGTAGAATATTACAGCAGCGGATTTATTTACAGTGTTCAAAGAGAAGCTTGTTGCCGCGTGGATCAACCTAGAGGCTCATTTTGGGAATATAGCTACCTCCCGCATGAAAGGGATTCACACACTCTTAAAGTCGTACCTCCAGAGGTCGACGTTCGACCTCTTTAAAGCATAGAAGGCAATTCGGCTTGCGTTGAACAACCAGCTCTCCGAGTTGCGGTCTAATCAAGCAAAGCAGCAGATCCATACACCCCTTAAGCTCGATAATGCAATATATAGGGCCGTACAAGGCTGGGTCTCCCACAAAGCGCTACGGAAGGTCGAAAAGCAGCAGCAATTACAGTGGAAGGACCCCCCTCCGTCGCCTACTTGTACGGGTACCTTTACACACGTCCATAAGGTAGGCTCCCATATATACACGTACTAACTTCACGCCAAGGTACGCCTCTTCTTCTTGAAGACTTTCATTCGCACTAGCACCTGATACATCACAGGGCTCCATTTCGCCTTCTAGAGCCCCAACATATCGAGCCACACACACAAAGCACACGCATACTTCCAGCATCAAGTACAAAGCGTGAGCCTAGTGCATTTGAGGTCGTCGCAACGAAGCAGGCGACGCGGGCTAAACGGCCAAGTCAATATACAGCATGCGGTGGAATCGGCCATACAAGAACCTCTCGGGCATGCCCAAAGCGTTACTCGGATATTGTACAAATAGATTAATGTGTAGAGCCTTTGGTGTTATCACGGACTTGGTCCTCAGAGGCCCACGTTGGTGGTGCGGTGCAGCACCGCGTTAGATGCATTTTTGCTGATTTTGGGTTTAAGTGGGCGCCCCCACAGCAGCTTTACTTATGCCATCTTTCAACCGGATGTGCACGTGACGGCAGGAAATGGATGGTCAGTGCAGCACAGGACCAGCCGGGCGGGCAACAGTCACAACAGACAGCAATTACAAGTACGTTCGCCGGTCAACACCGACCACAGTCCACCCCTGATCTGGCGCCACGAACCCCGGCCAGTGGCGCGCCTGTGGATCGTCAGAACTTCGTCGGAGCTAGGCCGAGTTCTGCTGCACTCACGAGTCGGCCGCGACGACGAGCAAGCACCTCACCCAATTGACGCCAAAGCGCAACCCCTATGCGCTCGACCTTGTCCTCTGATGCTGCCCTGATGAGCTGAAAAGACCGCACAGAGACATGCCGGGCCCGAGATCCCTACTGCCGGGCGTCGGCGCCGTCGACAATGTGTGCTGGAGGTGCTGCCGGCGCCGCCTGCCAGCCGCAGGGCAAAGATTTCTGGCCCCTCTCTCGACCACCGCACGCCCGAGAGCTGCGGCCGCGGCTGCTTCTGCGGCCGGCACGGGCAGCGCGCCCGCCCAATCGCCCCGTGTCAAGGGCGCCTACTTTCTGTCAAACACGCTGCTGGAGAGGTTTGGCGGCATCCAGTTCCGGACAAGGGCGCGGAACATGGACCCGGCTGCGGTGACGTCGCCTCCAGCAGCAACCTCAACCAAGCTCGGCTCAACCTCATCACAAGCTACCTCGGACGCGTCCTCCCCCGCGACTGCCGCCGCTACCGCTACCGCCGAACCATTACCACATCGCCGGAGACAGGCCGCCAAGCAGAACGCCGAGGCCTCTGCTCTTTCCGCCGCCTTAGCCTCCGGCAAGCCAACACCCTCCTCACCTGACGGTGCCCAACTACCTCCCGATGCGTCCTCGATCCTCGCCCAGGCCGCGGCCAAGCAGCCGGCCGACTCGATCCGGCGCAAGCTCTCGGCGCTGCTCTCGCTATCCAAACCGCGTCTAACCTTCGTCGTCGTCCTCTCGGCCATGGCCCCCTACGCCATATACCCGGTCCCGGCCTTCCTCTCACCAGGCGCCGCCGAGGCGACCCTGCCCTCCCTCTCGCCGCTCACGCTGCTCTTCCTGACCACTGGCACGACGCTCTGTTCCGCCGCCGCAAACGCCCTCAACATGCTCTACGAGCCGCGCACCGACGCCCTCATGAGCCGCACGCGCGCGCGCCCCCTGGTCCGCGGCCTCGTGTCGACGCGCGCCGCGCTCCTCTTCGCCGCCGGCTGCGCCCTCGCCGGCGTCGCCGCCCTGCACCTGGGCGTCAACCCGACGGTGGCGTTCCTCGGCGCGGCAAACATCGTCCTCTACGCGGGCGTCTACACGCCCATGAAGCGCCTCTCCGCCGCGAACACGTGGGTCGGCGCCGTCGTCGGCGGCATCCCGCCGCTCATGGGCTGGGCCGCCGCGGCGGGCGAGTCGGCCGTCGGCGACGGTTCGTGGCGCGAGCTCCTGCTGGCGCCCGACGGCTCGAGCGTGGGCGGCTGGCTCTTCGCCGCCCTCCTCTTCGCCTGGCAGTTCCCCCACTTTATGGCGCTGTCGTGGGGCGTGCGCGACGAGTACCGCGCCGCGGGCCTGCGCATGCTCGCCTGGACTAACCCGGCCCGTAACGCCCGCGTTGCCCTGCGCTACGGCCTGCTCGGCTTCCTCCCTGTCTGCGTCGGCCTGTGCGCCGCTGGCGTCACCGAGTGGTCCTTTGCCGTCACCTCGCTGCCCGTAAACGCCTGGATGGCCCGCGAGTCGGTCCGTTTCTGGCGCCAGGGCGGCGCCGGCGGCAGCGCCAGGGGCCTTTTCTGGGTCAGCATCTGGTACGTGCCCGTCGTCTTGGTCCTGGCCCTGCTGCAGAAGAAGGGCATGTGGGGCCGCGTCTGGCGGAGCGTCACAGGCGAGCCCGACGACCAGGAGGAGGAGGAGGAGGACGACGACGCCTGGGAGTACGTCGACGACAACACCGAGGGCGCGGAAAAGCAAGCCTAGAGCGCGGGGCTCGCATACATGATGCCTATGCCGCTCCCCCGCGCTCGCACCAGCCGGCGAATATCGCACTTTTCACAGACTCGAAATTAGTCACCCACGGCGCGTCATCTTGAGTCTGCTCCCAATAGAGTATTGCGCCTCGATCATGCGCGAGAACGGCCGCATGGGGGACGCGCCCGTATCGAAACCTCCGAGGGGGGGCTCGAGGCTGCCTCACAGCCGTCCTAGTAGCGCGGGCGCTTGCAGGGGGGGAAAGGAGAAAGGGACGAGGCTGGCGCGTGGATAGCGCCTCCTCGTGGGGTCCGGCGCCTACGACGACACCCATGCCTGCAAATATGCAGGGCAGCAGCGTCACATCCAGACCCCGGGCTGGGCTCCATGCTCGTTGGGTCTATTGCGACGTGGGAGGCTTAACTTTGTATGATCCTTTTCCCTTTGTTGGATGCGTTTGTAGAGCACACATCGAGGCTGGCTTGTGTAGCCAGAGAGGCCGGGAGCCCGCCTTTGTTTTGTTGCCGTGTAAGTATAGGCAGAGGATTTGCACGCTATCGAGCGCTAGACAGTCAAAAGGGCCGTCGGCCGGACGGCGCGACCACTCATGAATCATCTCTCAGCGTTATCAGTGCCGTGTCCCAAAATAACTTGTCGTGCCATATAGTCAGTCAGGCACGTGCAGCCGTGACGATTTCGATGCTTTATTTAGATGTGCTCGATCCTACTCTGAAGGATCAGGGTCCGGCTGCTATCCACATGCTCTCGATAGCCCGCTGCGGTACACAGCACCGCATCGTGACAGCCACGATATTCTTCTGTCTGTATGGATGATTCGAGCATAGTCATGACCCAGGTACGAGGAGAAAGAGAACATCCTACGCCAGTCCTTCTCGGCTGCTAGTCGTCCCGCCCTGAAAGTACCAATGTTCCAAATGCACAAATGGCTCTTTTGATGGTACAGAGAAACCGTGTTCGCCCTGCAGATGACCAAGAAACGGCGTAATTGGCACCAGGGAAAATAGAAGTGCAATACGCCCCCTCTGAAAAACGCCATGTTCGCCTTTCCTCGGGTGTTTTTGCTAGTTTATTCCCCGATATCCACCCAGAAAAACAAAAGCTTGAGAAGCAGAAAAAACCGGTACACGAATCCCAATTAGTAACACCAAAGCAACATTGGAAAAACAAATAGGAAAGGACAGGCGAACGAGGGTGTGTGCTGAAAATAGTAGCAGTCAAGATTGATTAGAGAACGGCTTGGCCCCCTGGAAGGACCGCAATATGGTAAATAGGAGACAATCATTAGGGTCATGAGTGAGAAAAGGCCAAAGGTCTCTGTGGGAGGAACAGAAAGTAAGGCGAAGAGATGGTGCGCCGTATGATGCAAGCAGCTGGAACGCAAGCCACGCTGTGGAAGAGGAAGAAATCCCACGAGATGTAACAGACGAGGAGAATAGCGAGAGAACGAATCTGCCAGTATGCAAAGAGGCAGGTAGAAAGTGCGCCGACAACGATGGTGGCAAGAAAACCGGAGATGCGACAGGATGCTGAGGCGCAGGAGCAATTTAATCTTCTGTAATAGCGGGCTTACACCCAAGTTGTTTATTGCGGCACCTTAGCAATACGCCGACATTGCTGTAGTCGGCATGTCAAATTTTAGCCCATGAATGACAGAAACAGCAATGTTGCCTGAAATTCCCATGTGTGACACAGTTTGCCCACCATATCATCTTTGAGGCAGGGTGCAGAGACAGAAGTGCATAAAGTTTGGTTCCTTAACCTTTCTTTCAAAGCCTCATTTGCTATGCAATTCTGTAACTCTGTAATGCTTCCCAAAGAAGAAAAGTCTTTGAGAAATAAAATCACTGTTGTTTGCGTTCCTCGGTCTGTTCGTGAGCAGTTGTAATATTGGATGGGTAAGAATCTCAATGTTTCCTGTGCTCCCGGCATTTTGTCCTTCTACAACCACAACCCGGCCTTCAACAACAGTAGCGAACAGAATAGTCCGTATCATGCATAGATTAGGCATCATGTAACTCTGACTGAAACCTTGTGCCGTTGTTGCCATCGATTTCTATAGCAGTCTCTGAACCATTAAGAAAGTACCATCGAGTTGACGCGAACAACACAACAAATCTGGATGACGAGGCAGTTCCCCCCGCGTTCATATTTGGTTTACTTCATGTCCTGCAGTGTATCAAACTTGCTGAAAAGATTACAGACATGTGTTGCTCGATTTTGACCAGATAACTCTGTTTGCAAAATGACCGTCTTTGGTTGGAACCTGGAAGAGAGCACTTTGCTGGATGTCTTTCCTGGAAGGCCCAGTCTGGCAACCCCGTAAGTAAAAGTCGAAGAGGGAACTAAATATTCCAGAAGATGAGCTTAGAAAAGAAGTCTTGCTGTTTCGGCAAGAATTGCGTAGGATCATGAGAAATAATTGAGGCTTATGTCAGCAACAAGCAGCATCAGTGGTTTAGTGGTAAAATCCTACTTTGCCATAGTAGGGCCCCGTGTTCGATTCACGGCTGATGCAAGCGGACTAACTACCTCTTCCAATTTCTTATTTTTGCTCTGCAATACAGATGTTTATTGAACCGGCGTCCCGCTATTTTAAAGCTGCGCCGCTATCTGAGATCCTCGCGTGCTCGGAATTGCAGCCAGGGTCCTTGCTTTTGCGCGGTGATGTGCTCGAACAGCTGATACTCATGATCTCTGTGTCGACCACTGGCGGCCCCTGGATTTCCAGCTCCCACGGGCGCGAGGTCCTTCTGGGCTGCGACCTGGAAGTCACCTAGCCAGAGAAGACGTGCCAGGGTCAACATCGTCTCTGCTCGCGCCAGCCCCGCCCCAAGGCAATTCCGAGCCCCGATGGAGAAGGGATTGAATGCTGCGCGAGCCTTCTCGATGCTGCCCGCCCCGTCATCTTCGAGCCACCGCTCGGGATGATAGGAGAAGGGATTCGTATACTGTCTCTCGCTATGTTGAATGGCGTAGATGGACATGCCAACGTCGACGCCATGCGGCACGTGGACCCCGTCGACCACCAAGCCCGCCGGTGCGACCACCTCGCGCCACAGACATGCTGGCGCGGGAGGCGACATACGCAACGCCTCATCGATGCAGGCGTGAAGGTATCTGCAAGATACCAGTTGGGCTCCCATCTTGACCTTATCGTACGAGCCAAATGTCGAGCGCACCTCCTTCACAACCTTCCTGTACGCATCGGGATGTCGCGAGAGGTAGAAGAGCACAGCCGAGATTGCAGTCGATGTGGTATCCCCTCCGGCCACAATGAGCGTTGTACTCTCGGCCGCAAGCTCGTTGGTCGTAAAGCTCTCGCGAGTCTCTGGGTCTTTGGCGTCGGCAAGGTGGGCAAAGAGATCGCTGTTGCCGAGCGAGTCGGCGGATGATGTCTTTTGCAGCCGCTCTGCCACGACGCGCGTGACAAACTTGACGAATCGATTGCGCGCTTTGATGCTGTCGCGGAAGATGTATCTGTCCAGCCGGAGCATGGTCAGCTCTGGAAGGTAGATGAGGACGCCCATGCGCAAGTTGGAGCGGTCGATGCAGTCCACGACGTAACGGAAGCGCTCGGCGCCGAGCAGGTTGTATTTGGCGTCGAAGACAATGTCGGACATGAGGTCAAACGTCAGGTAGTTTGTCCACTTTGACATGTCGAGCGGCGGCGACCAACTGTCTCTCGGCTCTTTCTCCACGGTTTGGCCCTCGCCAATGGTTTCTTTGTCGTACATGATATCACAGAATTGGTCAATGTGCCGCAAAATCCGACCTTCGTATCGACGCAGAGACTGATCCGAGAGACCCTGGCCCAGTATGCGCCGGCGGCGAGCGTGGTCCTTTCCGCCCCTCATCGTGACGGTACTTGGCGCCCGGTGTACCGCCACAGCGTACATCCTGCTTTTCAGCACTTTGCCGTTCGAACTGTGGCCATAGATATCCCTGAGCGAGCCGGCCGTGTTGAAGAGGAGCGAGTTTGGCTTGTACCGTACGACGTCGCCGTATCGCTCGTGGCACCTCCACATGTCCAGATGCAAATCGCCTCGCCAGGCATGGTAGGTTGCATGCAGGCACGAGACTCTCGCGAGCGGCGGGCCAGGGTACTTTGCGAGCGGGTGGAAGTATAGCTTGTATATGATGTCGGCTATGAGGGCTGCGACGGAGCTGCTGAGAGCGAGGAGGAGGATTGCCTCGGCGAGCGAGTAGGACATTGTAAGCGTTTTGCCGCTGTTTGTATCAAGATAGACTCAGTCTAGTGAGATCAATAACTTTGGTGTGCTTTCTTCACTTCCTGAAATCGGGTGAGAGACCAAGCAGATGAAAAGACACATGGAGCGGGCGTCGACGTCTTGAGCAAACCCCGTATTCTCCTATGATACTATGATTAGTATCCGGAACACCTTCCCAACAGGGCCTCCCATGCCAGCGGTGAAATCGAAATTTGACAGGATTTGAGATAATGTGTCATACCAAGAAATGTGAAGCGACATTCGACCTGGGAATCCGTCGCTATGGTATTGTTGGGGGCCAAGATGTGGAACAAAGACACCATGCTGACGGCAGATCAGCAAACAGAACTAACGGGAAAACCGTGAACGAAAACTCCGTTCTTCCTTACGTGGCACGGTGTTTTGTTCAGGATCAGGAGTCGATGCCGACAGACTTGAACTTCTCATCTGCGGATGTGACTACTGTTACAGCTTCTTCACATCTAATTTTCCGATCATCTTGATTACACTTCCTGCTCTTTCTCAACCTTCTCAAGCACTCACTTTGTGACAACCTTTAGAGTGGCTAGATTCACTCTTGACCGTAAGGGAAATGACCATCTTTTCTCATTGCTAGGTATGTGAGGTTGAATCTCATATAGATGTTGGTGCAAAACCGATGCGAGAAGCGAGTCGGAAGAAATCAAGACTTGCTTTTGCTATCCAGTCCAGAGTTTCCGAATGGCGCGTACTCGGCAGCTGGTTCAGTGGAAAGCAAGCAGCACAGCCCAGTGGGCTTGCTGACTCCACTTCCCAGGCTCGCAAGGTAGAATACGCAGTCAAATTCACGTTGAGCGACTCTTTCAAGAGATCGGGGAACCAGACGATGGTTTCCTCATTTGAGCCCAATCACGAGGTTACAGACACAATACAGAGTGTGGCAAAACCTACCTCGAAGGGCTTGTTGATCTACACTGGAATTACTACAGTAGTGTCAGTGGGGTGGCTGTCTTGGCAGGCTCTGCGCTGAGGCACAGCCCTGGAGTAGTACCCGTGGACTAAAAACACCAGATCACTTTCATCATCCTCGCCAACTGAGGTGCCTGCGTGGCGCAGTGCTTCAGGTGTGACGGCTATGGCCGTTTGCTATTCTACCATCTTGTCTGCGCATCGTGTTTGGCAGAAAGAACCTTATCTTGCTCATCTCTTACATTGTACCATTGGACCTCTCATCCTCGTTGCCATTGTGACCTGTATTGCCTTTCCAACTCCACCACTTACGAACCCCGGGATCAAACTCAGCCGAGAACATGCCTTCTCCTCGTCCTTCAGGAGGCAGTAGCGCCGATGACCTGACCAAGGAGCCGCCAGTACCGTCGGAAAAGGCACCGCCCCCGTCTTTCGAGGAGTCGACGCGGCAGCATGGGAGCACCACCGCTGTTGCCGCCTCGTCGAGCTCCTCGCAGCCCATCTTCCAGACGCGCTTCGCCTGCATGTCGCTGAACAAGAGCGACCGCGTCTGCTTCTTCAACTTTGGCGCTGATGATGTCAATGCCATGCGCGCCCTCTTGCAGTCGGCCTGGACTCGTGGCATCCAGGACGTCCGCCGGTCCGGCCGCGGCACGGAGATCAAGCTCCACGGCCGGCCCTGGGGGATGTCGACGGGCAAGGATGAGTCGCGCAAGCTCATGCGCCGCATGCTCGAGACCTTGTATGACCGCGGCTGGGTTCTGCAGTCCTCTGTCGATGTTAGCAAGTCCGAGTCTGATAGAGGTATATGTGCATCGTTGAAGGGCCAATCTTGCTGAGTGGCTGACCTCTCTTGCCACAATAGACTCGCTCATATTTCGGCATCAGAACCCGCCGCCCCCGCCGTGCGACTGGTTGACCATTTCGTTCACAGGTAGCGACCGCCTCAAGATCGCCAGCCCCCCTGCGCCCGAGGTCTGCGCAGCCCTCACGCAAGCTTTAGGCAGATTCGTCATCTCGCGTACCGAGAAGACGTGCTACTACTTCGAGATCAAGTTTCACGGGCGGCCATGGCACGCCAGCGAAACCGAGGCCATCACAGGCCGCGTCATCCTGCTCCAACTGCTTGAGACGCTCGAGAGTTTCGGGTACAGCCTGTATGCCAGCATCGACCAAAAGGATAGTCGTGACTCTAGGGAGGCTGATGAGTTGTACATGCACAGGGTGAAAGGTTGGGTATCAGGCATGCCGGTGTGGCACGGGTAAAGGGCTCAAGAGGCCGTCATCGCATCGCATCGCATCGCTACATCGTTCAGAAACAGCCTTGACTTGAGCACGCGCGTTGGATCAGCTGGCACAAAGAACCATTGGGATGGAAGGTGATTTCATGGAAGGTATAAGGCAAGGAAAAAGACGGTTAATGATCACGAATAAGAGTATGATTTTACCCCCTGTCATGTACAGCATAATTCTTCTGATGTATTATAGTTATTTCGTTCTAGAGTATTCCCTTCTGGCTTGTTTCTCCAGTCTTCGTAACCATGGTCCAATACAGTTCTGGATCATGATGAGCTTTGGGGCTTTTGAATCAGTCTTGGGCATCTTAGGGGGTGGTGGTTTATAGAGTCAGACAGTACGTGAAAGTTGTTACAGGCGAATCACCAGCTCGAAGCCTGTTGCCGCGATGGAAGACATGCTGTTCAAGGATACTGTGCCATTGAATTCGAAAGTAGTCTGTCTAGTCCTTGGATGATACATTGATATGTGTCATTGATTACCTAGCGGGACCACCTTCAATCACATGCATGGTCATTCAAACGACGATTTGACCCCTAGGACCATGCTGCACATATCCGAGCGGTCAACTTGAGCATTTGTCTCTGATAGCCTTGGCTGCCCCGATGCGAGATGTTGGTAACACCCAATCACAAGGCAATCCGGACGCTCCGTGGCTACCACTTTGCCATCCTGAGAAAAGATGGAGCTACTACTCCTCACGCGTCACTCGACAGCTCAGCTAGTTCAGCCCTGTAACCGGGAAAGATGTATTGGTATTTGCTTACTGGGGCGGTTCGCGCAAGAGTGATATTACGATTCGGTAGGGAGACTGACCTGGAAAATGCCTATTAACTAACCTTCAAATCCGGGCTCTGGTGGGTGGAGAAGGATCCAGGTAGTCAAACATAGAGACAGCAGGCGGATGCCGATGCAGGCACAAAGGCTGTTTGTTCGCAATCGATGTGGAAAGCATCCGTCTCTTCTATTACGCCCCTATGCAAAATGGGCCTTACTACGTAAACTCTATGCGGACAGAAAGCGACCATAATCATCTAGTCTACCAATGATATACACCCCTTTTAGCTTTTAGTGTTATTCCGGCCAACTAGGAAGGGAATCTTTTGTCTGGAGCTAGGCACCGGTATGTACTGACAAGCTACCCCGGCCATGACCAAAGAGTTTCTCACGCTTCATGCATAGGCCGGCAAGAAGCATGACCCCTCCAGCAACTGGTACCAGAACAAAAGTAGTCTGAATTGCCCGCGTGATCGCTGAGATGGCCTCCAAACGCAGCTTGCCTTCGAGTTTGTCGAATAAGTCACTGGAGGCACCAGCAACAGCATTCTGAATGTCGCTGTCAGAAAATCCCTTGCCAGCCAATATTGAACTCAAATTTCGGAATGCCGTAGACCGAAAGATCTGGCCAGCTATAGCCAGGGCAATGACCTGGGAGCCAATTTGTGCGATGCTTTGCAGGACGAGGCCAGATCCAGCGTCCTTGGTTGGCAGGGTGAGTGTCGTAACCGCGAATCCTGACAGCATGGCCAGGCCAGTGCCGAGGGCAATAACCACCATGAGGCCGTAGACCGTACCCGAAGGAGTTTCGGGGTGTAGGTAGACCATGAGAAGTGCACCCCCGATGGTAATAAAGATAGACGATATGACATACATGAACATGTAAACCTTGATGGTGCTGAGGAAATAGCCAGACGCGAGGTTGATGGTGATACAAACAACTAAGAAAGGAAGCAAACGAACAGCAGCAACCAAGGCACTATCGCCACTGACAAATTGGAAGTACAAGGGGACAAAATACACAGTGACATAGAGGGATGTGATACCGGCAGCGGTGGTGATGTAGAGAAGTACTTGTGTCCGCTGGCGGAGTAGCTGAACAGGATAGGATCGATTCTCGACGGTGGTGAAGAGGGGAATGCTCTGTTGGACAGCATAAAGACCTAGTGCAACTCCAAAGACAACAAATGTCGCAATTGTACGTCCGTCTTTCCATGGCCACTGGCCACCAGCCATCGTGAGAGCTAGAAGGAACGAGGTCCAGACACCAGCTCCGAGAAGAAATCCGGCCCAATCTAGACGGCCTAGGCGAGCCCTGATGCTAACCCCTTGGATGGGATGATGAGACGGTAGACATAAAAGGTACGCGGGAGCTGAGACGGCGCCGAGAACCAGGTTGATATAAAATGCCCATCGCCAAGTTGCGGCGGACACAGCGAAAGCACCTCCAATGACAGGGCCAAGGATGGCACCAACACCCCACCAGAAGCCTATAAGAGCCATATAAAACCCACGCTCCTCTGGGGTGGTGAGTAAGGCGTAGTAATAGAGGGAGCCGAGATATATGCCGTTGCCACCAGCACCGGCTATGACACGGCCAACGATGAGGGCATCCATGGTGGGAGCACCACCGCACAGTGCAGAGCCAACTTCGAAAGTTATGACAGAGACGAGAAATATCCACCGGGTGTTGAACATGTTGTAGAGGGCCCCGACGGGCAGGATTGCAACGACTGAGCCGAGGGGGAAACCCGCACCAAGCCAAGTGAGCTGCTCGACATGACCAAAGGCTTCGACGACGGGGCCCTGGACGTCAGCGGCGATAGTGGTATCGAGGCCGTAGAGGAAGCAGGTGATGTAGATGGCGACACATATAATCAACCATCGCAAACCACGGATCTGCCGCGTATGTTTCTCCTCCGTGACACCGACGGGTGTTGGCTCTAGCTCTAGGGTGTCCGAATCAGAGGGTATCCCGGTCGTTCGTTTCTCATGTGTAGGTTGCTGTGGGCTGTCTACAGACATGTTCTCGACTTCAATTTGAGCCATGCCTGCTATGACTGGGGGAAGTGGATAATCTCAGGTAGCTAAAAGATCTCAGTGACAGACGAGCAATACGTAGCAGCGATTGCAAAACGTGCTGGTTTGTGGTCACATCACATGAAGGGGATGAAATGCATGCAGAGCAGTCAAATACAACCAGAAGTCCTGAGTTTAAATAGATCCTTTCTTCAGTCACAGATGAATTTGCAGACTCCATTGAAAGCTAGTGGATAAGGTCACCAACATTTGTCAGGATGTTGACACAGGTCAAATCTGAATCATAGTGGTCTGGTCTACTTGATTGCAGAGCCTCTCGAAATCAGAAAGCACCAGGCCCGCGGAGTCTGCAAGCGGAGGCATGAGAACGGGCTGCATTCTCGAGGGAGCGGCAACTCTTAGTCATGCACCTGAGTGTGGTCTGTCGTGGCGCGCGAGTGGATTGATGTGATTACAAATACGCACCGCGCGGAGCACCAACGGAGCCTCGCCAAGACACCCGCTGACACTCATTGCCTGATATAATCAATCCACCTTGACGCACTTTCACCCCTATGTCCAGCATCCATACCTATGCAGATTAACAGCTCTAATTTGAGATTTGATGCTTATGTCGATAACCCTAGAGGCGGCGCATTGTTGACCTTGAACCAAGGCGTTGCACGTAACGATGGACACATCAACGCCCCTGAGAAAGGTGAGGCATCCCATGAACGTGGCCTTGCACCACATCTGTCTACTTGTGTAGTCGTTGCTAATACACAGGCCCTTTACCGCGGGGCTTTTCATCAAAGACGTGCGATAAGTGCTACTTGCGCAAAATAAGATGCGATCGCCAGCGGCCCCGCTGCTCTTACTGCATTACAAATGGCATCGAGTGTACATATGCCGCTCCGAGTCGTCCGTCTCGGCCACGAAATCGACCCCGGAAGCGACCGGCCGCAACCAACACCATCGAGACCCTTTCAGGCATAGCCAACTTGCATGCGTTTGTGGAGCAGTTACAAGCCCAAGTGGCTGACTTGACCCAGCGCCTTGAGAATACCAAAGATAGTCCGGCTGCGCTCCGACACCAAGAGCAGCTGCAGACTCTAGCACCGTCCGTCGCAGCGCAGTCAAAGAAGTCTACGCCTTCGCCGGCCGCGCCGCCCATATCCGCAGGCATGAGCGCGCTATATCGTATGGATACCCGCGTGCCTGGTTCGGATGCCGCCACCATGGATTTGCCGCCATATCGAGAGGTTATGCTCGCTATCCGCGTCTTTCTTGACAGCTTCAATGCTGTGATGCCCCTATTCGAGCCCAAGAACTTGGTCAAACTGGTCAATGACTGGTACGCCGCCCCACAGCAGCGAGATCCGGTATCATGGGCCGCCATCAACGTCGTATTGGCTTTGGCCTACAAGCAAAACCTAGCTGGTAGCTACGGTCTTACCGGTGGCGAAGACCTTGCCTTCTTCCATCTAAGCAGAGCCCAGTCAGTCATCTCGGCAGTGATTCTCGGCGATACGGTGCTGCTCAATGTCCAAGTCCTCTTGGCCATGATCATCCTGCTCCAGGCATCCAAGGACCTGAAACCGTCCCTGATCCTCATCGCCACGGCGATGCGTCTAGCTCATGAACTTGGGTTGCATTCTCGTGCTTCAACGAGCAACCTCGACCCTGTTACTGCCAGGCAGCACTCTTATGTTTTCTTCATTGCTTATATTCTCGACAAAGATTTGAGCATGCGCGCCCGGCAGCCATCTATCCAACACGACGACGATATTGATATCGATATGCCTACGCCTGCAGCTAGTCATGATAATCCTTTGACCGACGGTGGTCAAGCCGATCACGACGCGCTCGACATTATCCCTGGTGTAGTAACCACGCTCACTGGAGACGCCAGTGTAAATTACTTTCTTGCTCGCATCCGGCTCGCTAGCATTCAGGGGGGGATCTACGACTATCTCTACTCGGCGCGGTCCCAGAGTCGTAGCACAGCGGAGCGCGCAGTTGCACACGAAAGCCTCGTTCAAGCGCTTGAGCAATGGCAGTTGTCCATCCCTCCTGAGTTTGCCGCGGCCCTAGCTCCCCAGAGCCTATCACCCACAGTCCTCCCTTTCTTCTGCATTCTACATGCTACCAGCTTTGCCTGTGTGACCATGATAAACCAGGCGCATGCATGGGATGAGCAGTGGGTGAAGAGCCTGCGCAAGGCTTGCAAGGAGTCGGGCAGGTTGCCGTTACCGTCGCGCTGGGAGTCCTTGGTACAAGATGCCTGTGATTTCCTGAACCTTTTTGAAGCTGTTCCCAGAGGCTATGGCTTGGTATGGTAAGTGGACTCGAACCCATTGACTACATGCGCACTAGTTTTGAGCTGGGCAATCTCTCACGGGCTGAAATCGGATAGCTAACAGCTAGCCATGATGGACAACAGGGAGACGACTTGTCCGTATTTGACCGCAGCAACGCTGCTGGCTGCCAACAATGCGTCTCACCCACTTGATGACAAAGTTCCAGAATACATGGGGCTGATTAATAATGCCGTCAAGTTCATGGATGATCTGTCAACTAGAGGGACGATTGTGGACAACGGACAATTGCATATGGTTCGCAGGGCGTGTATCGAGTTGAACCACAGTGTACTTAGGCAACGGGATCAGGCATTTTTCACGAGACTTAGTACCTTTGATATTTTCTAGTGTATGTAGATGTTTATTTCTTGAATAGAGGTAACCTTGGATTTTAAGTTACATGAAAGAGGAGATTACAAATTTGAGCGCAAAGATTGCCGCAACTAAGCCTCGAAGCATACGAGGTCTTTCCAGCGTACGATTCCAAAAGTGATCAATCAACCGAGACCGACTTCCGCATGACTAAAGCTCGCATAGGATCTGCATGCATTGTAAAAAGCACGAGCGGCGGTCCGGCGTGAATGCGGAGGGCTGCGGAGCCACCTCCTGGGCCTCCGCGCGGAGCTTGTGCTAGCTGACATTACATATCCAATTAAGCACGGCAACTCGCCAGCCAGTTATGGAATCCAAAGAATTGGCTCTGTATAGTAGAGGCAGCTACTGAGACAAGGTTGCTTATTCTTTAGGCAAATGATTACTTCCAAAGCGATGAAGAGCACATAGGAAATACTTAGTGTCCACCTCATGTTTATAAGCCACCATTGCGCAACTTCCAAGAGCCGATATTCAGCTCCCAAGGACCACCGTACAATCAATTCAATAGTACTTCGATTCTTCAGTCCAGATCTGTTAGTAGAAAGCTGAGTTACATTACAGTCTGACAATATCGACCTTACATTGATCCCTATCACCTGTCACCCAGCAAAAACGATCATGTCCGGAAGCACCCCTTTCCCGTCGTTTACCAAGACCTGGCACCAGAAGCCTTATGCTCAGATCTCTCCATCCCGCCCCGAGCTGAGTGCCACAGGCAAGTTTGTGGTGGTCACTGGTGGCGGCGTTGGTATTGGACTCGCCATTTCCATGGCGTTCGCCCAGGCCGGCGCCAAGACCGTGGCCATCCTTGGTCGCCGACTAGAAGTTCTGGAGGCTGCCGCCAACCAAATTCGCTCAGCCAATTCCGCGGATACTACCACCGTGTTATTCGAGACTGCCGACATCAGCAGGCGAGATAGCCTGGCTGCCGCCATGAGTAGCTTTGCTCAGAAAACCGGGGCGAAAATCGACATACTAGTCAGCAACGCTGGCATTTTGCCCAACACTAGCACCGTCATCGAGTCCTCCGTACCCGATATACGCGAAGGCCTTGATATCAACATTCTTGGACCGCTCAACCTCATCCAGGCGGCAATCCCACATACGGCTTCTAATGTTTGTATTTTCAACATCTCGTCCGGCATCGGCCATTTGCCGGCAATGCCTGGTGGCACATGGGCCTATGCTGCAACCAAGATGGCCAGCGTCAGGATGTTCGACTATCTCCAATTCGAAAACCCCGGAATGCACATTGTTAATATCCAACCCGGTGTAGTCGCTTCGGCGATGAATACCAAACATGGTCAGATGCCACCAATGGATGAAGGTAAGTGGCTTTGTCTTGCCCCTCCGAGTAACCCTCAACCCCGGGTTCAGGGCTTCAGCTGACCTCAGGTTGCATCTGTAGCTGAGCTTCCCGGCAATTTTGTCGTTTGGCTTGCTTCTGAAGAGGCCAAATTTCTAAAGGGTCGATATGTCTGGGTCAATTGGGATGTTCAGGAGCTGAGGTCTCGCGCAAACGAGATCGAGGCTACGTCTCTCTTACAAGTCAAGCTGAACGGTCTTGACATGTAGGTATTAGGAATCAAGCTGATGTAATGTCTCCTTGTCGTCTCAGAAGCTATTTACACAGTTTGCACTGCTTTTACAAGGTGTCTGGTAGTGGGATGGTCCGTGAATACTCTTGAATTCAATTTTCTAGCCCTAGATCAAGAACAATTCTTTCACCACGCTTTTACATATCGAATGCACTGGCAATCCTATTCAGACCCTTCTCCAATATGTCCTTCGGTTGAGCAAATACTATGCGGAACCATCCTGGCACCTCACTTCCTAGCTCATCTCCATCAATGATGTACACCTTCTCGGCGAGGAGTCGACGTTGAACCTCCATGTTCACATCAAGATCACGTTGAAGCTCTTCGGAATCCACCGTCAACTTTTCCTTGAGACATTTGATACCATTACATGTCCCTCCCAGATGATATCGAGTCTTATCCTGCCGCCGTCTTGACCATGCTGCTCCCAAATTGGCCCACACGAACAATCCCGCATTGGTACCCCGGAAGAAGGGAATGGCGAACTTATTCAAAAAGGTCGCTATTATGGCATAGTTCTCCCCAAGGCGCCTGCGATTCTCAATGATGTATGCTGTGACGAACTCGTGATCCTCCAAGACCGTACACGCGATATAGTCGAGGAAAGCAGCTGGGTAGCAATAAGGAGCATGTGCGTCGAGGGCGGCTATCAAAGCCCGGTTGGCCTGAGAAATGACGCAGCCTATGCGCAGGCCGTTGCAGCCAAAGTCCTTGCTCATGCCCCAGAATACGTGCAGCAGCGCGGGGTCGATGATTCCTGTGGTATCAATGGTGAGAGTCGACGTGAATGGCACTGCCTGTCGGTTCTCCGGGTTCCGGAAGGTGCTCAGGGCATACACTTCATCCACGACCAGGTGAATCTGGTATTTGTGGCACAACCGCATCAATGCAGTAAGGACCTCCTTTGCGTAGCACCGTCCAAGGGGGTTGTGCGGATTGCAGAGCAACAGAGCTCGCACCCGTTGAGATCTTGCATGCGCATCAATGATCGAACTTTCGTATATGGACACAGCAGCAAGTCCAAAAGGATCGACTTCCCCAAATGACACTGGAATTGTGCGGATCTGTGCTCGATCGCCCAGTTCAGCTGGGAAAGCCCCATAGTAAGGGCGGCCAAGAAGGAAGGCATCCCCCGGATCGCCTAGTTCGAATGCACAACGCTCGATAGAGCCCGTTACCCCATTCGAGACACTTATGTGACTAGCATCAACTGGGGTGAATGGGGAGAATATTGAGTTGATGAAGGAAGCCACCGCTGCCCTGAGCCTCGCGCTTCCGTTAGGGCCCTCTCCATATGATAAGGCAGTACGTTGAGGATCAAACTTCTTTTTGATATGTGCGAGCAGCTCGGCCTGCATCAGGCCGTTCTCTGCAATACCCAGATTGATGAAGCCGTCTGCGCATAGATTAGGACTGTAAGTATTGGCCATAATCTCCCAAAGGACTTCTTGCCGGCGGAGTGAAGCCGCCATACCTCGTGCGGACAGCATTTGAACGTGATCCAGACAACAAACATCAGAGTTAAGAACTTGGCTAAAAGCAAGTCAAATAATTCAACATTGGTGCCTATATTGAGACAGAAAGAGATTGATGAATCTCGATCAATAGCGTCATGCAACCATCGAAGCGAGCTGTGTGTACTTCGTGAACATGTACCACGGCCGACACAGAGACCTCTCTGAGAAGTCACTATGCAATACACCCGCACAGACTTCTTCCCACCTGCTATTCGGGCATTGGGAAAATCAGGTCAACCAGATTCGCTCTGAATGCATGTTCGAGTCCGAGACTCGGTCTCCTCTTTGACCAATCACTAACCAAGTTCCTTGCTGCAATTCTCCAAGCTGTGACCTTGACTACTGCGGTACGTTTGCAAATGCACCTGAAACAGTTCATTTTCGGTCACCGCTAGAGGATCATTTCTCGTCGGCGTTAATTTACCCTTTGTGGCTCGGTTAGTGAACCTCATGCAACGGCACTGACGTGACAATGGGCTAAGGGATTAATGACTCAACAAAGACACCATTGATCAAGTTATCAGGCGGTGAGCGGTCGCAATACTAAGAGCTGCAGAGGTTGCGGGAGGAAGATGGCAGTCCAGTCCGGCCGGTACATCTTTGTCAGATCCCTAGAAGGGAAAATGCTGACAGGGGAAGTCTGTACTGTACTGCTGCCAAGATTTAGGATGGGGACTCCATGAGTCTAGCAGCTCCGAAACTGAATTGCTGTCCCTCTTTGCTGATCGCCGTGGGGATAGATGGACGCAATTGATCCAATGAGATTGAAAGTACTGGTGAATGCTCATTGCCCCTTTTGGAAGGCAAATGTTGATGCCGCAAGTGACGGGATAAGCTTCCGAATGCAGTTCTGTCGACCGTAGCGCATATGCAGGCCTCTCTCGTCAGATCAAGGATTAGATTACCACGTAGCGAGATCCTCGCAGATCAACTTGTACCTGTACCTGACATGGGCCCGGAATATCATCTATAATCTTCTTTCCTGTCTAATGACTTATTCAGTCGTCGTAATCGTGTTGTTGATCCATTTTAGATCGGGACGCAAAACAGCAAGGGTGATTGGACTTGGTTCTCATTCTGTGCGTTTGGGCAAGTCTGCTGGGTATGCTTTTCCTCGCCTGCCGAGAGCTACTACCACAACGACGAACGTGCCCCCTTCACTCTGCGACATTGAACGAACTCGACTATTCTTCAGGCACCTGAGAGAATTACGGAGGGAAATGGATGCTCACCCATACTGCGAGAGCGACCACACGTTTGGGCCAACGGTGACGGGTTGTAGAGGAGACTTTGACTTTACTGTCAAATTTGAAGACATTGTTCTATGCCTTCTCCCTGCTTTAGTTTTCATTGTGTTTGGGGCTCTGATGCTCCGCCACGTCTGCCATGCTACCCTTTTGATCAAAGGACTTTCATGCCTTCTGGTGGTAAAGCTGGTACGACCATTAACTTCGAGTACCTTGGATATCTGTAACTAATGCCATGTAATAGTCACTGGGACTAGCATATTGGTCTCTCAACCTTTCAATCCTCATTATTGGCGTCGAGTTTAACCACGAGGCAAACTGGTCGACGACAGCTCACTCAGTGTCTTTTCTCTTGTCTTCGTTATTGCTACCCCTAGCGGTATTGGAACACCGGCGCTCAGCAAGACCATCATTCCTGATCAGCACATATTTTCTTTTCACGATTCTGTTTGACGTTGCCCGAACTCGAACACAGTGGCTCATTTACCTTGACACCGGGAAGCATTTACTATTGGCCAAGTTATATACAGTGACAGTTACGACAAAAGCCGTTTGGCTTGTGGCTGAAAGCTGGCAAAAGTCATCATCACCAGAGCTGTGCCTCGAAGAGAAATCGGGCCCTCTAGATCTTATCACCTATTCATGGTTGAATCCGCTCTTTTGCACCGCTTACTTTCATGTGTTGAGCCTAAAAGAGCTTCCCAAGCTTGATCGCCACCTTGCAACCGATGAACTTTACAAATTATTTTGGAAGAAGGCTCGACAGGCCCGCACCGACTGGATGCGGGAGAAGTTTGGATTGGCAAGGCTCCTGGCCCGAACGCTGCTATGGCAGTTGCTCCTTCCTATAACTCCAAGACTGGCCCTTGTAGGCTTCAGATTCTGTCAGCCTTTCCTGGTTCATGCTCTTCTTGCTCACCTGGAGAAACCTCTGGAACAAGAGTCTTCGTGGACAAATGTTGGATACGGCTTTATCGGTGCGACTGTTATCATCTACTTTGGAGTTGCCATTTCGACGGCCCTATATTGGTATTGTCATGAAAGATTTCAATCCATTGTTCGCGGTGTGGTAATCGCGACTATTTACCACAGGATGACGGAGATGCTCTCTGCCGACGTCAGCGACTCAGCGGCCGTAACACTGATGAGTACTGACATTGAACGCATCCGTGTGGGTTTGCTTAACCTTCACGAATTTTGGGCGACCCCCATCGAGGTCGCACTCGCAAGTTGGTTGCTCCATGGCCAATTGGGTCTTGCCTTCATCGCACCGCTGCTCGTCGTAGTTTGCGCAGTTGGCTTCTCCTTTGTCCTCAACCGCTACATCGGACCACGCCAAAAGCGGTGGATGGAGCGCATACAGACAAGAGTGACTGAAACAGCAGACATGCTGGCGAGCCTGAAACAGCTCAAAATCTCAGCCCTGGCCAGCTCAGTGGCAGACTCCACACAGCAGTTGCGAGTTGAAGAGATGCAGGCGGCTACGAAGTATCGTAGGCTTTATGTATCGAACATGATCTTTGGCTTTGCACCCATGGCACTCTGTCCTTTGGTGACGTTTGCCGTGTCAGCTCGCAACTACGATAGCGGCACCGTGTTCACATCTTTAGCATACCTGGTGTTGTTGGCAGATCCTCTTGGGATTTTGTTTGGGGAGATCCCCTATCTAATCGCTGCATTCACGTCAATGGGAAGGATACAAGAATTCGTTGCCAACAAGAGCCGACAGGATCGTCGGCTTTTAGGTGGCGCATCGTCCATCCAGTTGACGAGGGACATCGGCTTCAGAGTTGGTGAGAGCACAGGTCCGGGCATCGCCGTTGAAAATGCAACGGTTGGATGGATCGAAGGCAAGCCTGTTCTGCAAAATATCAGCTTCAGGGTACCAGCCTCCTCTCTCACTATGTTGGTTGGTCCAGTCGGCTCTGGCAAATCAACTTTGTGCCGAGCGCTGCTGTCAGAAGTTCCATTCGTTGACGGGGATACGAAAATCAGCACAACTCTTGAAAGCTTTCGATCTGCCGTTTGCGAGCAGACTCCGTATATATTTAGCAGCACGGTCCGTGCCAACATCATCGGGCCATCCGACTTTGACGAAGTACGCTACCAGGAGGTGCTAGAATGCACCGCACTGTCCGTAGACTTCAAGACACTGCCCGAGGGTGATGGCACCAGCTGCCTGGCCCTCAGTGGAGGCCAAAAGCAACGAGTGTCGATTGCTAGAGCGCTGTACCACAACGCCGCATTGTATGTGCTGGATGACACATTCAGTGGTCTTGATGCGGACACGGAGCTCGAGGTCTTCATGCGAACACTGGGCCCGAATGGAGTCCTCACCCGTCGTGGGTGCACGGTCATCTTTGCAACGCACAACATTAAACTGCTCCCAATGGCACATCACATCATCGCCTTAAATGCGGACCAAACCATTGACTTCCAAGGCGACTACCGAGGACTCACAGCAGCAGGACTCCACACCACTGTGGGCTGTTTTGAGGCTTTCACCGAGTCGAAAGTGGCAACTCAGCATGATCTTGACCAGCCGGAAGGTCTAGACTTTCCGACTGAGGTAGCCGGCGGCACCAGCTTTTTGTCCGAAAAGGACAGAATGATGGGGAACTCTGCAGTCTATCGCTACTATCTCGCAAGCCTTGGAAAAGTCTCATTTGTGGCATTCGTGCTTTTTGGTCTCGGATGGGGCTTCTTTTACAACTTTGGATATATCTGGCTCAGATTCTGGTCGGGCGACAGGGAATTAAACCACTCGAATGCATTTTACATCGGCCTATACGCAGTGTGGCAGTCGGCCGGCTTGGCATCAATTGTACTGTGCTTCTGGACCTCATACACCATGATGGCGGCAGTCTCTGGCCTTCGGCTGCATCAGTCTGCACTACAGGCTGTTATCCACGCTCCGCTGTGCTTCACCACGGCCACTGACATCGGAGTCATCACCAATCTTTTCTCGCAAGACATGACACTCGTGGACAATGAGCTCCCAATGGCCATCACTAACTTGTCCCTCGACGTCTGCAATGCACTGGGGCTGGCCGCCATCATTGCGACATCGTCGCCGTATTTGGCGATTGCTTATCCGGTGCTAATAGGCGTCTTGTATTTCGTCCAGAAATTCTATTTGCGAACATCGAGACAGGTGCGACTACTAGACCTAGAGGCCAAGAGCCCTTTGTAGTAAGTCCAGCCCTTGCGGTAAAAAGGCTGGTAGATTTCAGTACGGGAGCTGATCTATTCAAGTACACACTTCCTCGACATTTCTAGAGGCCTGCCAACAATCCGAACGTTTGGTTGGGTGGAGGCTCGTATCAGCGAGGCAATTCGGTTTCTTGACGATTCGCAGAGACCAACATATCTTCTCGCCATGGTGCAGCGCTGGCTGCTCTTTGTCCTTCATTGCATTGTTGCGTGTCTCGCAATAATAGTGGTTGCACTGGCTACTCAAACACACTCAGACACCTCCGGATTCACGGGCGCAAGTCTGGTCGCTCTCATGACTTTTGGTGATATTCTCAACTTCATCATTCGCTGGTGGACACAACTCGAAACATCGATAGGCGCCGTTACTCGGCTGAAAGCTCTGAGCGACAATGTGCTTCCTGAGGGTATCAAAGATGAGACAAGGCCCGTGCATCTGAATTGGCCCAACAAAGGCGGTATCGAACTCAACGATGTGTCAGCTTCATACCAGTAAGTCAATAAATCGCACCCAACGATCGGATGGAGAGTAATTGACTTCCTTCAGAAGCCTCGGCGGAGGAGGCGGGATATCTACGGACTCCCAAGAGCCCGGGTGCACCCCGCATCTGGTGCTCAAAAACATCTCAGTCTCGATCACGGCTGGAGAAAAGGTTGCGATTTGCGGTAGGAGCGGAAGGTGCGTGTGATGTGATTTATATGACAAACGAATAAGTCGATGACTAACCTGCTTCAGCGGTAAATCGTCCCTGATACTCCTATTGTTGCGTATGCTCGACCCTGTATCCTCAAGCTTCAATGATATCATGATAGACAATATCCCTCTTCACTCGGTCAACAGAGCACAAGTTCGCGAGCACATTATTGCAATGTCTCAAAACGCAGTCTTACTGCCCGGTCGCATGAGCCTGAAGCAGCAACTGGACCCGCTCGGCCTCTCAACCGCAGAAGAGTGCTACTCAGTACTACATCTTGTGAGGCTGAGCGGACTAGCCAGCCGCGCGACGGAACTAGAAAAGCCGTTTCATCAAGAGTCACTTTCTGGAGGACAGAGGCAGCTGTTCAACCTAGCTCGCACGGTTCTCCGTGGAAGGGCTCGCACTAGAAGAATTGGGAGCGAAGAAAAAGTGGGTGGCCTCATTCTTCTCGATGAGGTTACTGCAAGCGTGGACCACGACACTGAGAGAATCATACAAGAGGTCATCATGAGCGAATTCGAGAAATATACCGTCATAATGGTGAGTCATAGGCTACAGGTAGTGGCGAGATTTGATACGGTACTCGTCATGGAGGATGGACAAATAGTTGAGCGTGGAACCCCACGAGTACTCGCAGCGGATAGGGTCACTCGTTTTGGGCAGTTGTGGTGGACCGCAGGCAACTCAGTCTTGGATTAAAACACAAAGCGCAATCGTGTTCTTCCGCAGAGCTCGCTTTAGAATCTATGTGTTTCTGAGGAGCCTGTTTGCTCTTGGTCAAAGTTGGCTGCAGCACTGCAGTATTGACCCTGTAACCTTGTTTCGGTCAAACCCAGCTTCCCCAACAAGCCCTTGGTGATTCGGATTTCTCGGATAGGTGGATGGCAAGGCAACATTGGCAGCCGTGATCATACAACGCACTTGGGCAGACACAATGGTGGGGTTGTTGCCAATATGCACACCACTTTGATTTTGTAGGCACGCTTGTCCGCGTAGGTTATAGAATACGATCTGTGCTTATTAATGATCGTATTGATGCTACCGCAGCGTTGCCTCGCACTCCGATTTGTGGCATCCATTCCACTTTAATCAGTCTAGTGCTGACTTTATGTAGCGTGCTTCAAATTCCATGAATCAGCACATCTGACAATTACCGTTGATATCACCAGCGTTGGCTATGCTTCGACCATTCTTAATATACGTGTCTATCACGCATGCAGGGTGGGAATCACGCAAGAATTGTCCGGCTTGCATTTTACCACTCTGGAGCGTTATATCTGATATGTGGAATGGGAATGGCCCTTGCGCTGGGATCATGTAGTTCTTACGGAATCTGGTTGAAGCGTGTCCAACCCCTACAGAAGCCTTGTTTAAGAGCTTGGTTGCAAGCGTTTACTATACGCTCACGTACATGCAATTTTTACACCTCTTGAATTTATAATGGGGTTTGCTTAATGGTCATACTTGACATGGAATCCGACAAACTAGAAATTATTGGATGCACTGTGTACGAGCCGCTCGTAGCCTATGGACGGTGTCACGAGGCACTTATAACCATCCGATATGATGCTTCGAGGCCCTTCCAGAGCTGACAGACAATTTGAAAGGCCAATGCAACATATCTCGTGGTGGTTCCAAAGAGACGAACATTGATCGGGGGAGGCCCAGTAATACGCTCAAGTGATAATCGGCTGGTGGGGGAGTCTCCGATCTTTCGGGGCGTATTTCGACAGAATAGTATATGCCTCATCAAACATCATGGGAGACTTCTGAAGATTGTTTTATGGATCACTCCCCGCTCAAGGCCATCACTTAAGTATATAAATGAGAGTTCCTGCGCTTCATTCTTAGCATTGTTCCATCCAAGCCGCAGCTGTTCCAGCACAAACACAAGCAGGCAATGAAGTCAAACGGGCTCCTTTCCGCAACTTTGTTGGGCGCCCTCTCTGTTGGTGGTGTTGCCGCAGGCAAGTTATGCCAAGATTACAAGATCCCTATCACTATTACGACGGAGAATGAAGTCTTCGGCTTGCCTCGATTCCAAGACAACTTTGATGTTGCCGACTTCATCGATACAATCTCGAGCCGAACACCCCCCACAGACATATTCTCCGGTTCTGTGAACGAAACAGCATCTTACACAATAGCTGCAACATTCTGCACTCCAGATAGGGGAGCATTGGCTTCTCACAAGAGCACTGTCCTAATTGCTACTCACGGCCTGAACTATGATCGCGGGCAAGTCATCTATGTTTTACAGATATCTAATCAAAGTTTACTAACAACATTTAGTTATTGGCATCCGCGGATCCAATCAGAGAAGTACAGCTTTGTTGATTACGCCGTCGGCCGAGGCTACTCTATCCTCTACTATGACCGTCTCGGAGTGGGCGAATCTACGCAGTAAGTTACCGCAATCAGTCTTGAGAATATTCTACAACATGCTCATATTATCAATGCTAGGGTGTCTGGCTACAAGATCCAACTCTCTCAACAGGTCGCTGTGCTGCACAACATCGCTCGCCTTGTCAAGGCCGGCAAGTACGTTAGTGACATCGGGGTCCCTAAAAAGGTTGTCTATGTCGGACATAGCTTTGGCTCCTCTATCTCATTCGGTGCACTTGGTCTTGAACCGACTATCGTAGATGGAGTCATCCTTACAGGGTTCGGTTTGAATTCATCCTATATCAGCCCCACCGATTTCGTCAAAGCCAGCCAACCTCGCATCGCTGCCATACAACAACCAGGTAAATGGAAGCAATTGGACACGGTATGATGGGAAACCTCATGGACATAGACCATCAGTTGTCTGATCCAGTTACTTAGGGCTACTTGACCCCTGTTGACCTGTTTTCCAATGTCAACACGTGAGTCAAACCTCGCACTCCCTGATTCGTCACAGACTCTAATGGATCCGCGAGCAGGTTTTTCAAGAAACCAGATTATGATCCGGATATTGCCATATACGCAGATGCTAATAAACAGCCATTTGCTGTGACTGAGCTCCTGACAGTGACTGCTTTTCGGCAGTTTCCCTATAGCTTTACAGGGGCGGCCATGGTCAGCAACCATTTCAGTTCACCGATCAGTGTATCCATGGCTGACTATCTTCAAGATCATAACCGGAGAGTTTGACTTCATTATTTGCGAATCCAAGTAGGTGATCTTAGGAAAGCTCACACATAGGATACCTTGCTAACCAGCTCGCACTTAGCTGTAACGGAGCGCTCGAGGTACCCGCTGCCGATATTTTCTCCCATGCAAGGCCCTTCAAAGCTATCAGCTATCCAAAAGCTGGCCACGGGCTCAATTTACACCTTAATGCCCGAGATTCTTTCAAAATCATTGTGGACTTTCTTGGTGCTAATGGGTTGTAACCGGAACTGGAATCCATTCTCATGCAACATTTGCAGATGGCAGACTGTGGCGACTCGCGTTATATGGATACAGTTGCAACGGGATCATACCTAGCTTTCAAATTCAGAGCCTACCTAGCTTAGGGAGGTATGAAGACTAATTTTAAATCTGTCATTCCTCCAGCTGAAATGGTCACTGGCGATCTTACTGACACAAATGAGATTCTTTTGATAAGCTTCCCAGGTTGCGGAGTACCAGCTCTCCGCCCAAATAGATAGTATCAGTACATACGTAAATTTAGAAGGTAAATGTATGACCTTTTATCCACTGTGGCCTCGTAAGTTGTCGTCAAAGAGACATAGATCTGCCCCTATCATGAGGCGCAATCGGGAAGAAAATATACATGACGACCACACGGACGGGAAGTGCAACACACCCTTCCAGACTAGCTCTGGTAGGAAAAATTGAGAGCTTCATCTGGTTATGTTGAGCATGGAACTGTCTCTTTCGTCAATTTATATGGCGTAACACAGGCACAGGCAATACCTAGTTATTTTCTAGAGCCACTATGTTCGTGTGGCTGTTACCTTTTGGGATGGGAAAGACTTAGCGTTATCCGTCCAAGTCAAATATCAGGTTGGGACTCTCTCGACTAAATAAGGTCGAGTGTGGTGAATCATGCTTTATTATCATAAAAGCACTTCTAACTAATATGGTTTACTATTTTGAAGGTGTCCAGTAGAAGGCACATTGCTATTGGACAACATGCCTTTCATACCAAGGCAGGCCATAATTATGTACACTCGATACTCTGGAGCCGAGGAGGGGTGGCAGACACAACAGAAGGCGGCCCGGAGAGCCTGCCAGAGCCCGGCCTGTTCAGCTGAAGGCACATTAAGCCAAAAAAACGAGAAATGATGGCCAGATCGATAAGGTGCCCGCTTGGAATGGGCGAGGGAGGAAAGCCAAATTAGCCTATCAAAGTTTAGGTGGATCGCTTCGGCCGAGGCGATATTGCTTGTCTGGTAGTAATATCCAAGTACCTGGCCTTTCATTGCTACAACTTTTTGACTTAAGGTAACCAAATACAATAGCATTCCAGCTACTGCTTCCTACTGGAGCACCTGTTCGATAAGTAGATGCGATGCAACGTAGTCTAGATCCAGACGCTCAACACCCTTTGCTACCTTGTTCATACATAATTCTTTGCCCGGTAAATCCTGTAGAACTAGAGAATTCACATCAGTATCAGATCCGAAGATTGTTGCTGGGGAGGGTTACTTAATTTGTGCAGATCAGTCGAGGAAGGTGTGGATAAGCACATTGCATTTTTCCCGACAAGGCTCAACAGTTGAGTCCCCGACAGCTCAGATAGTGCTGTTGGCTGTTGGAAGGAACAACGCCTCCAGAATTCTGGCAAATTAACTTATGACTGCTACTTCGCTTTGGCCTCATCTTCGACCTTACCCCTCTCCTGTACGACCTTGTACTACCTTCTTGAACAGTATACCGCGTCTTGAAATGCTAGTGCAGAGAGTAAGAGTACTAAAATTAGATGCCATAACCGGGTATCGGAGATATCCGAGTCTGGGCCGCTGTACGGACAAATGCATCGGATAATCACTCATGGGTGGAGAGCGTAAGACTGGTACGGGGGCTATAAGATTGCTTGGTTTTCAGGAGGTTGCACATCTTCACCACTCTTCTCACGGGCACTAATTTGGTTCAAAATTGTCCTTGCAATTGCTCATTGGAATCTGATCTTCACGCTTCCGGCCTTTTTCAAGCTTCAACATGCACCTCAGAATCCTGATTGCCCTAGCAGCAGCAGCTGTCCCTGTAGTACTTGCCAACTTCCAGGCAATGTACGCCCCGTCCACCGTCATTCCAGACAGCCCATTCAACATCACCGGTCAATTCGCCCTGTCGGACAAAAATGGTGTTCCCATTGCGGCATGGCTGGGCATCTTTCCCTTCAACAGCACTCGTGACCCTGGTTACGTGCCAGATCGGAGCTATGGCTCACTAGGATTGACACTCGCTCCTTTTGATGTCAGTGAGTATTATGTCCACTGAAACTATGGCTGCTAACCTTGCTAATAATATGTCCCTGGTAGCTCGTGTATATGGGCTGCCATATTATTTCACCCTGGAAAAGTTCATTGTTTCCAAGGATAGTCTCGCCAATTCGCAATCCTTCTATCTTCAGTGGTTCCAGATCATCCAGTATGGTGTCCTCAATGAGGTTGAGGCCGAATCCTATCTTATGGGACCCATTACTGCTGGTACACAGGTCAGCTCCACGCTCGTTCCCGCAGTTCTGAAGAGGTTTAGAATTGAAGATAGTGTCATGGATTAACAACGTGTTTCATGATTGTGATCTCGCCAAGGGCAGGTAGTTTGATGAAAGCCTAGAACAAGGTAGCTCCTTGGTTGCATCTTGTCAAATTAGCTGAGAACAGTGCTCTGCTCAAAGGAAAACGTGGTAGTTATCCTAGTATCTTTCAATCACAGAATCCCCTAGAGGCATTGGTTGCATTTACTTCCGTTGATTCGTGGTCTGGGAAGGCGTGGGAGTCTTGTTTGACCTGTTGCTTCCAGAACGCGAGGCCGGTGTCGACTACGCAGCAGGATGGAAGACTTATGGGTTTGACGCGTCATTCTCTAAGACTGAATCATTGGAAGCCCAAGCTGCAGTTCGGGTCTAGTTTACATGGCCAGCCATGAAATTTGGACATGCATGATGTGGCTACTACTCGGAATTCCAGATTCAGCTTACCATCACAGAAAGCTTTGACTTCGTTTTCATCTGAGCTTCATGTTAGCTGAGATGAAGAGTCTGAATCTTCAATAAGCCGACCGGCCGTTCTATCTTACACCAATTAACAACAAAATGAAGGTTTGTATTTTCCATAAAGTTTCGAGCTTGCACCACTAAACTAGTCTCGACACACGAAAGTTCGTCCCTCTGCCCTACAAATTGCAAATCAACCCGTGCACACTGTGAATGCTTGCGGGACTTCTTGGAATCTTCGAACGCTCAGACGGCGCAGGTACCCTGTGATAAACTCATCATTCAACGCTGGCGCTGGATATTTGTCACCTCCAAGGACATGCTTCCCGGGCGGGAGAGCTTTGAACATGCTTGTCGCGTTCTCCTCCGTGTAGCCGTCCAACACAGCGGTGATACGCGAAATCGGACTAGTCGGGTGTGATCTAGCATGGTCCAGTGCCCGGTGCTTCCATATCTCAAAGGGGATAATTTCACCCGGTGGGCTACCAGCAAGATCACACAATCTCTGAAAGAACTGCCTGCAGGTTGGAGCCCGAGTGCTCAAAAAGTCAAAGTCGCAACACGATCCATGCGGATCACGAGTCGCGATGGCTACGATTGTCCTGGCCAAGTAATCGACGGGGAGTACGGCTGACATATCAGCATCCACTAATGGGAAGGCGCCCATCTCGAGACATCCTGTGATCAGGTTGTTCAAGAAGTCTCCGCGGTCAAGTCGGAAATGCCCAGATGTGGTGGACGCCGTAACGTATGGGAGGCGATAAATTGCTGCTTTAGCTCCACGCCAACGGGCAGCTGCCACCAATCTCTCAGCTATGTACTTCGAGGTCCCATAGCCATACTCGAGGTCTCCTTCTTCAAGTCCTAGACCCATGTGCTTGGGCAACGTCGATATGGTAGATACCAAATGGATCATCTTTGGCCGGCCGCGCGATGCCAAACGCAGGACCTCGTGGGTGCTCACAATATTTGGCCCGACATAGTCTTGCAGTGGCCGTAACCAGTCGACCAGTGCACCTGAGTGACAGATGGTGTCGACGCTGTCAGCTAGCAGATCAAATGCTTCGTCTATCATACCAAGAAGTGGCTTGGCAATATCACCAGCAATCGGCTTGAGCAATGGTGCAAATGAGCTTTCCCATAGATCCTGGGCTTTGAGAGTTTTCACCAGGCGCGCTTCGGCATCATTGGAACATCCAGCCCGGACCAGACAATAAGTAGTGATGCCCTGCTTAAGCAACTCATGAAGAATAAAGACCCCGACGAACCCTGTTGCACCCGTGAGAAGGACCGTGCGGCACTGCGCAATGTCTTTACGCGATTCGATGTGATAGTCTTCTGGAAATATAAAGGTTTTATCGAGGAGACCTTGGCAGATTGCATCGAGGTTCAACTTGCCCAAAGGTGGCTGTGTAGGACTATCTTTCGCTTGTTGTAACTCGGACAGCAGGGCCTGGCTGAGTAAGCTTAGATTGGAGTGGAAAAAGACGATATTAGTCGAGAGCGAGAGGCCCGTGAGGGTTGCCAGATGATTTCGCACTTGGACTGCTGTCAATGAGTCGATGCCAATATCTTTGAGTGGACGGTGCACTTCGACGTCGAGCGGGCGGGCAAATCCTAATGCCTTCGCAACCACTTGTTGGACCATGTTCAGAACAATAGTTGGGTGCTTCTCAGATTCAGTCTTGTTCAACAACTCTCGGAGACTCTGGCAACTGCCGGCTGGACGTTGGGTACTATCCCTGTGGACAAGGATTGAGCTAAGAAAAGGCGGTATGGCGCCACCTTGCTCCTCGAGGTAGAGTTGAAGTCTCTTCAGATCAAGCACAGCTGCCATTGTCAGGGGACGCCCGCTAAACACAGCTTGTTGAAGCAGCTCCAGTCCCTCATAAGGTGATAGAGGGTCCAGACCATACTGAGAAAGGTGGGCCAGTGTACCTTTGCCAAGCTTGGAGACCATGCCGCCGTTGCCTTCCCAAGTCCCATAAGCCACAGACGTAGCAGGCAAGCCATTGGCGCGACGCAAATGAGCTAGGACGTCTAGATACGTGTTGGCTGCGGCGTAGTTGGCAAGACCTGGCATGCCCATGACGCCAGAGATGGAAGAGAACATCATGAAGAGGTCCAGATCAGCATCTTTCGTTGCCATATGTAGATTCCATGCCCCATAGGCCTTTGGAGCGATTGTAGTCTCGCAACGCTCAGGCGTCATAGTTGAAAGAACACCCGAGTCCACAACGCCCGCGGCATGAACGACGCCCCGCAGAGGTCGATTCTTGCTGAAGCACGACACTACCATGTGAACGTCGTCTGGACTCGCTATATCGGCTGCAAAGACATCAACCCGGGCGCCCATGGTTGACAACTCAGCTACCAAGGCATCGGCGTCCGAAGCTTCCATACCGCGGCGTGAAGTCAAGACCAAGTCTCTTACTCCGTGGTGATTTACAAGCCAACGTGCCACACGTGCACCAAGGTCTCCAAGGCCGCCAGTGATCAATACTGCTCCATCTGTACGCACGAGTGGACGCACAGTCATGGCAACTTGTGGAATCGCATCGACAGAGTGCAATCGCGGAACTAGGACGCTGTTCCTCCGAACTGCGCATTCAGGTTCAGCGTTGAGCATGAGAGCAGCTTGCACAATCGCTTCCGCCGATTCCGACCCAAGATCGACCAGCCGCAAACTTAATTCCGGGTGCTCACTTCGAGCAGTCCGCATCAGACCCCATAGCATTGAAGTTGGTCCAGGATCCAGGTTGCGATCGTCAAGTTCATGGTCTGTTCCCATTGCTTGGCGGGTAACCCATATCAGCGGGGGAACGAGCTGGACGCGAGTTGCCGTCTGCAGTTGTGTCAACGCATGCCCCATCAAGTCCCGTGTCTGCGATAGCATGCCACGTTCCAAGTCCCAGAGGCACAACAGGCCGTCCAACTTGGTGCCATGCTCAATGCTTCCGACATGGACCAGTCGTGTGCCTGTTTGCGACATTGCACTTGTCACACCCTTTGTCCATTCTGAATCAGAAGTTAAATGAGGCTTCAACAACCCCCAGTTGCCCCCTGAAAGCACTTTCCCGGTCTCGGTGGTTTGCCACACGACGCTGAATTGATCGCGTGGATTTCGAGTAACAGTAGCTAGATTGTTGCTGTTCAATGGAGTGGTAGGTTCGTCTTTGGGCGTAGGGATAACGCGGCGGGCATGGAAGAGTCGTTGGAAGGCATAAGTCGGCAACTGCACACGATGACAACCGAAAGGTTTGAAGTAGGCAGGCCAGTTAATCCACACGTGTCGCGTATGTAGATGACCAAGACTACGATGCAAAGTCGTTGTGCCATCGTCGCGGCGATTTAGGGATGATAGCCAAGAGATCGACTCGCATTGAGGATGGTCTGCAAGGCAAATTGCGCCCATGCCACAAAGCACCTGGTCTGGCCCTAGCTCAAGGAAGATATTGACCCCTTCGCGACCTAAGGTACGGATACCGTCGTTGAAACGAACTGGCTTACGCACTTGGTTTACCCAGTACTGAGCCGTTTCCAGTTGACCAGGTTCTGCGATACTGCCTTCCACGCTGCTAATCATGCGTAAACGAGGAGAGCTGTACCGCACCGTCTCAGCAACTGCTCCAAACTCGGCCAGCATGTTTTCCATATGACGGGAGTGGAACGCATGGCCTGTGACGAGCAATGTGGCCTTACGTCTCTGCTGAGCGAAGCCTTGTGTCATACATTCCAGGGTCTTCGACCGGCCCGAAATCACCGTCTGCATGGGGGTATTGTACGCGGCGACGTCGACATCATCCTCAAGACCCAACCGTGCAGCAGTTGCAGTGACTTCGTCGCTACTAGCCTCAAGTGATACCATAACGTGGTCCCCGGACTGGGCTTGCATGAGGCGGCCACGCGCTGCAACAAGCCGACAGGCATCGGATAGATCGATGATGCCGGCCACATGAGCGGCTACTATCTCGCCGAGGCTATGACCCAGAACATACTCTGGCGCGACGCCCAAGGACTGCCACACTCGCCACAGCGCCACCTCAAGGGTGAAGAGGGCCGGCTGGGCGAAGTCCGTGCGTTCTAGCAACAAAGCCACGGCGGTGCCAGGCTCCGCCCACATGACATCGAGCAACGGGACTTCAAGTTCCGGATCGAACTTGCCAGCTACTTCATGTACTGCTTGGTCAAACACAGAGGAGACCTCGCATAAAGTTTTACCCATGCCTAGCCACTGGCTTCCTTGGCCGGTAAAAAGCATAGCCAGCTTAGGTGTACCAGTAGGCTGGGCACCATTATGAACAAGCAGCGCTGCAGATTGCGAGCGAGCTGCCGAGTCCAACTGCCCCAGAAGGTCGGCCTCATCTCGAGCTTCCAGTACTAGGCGCCTTCGAAGATGAGTGCGGGTGGTGGCCAGGGAGTAAGCCACGTCCAAGAAAGTAATATCTCCATGGGCGTTTCTGATGTGTTGCCCAAGACGCTCGGCTTGCATCTGCAGTGCTTTATCGGTATCGGCTGAGAGGAGAAATGGTAGGGATGTTGGCAATCGCGCAACGGACCTCACGCCATTCACAACTTTGGTGTCTTCTGGCGCTTCTTCAATGATCTGGCGGAAAAATGTCAGTGGTCAAGCTTTGGGGCATCTCAACACTCTTGGTTTTTGGTTTTGGGGTATAAATGTTGCGGGGTGTACGTACGGCATGTGCATTAGTGCCGCCAATGCCAAATGCGCTCACTCCTGCTCGACGTGGGCGGCTTCCCTGAACCAACCACGGTTCCTTATTCAGTACGAGACTCATATTGGCGCCTTGCCAATCAATAGCAGGAGTTGGTTTGATTATGTGCAAGGACTGCGGGAAAGCCCCATGTTGCATGGAAAGCACTACTTTCATGAGACCTACCAGGCCGCTGGCAGCCTGAGTGTGGCCAATGTTAGATTTGGCCGCTCCGATGCGAAGAGGTTTCTCATGCGCACGGGTTGGACCAAACACCTCGGCCAAGGCCGTCCCTTCGATCGGGTCGCCCAGTTGAGTGGCCGTACCATGGGCTTCGATGTAGTCTATGTCACTCGGGCGGATCTTGGAAGCCGCGAGGGCCCTGCAGATCAGTCGCTGCTGGGCAAGCCCATTAGGCGCCGTCAATGTCGCACTCCGGCCGTCATGGTTTACCGCAGATCCACGTATAACGGCATGAATAAAGTCGCCGTCGCACTGGGCGTCAGATAAGCGTTTAAGTATCACAGCAGCAGAGCCTTCGGCCCATCCCGTCCCTTCCGTATCTGCCGAGAAAGAACGACATCGCCCGTCTTGTGACATTCCACCCAGTCGAGAGAACTCCACATGAAGCCCCGGATTGAGCATTAGGCTGACTCCCCCCGACACAGCCATGTTGCATTCGCCCAGACGCAGTGCAGTGCAGGCCATGTGAGTTGACACCAGCGATGAGGAGCAAGCTGTGTCTATGCTCATTGCTGGACCTTGAAGTCCGAAATAATAGGATACGCGCCCGGAGAGAGTCCCGCCAGCCGATCCCGTCACTGTGTGTCCATTCAAATCTTCCAGACTCCGAATCGCACCAAGATTGAGACTCTGGTGGGAGAGTATGTTGCTCGCCCCAATGTAAACACCAGTTTGGCTCCCTCGGATCTTTTCCGAGGTATAACCAGCGCGCTCAAACGCTTCCCAGCAGACCTCAAGCATCATATAGTGTGATGGGTCTAACTGGCGTGCCTCTCGCGGAGAAATGCCAAAGAATGAAATGTCAAAGGAGTCAATTGAAGATAAAAATCCACCTCGGTGACAGTAGGGATTGGCTTGACTTTCGGGCTTGGATGTAGGAATCCAGCGATTTTCAGGTACGTCTGTGATAACGTCCCTTCCCTCATCGAGAACTTGCCAAAACTGCTCAGGGGTGCTGACATTCCCGGGGAGCCGACAGGCCATCGATATGATGGCTATATCCTCCTCGCCGCCACTCTGCTGAAGTGGCCGTTTGGCTTCAGGGTGTGTGGTAGCATCAGAGGACCCCGATAGATATCCTGCCAGCGCCTTGATGGTGAAATGTTGGAACAGCTTGGCTGCTGGAATCGGGCGTCCTACTAGAATCTCGAGCTCTCTGTGGACGCGTACCACCCGGAGCGAGTCCCCTCCCACTTCAAAGAAGTTATCATGAATCGTAATATGACCGTGTTCGAGAACGTCAGACCAAATCCGGAGTATCTGCCCCTCTAGCTCGGAACTAGGGATTAGATCTCCTTTCGTGGTCTCAAGCTCCGCTGCGGGATCTGGGAGGGCTTTTCGGTCAATCTTTCCGCTAATAGAAACCGGAAACTCTCTGAGTTCAACGAAGAAGGCTGGAACCATATAAGCTGGCAGCCGCTCTGCTACCCAAGGGCGAAGCATATGGCTGAGCCGCTCTGGCACCAGTGCGTGAGCTGGCAAGTCGACACTTGTAGGCGGTGCTTGTTTGCGCACACAATAGGCGACAAGTCTGTCGTCCCGGCCGATGACCACTGCCGCAGAGATATCCTTGTGGGCGGAGATTGCGGCTTCAACGTCGCCCAGCTCAACTCTGTTGCCGCGGATCTTGACCTGTCCGTCCATACGGCCCAGAAGGGCCACGAGTCCAGACGGAGTAAAGCGGCCGAGATCACCGGTGCGGTACATCAGGCCCGGATGAAATGGGTTCCGGACAAAGCGAGAGGCGGTGAGCTCCTCATTGTTACGGTAGCCACGTCCTAGACCAAGCCCTCCAATGCACAGCTCCCCAGAAAGGCCATCCGGGATGGGCGACATGTTTTCGTCCAGTATATAAAGATGCGTGTTCTCAATGGGGCCGCCGATAACCATATCGTGATTACGACACACCTTCCACATGCTTGAGTACACGCTGGCCTCAGTTGCGCCGTACAGGTTCCACACCTCGCCTGCACAATCGAGCAATCGATCAGCAAGCGTACAGGGAAGAGCCTCTCCAGCACACAAGATCTTCCTAAGTCGAGTTTGACCGTGCCAACCCGAATCAAGAAGCATTCGCCAAAGAGTGGGTGTCCCCTGCATCATGGTGATTTGGTGGCGGTCCATGAGTTTGACGAGAGCAGCCATATCTGACAAGTCATCCCTTTCAGCCACAAATATTGTTGCGCCCCCTAACAATGGTAAGAACCAGTCGGCAACGGCCATGTCAAACGAAACAGTCGTTACAGCGAGCAGGCGGTCTGTTGCATTGCAACCTGGTTTCTTCTCCATCGATAGCATAAGGTTTGTAACTCCGGCATGAGTTATTTCGACACCTTTGGGTTGACCTGTTGATCCTGATGTGTACATTACATACGCGAGATCGGAACACTGTGGTCTAGTGTTGCGAGAGCTGCTGCTCGAAAATGCTGCGGGCGTGGCGTTCAGGATTTCGTCAACAGACGCACAGTAAGCACCACTGAGAGATGAAAAGGTTTCTTTGTCGTTGTCGTTTATGATGATCAACTTGGGAGAAGCATTCTGAAGCATCTGTCCAATGCGCCCAGCAGGCAAGCCCAGCTCAATCGGAACATAAGCAGCACCTGCTCTCAATATTGCCAGCAATACCACAACGAGCTCCGCGCAGCGATCCAACGCCACGGCCACAAGGTCTCCGCGGCCGATTTCTTGCATAACGAGAGCATTAGAGATACGGTCCGCAAAGAGATGGACTTCTCCAAAGGTAAACTTCGTTTCACCGCACACAACGGCAACTTTGTCGTAGTACTGCTTAAAGGAGGGTTCGAGAAGCTCGTGGAGACATAACCTCAATCTCGGCGAAGTGTCGGGATTGTCCAGGCCGTTCCCATTCGGCGTTTCACCACCGAGTGTGGCATGTGAGATATCGGTATCCATTGTCCTTGTAAGACCTCTAATCAGCAAAAGGATTAGATCTATTCTTTAGCCAACGATCGTCATAGTGTCTAGGAGAATGTTTCATACATATACATACATGCTGAACAGACCTCACTTGAAGATGTTGCTCACAGTAAATATCACGTGCTTTGAGGGAAATCCAGATGCTACAGAATCATTGCCAATAATTACTCCCCGAGAGCCCGCCTGGGAAGCACAGTGCAGTCACCACTCTGGACGATACCATATACCCTGGACATCAGTATCTTTGGTCGATGCCGACATGTGCCTTAGGTACCATGGATACGCGAATGCATTGCTAATCACCGTTAACGTCGAAAGAATCAGTTCTCTCGCCAATAAACGACAATTTTCGAGCATGTCAAAGATTCCAGGTGAGTGTATCTGCAGCCATGCGCGTAGCTCTAGACTTCCAAGCTTTACAAGGTACCAGTACCTTTCTTGCCAAGAGCACAATGGATTGCAATGCAACACCAGTTGATTGCATCCTGCGAGACCTGCATATTAACTTTAGATGGACCCTGAAGTCGTGTTTGAGACTGGATTTTGCAGCCCTAGCGCTGGTGGCGTTACAACACTCAGAGAGGAATCTCCAGTTGATACACAAATACGGTAAAATAAGGCCGAGGAACCCTTTCAACACACCATGAGATCAACACAGAGCTATTCGGCCTGGATGGAACCTTCCTGTTTTACAAGAGTAGCATTGCATGAATCTGCATCGGCAAGTTCGCAAGACTGGTCGTCCAGTTCTGAATCTGGCAATATTAAGCCCGAGGAAGTACGAAATTAGCGACAGTGGGGCCGCAAATGCAAACAACAACAACAAGCCTCGTCTCCACCGCAGTTGCTCGGCGCTATCATCACGAAACCGGGGCTGTATCGGCCGATGCTGAGAGATTTGGTTCTCATTGCTGCTGATGAAGGATCATGTGAAGCTTCAATTCGCCACTGAGAAACTACGTTCAAGCGCGCTCAGCCACCAGGTCCGTACTGGGCCAAGTGACCTTGCAGGCGGTGCTGACTGTCCCAAAGGACACTACACGGCGCCCTACTAGGTTCTAGACGAGCCCGGTGCTTGCATTCTTTGAGGTGACAGCTTTACATCCTATCCATAACAGTCTGTCCTTTGACTATAGCCTCAATAATTAATTGATGAGTTATTGTCATAATTGTCACCAAAGACTGATCATGGCTGTTGTCATCGTTGCCGGGGGCTTGGGTGACTTGGGTCGTCCTATCATGGATGCACTCTTTGAGAGTGGCCAGTACGAAGCTTACGCGATGTCGAGAAAGGTAGGATGAAACAGCTTTGGCCGTGATTTTATAACATCAATCGTTGACCACGCAAAGACAGAGTCCAGCGGATGGTTGGAATACCGAGCGTACCTCACCACTGACTGGCAAACGATATTTCCCTATCATCCAAACGGATTATATGTCTGAGGATGCTCTGGCTGAGCAACTCGCAGCGAAACAAGCAGCTGTTGTTATCTGTGCTCTCCCTATGGAATCAGACGCGACATGCGAGACTCAATTGCGACTCATTCGCGCCGCCGATAAGTGCTCCAATGTCAAGCGCTTTGTCCCATCCGAATTCAACGTTGAGTATGACGTGGGCGACGACATTCTTCCTTACCCCGAAAAGAGATTCCATCTCGCCGCGCGACGGGAGTTGGCAAAGACAACATCGCTCGAGTACTCGTACATTTATCCGGGCATGTTCATGGACTATTTCGGCCTACCGCGTGTGGCAAGCTCGCTTCGTCCGTTGTGCTTTTGTGTCGACGCGGAGAACGGACAGGCCATACTGCCAGGGGATGGAGAAGGCCGTATGAGCATGACATGTACAGTCGACGCTGCACGCTATCTGGTCATGGCTCTCCAACTAGAAAAGTGGCCACGAATCATGAAGGTCGTGGCAAGTACAGTCTCAATGAATGAACTTGTCAAAATCTTCGAGAAGACGCTTGGCCGAAAACTCGAAGTGCGCTATCAGCCTGTAGAGAAATTGCTCAAGCATGAAGCGATTGACCTACCCGTCAATATCGCCATTGCGGAGAGATTCTCTGACCGATTTCCTCAGGGCATCAAAGGGATAGTGGCCGATCTTGAAGCGTCAGTGGCACTTGGAGGGTATGACCTAGATAGGCTTGGCGAACACCTCGATCTTGTCAAGCGTTTTGAAGGAAGGACTCCGCCTCCGAAAAGCATTGAGCAATTGATAGAAGAGGCGTGGAAACCATCATAAAACATATGGAAGGACAAGAAGGCATACAACATCAACAACCAAGTTCTCATTATGGTGCCTTAATAAATGCGTTGTGCAAAGCCATTACGAAGAATCATCGCTTCTAGCAGTAAACCTCATCCACCTCGCCATAGTTGGTCTTCCATACCCCCGGGCTGTCTTTGAGAAATTGAGATCGAAATCCGATCATACGCTGTCCTCGTGGCGTGAGTGTCTTTGCAATGTCTCTGCTGACAACGAATGGGTATGCCTCCTCAGGCGTTAGGTAGGAGCACTGGAAAACCATGGCCACACCTCGTCTAACAAAATTCTTCGTCCTGTTGGCACCACCACCATGAACAACCTTGCCTGTAATGAAACAAGCATCACCTGCTTCCATCTCGGCTGGGATAGTGTCTTCGGGTGTTCCGTTCTGTGAAAAGTCATCCCACTTGTGACTACCGGGAATGATTCTTGTCGCCCCGTTCTCGTCCGTGAACTCAGTCAGCGCCACAAGGAAGTTACAGCTAGCCTCGGGTGCATCAGGACCACAACGAGTAAAGATAGGGAACTGCCACTGGTCTCGGTGGAGGGGCTGGGCCTTGCTTCCAGGACCGATGTCAATGAGCTGGGCTGAATTCATCCAGTAGCCGCCCGCATCTTTGAAATAAATCTCCTCACAGATTTGGTGGATCAACTCGCACTCGAGAAACTCGTGCCGAAATGTTTTACTCACGGCTACCATGCCGTTAAGCCGTTTCGTGTTGTCTCCGTGAAACTCCTGCAGCCATTCTTCAGACTGTTTTGAGCCTGTCGCCAGCCTATCTATAGCCGGCTGGACCTCTTCGTTCAGACGACGAACTTGGTCTTTGGTGAAGAGACCCTTGATAATGACACCGCCATCCTCATGAAGAGCGCTCAGGACTGCATCACGCCCTTCGGCCAGGTCGACTTGCTTGAGCTTCGCTTGTCCGCTAGGCATGGTGTGAGCACGTGCGGGGGGTGTTTCCTCGGCAGACAACTAGGTTTGGGCCGTCGGGAAGTCGAAACACCATCATTATGCCGAAGCAGATGTTGTTCTCTCTTCCCAGTCAAAAGCGGTGAAGGCCCTTTCTATCTAATATCATAGTAAATGAACGCAATGCCTTATTGGCTTACGTTCGTTCTGCATCAATAACATTGCGGTGGGTCATGCAATGCATTGTGCCCAAGCCAAGCCCTAAGGCTACATACATCCTGGAGCTAGAGCTGCAATCCAAGTGGAAATCCGTGGAACTTCCCCTTTCTGATCTGTAACGCCGAGGCTGGTCTGATCCTACCATCCCTTGTGGATTGCACGGATCCCATGTTGAAACTACCTTCTGCGTATGTCACTCCACCGAAGGAATGAGACATGTTGGGTCTGTATATTCATAGAGAAGCAGCTAGTTTTAATTCCGATACCATCCAAATGCCAAATGATTTTGGAAGAACCAAAGAGCACAATAGTATCTAAGAGTTATTGGAAATGCTCAGATTCTGCAGAATGTCGCCCACAGACACTCGCAAGTTCATGTGAGCAGTAGATAGTAATCGGAAGGCCTCCTTGATATGCCTCATCATTTCCTTGACCACACTCTCGCGCACAAACTTCTCGTCAAAGTAGACCGCAAATCTCAGCTCATTTTCGCGCACAGATACATCGACTGTGAAAGGGTCACCCCACCTTTCGTGTTCATCAACCACCGTCAACCCCATGCTTGCCCCTATTTCTCCAAGAGGAGTATATGGATTGATGTTCATGTTGAGAGCATGCCCCAAGACGTCTTTGAGGTTATCCAGCTTCCTCAACTCGGTGAACCCCATGTACTCGTAAGGCATCATCGCAGTGTTGGCTCGCTGATGGTTATAGAGTAGATCATGGACTCGTTGCCGAGGATCAACACGGACACGCAATGGAAGATAAAGTGTCGCCGGGGCCATGAGGTCTTGTATGCCGGCAACAGGGAGGTTGCGACCGGCCCGGTCGGAATAAAATACCACGTCTCTGCAGTTCAGGAGCCGAGAAATAGCCAATGCCACGCTACATTCGATGATTGTCGCCAAGGTGTAGTCCAAGGGTGGGAGGTGAGGTTTTGCTAAGGTCCATCTATGAATTTGCAGCTCCTTCACCTCGCTACCGATAGCCGCGGAAAGAAGGGCCTTTGTCGATGATCCTGCGAGATAAGCAGACCAGAACTGGCTTCCCAACTGGCGGTCTGCTCCGTTGACATACTTGATGAATTGACTGACTTTCGGCGGGTGGGTTCTGGGGTAAGACTGATTTTTGTACGCACTCTCTAGCTCCTTGAAGAGCATATCGCGCGAATAAGCATCATAAATCAGATGCTGCATCGTGAGCACGAAGTGACAGGGCTGCGTAGACTTCGTGATTGCCAATCGCAAAAGCTCGTCGCCAAACGACATGCTAGTCTGCCTATCCCAACGCACATAGTCATCTAGATTGTCAACCTCTCTCCAAGTAGGCGCGACTTCGTTCCGCAGAGCAGCTTGGTACACGCCGTGTGAGGTTTTGACGACGCGTGTACGAAGCTGAGGGTGGGACCTCACTGCGTCAGACCATATCGACTTGAAGAGTGGTATGTTAAAGGATTCGGGAAGTAAGAAAACAATCTGCTGCTGCCAGTCCCAAGGCCCAGAGCTGCCGCGGCCTAACTCGGGGTAGCTAAAGACATACTGTTCTTGCATCGAGTACAATGGAAATATGTCCTCGATGTCCTCTAGTCGTACTCCACACTGCAGAGCCGTCTCCTGACGAATTCCCAGCCTAACAGACGGCTCAAGCAAAGAGAAAGGGGCCAGATCGGCAGACTGCTGTAAAGAAACAAGCTCAGGTGCCAGATGTTTTAAGACAGGGTGTGCAAAAACATCTTCTGCAACAAGGACAATATTCACTCTTCTTGCCATTGAGATCATCTTCATGACTAACAGAGAGTCGCCTCCGAGATGGAAAAAGTTGTCGTCAGGCTGGATGGAAGTGGAGTCAATTCCAAGCACGCTTGACCACAGCTTTCGGAGCAGGTCCTCATTTTCCGTAAGTATGAATCCTTCTGCGTTGCTCCTCTCAAGCAAGTTTCCCTGGGAATTCGAAAATGCGGCCAGCCACCTAGCTGGGAAGCTCTCTAGGATGTGTCGTATCCTCTGTCGGTCACGTTTGCGCGACAGGGTGAAGGGCATGTCGTCAATGGGAACCCACAAAGTCGGCACCATAAATCCAGGCACCAGCTCCCTCATCTTTGGCTCAAGTAGCGACAGAAGACTTGCGAAGTTACGAGTTGTTCTTGGAGAGAGACTCATGGTCGCTCCGCATCTCCCATCGCCACAAAGGAGCGACCCCAAGGGTTCGGTAGTGTCCAGACACAATACTGCCAGAAGTTGTGTATCGTTCGAACCAAGCGGTACTGCTGCGTCGGCCAGTACGCTCTTGGCACGTACGTTGAGTGTTTCGAGAGCTCGGCGAATATTCTCTTCGACCTCTTCTAACTCCATCCTCTGTGCACGGATCTTCACCTGATTGTCAACCCTCCCCGCGTAGACAAGTCGTCTATCGGGTAATTGGCGGACCAAGTCCCCTGTTCGATACGCCCGATGCATCTCACGGTTTGAAAACTTGGCATTGCTTTCACGGACCGCATTCAGGTAACCCCGAGCTACCAGTGGACCTTCAATAACAAGCTCACCCACATCATCTTCAGCAACCGTTACAAACTCGCCAGATGAATTGTTTCTCGAAGGGTGCGTAACCCAAATTCGGCTCGCGACTGGTTGGCCAATCTCACCCTGGATATTATCATTCGAAGTTGGGTTCTGTACGACGCAGCTGACAGTACACTCAGTCGAGCCGTATATCAGTTTCAAGTCGACCTTGTGTTGCCACTCCTTAATGAGCGCAGTAGGCGCAACCTCCCCTCCAAGAATTAGCGTCTTGAGGGTGGGCAGGTTGTCTGTTGTCAGGTCCGGCACAGAGCTGACGAATGATGGAGTGAATTTCGCAAGGTTGACTCTCATACTGCTCATGGCTTCAACGACGTCTCTCCTGCGTTGCTCCTCTGATGGGATGCAAACAGTACCGCCCGCAGCAAGAGTCAGAAAGATGTCTCCGATGATTGGATCAAAGGCATATGAAGCGAACTGGAACGCTCTTGTGTGCGAGGTGAAACCCAGTGGTTGCGTGAGATGGGCGACGAATGACGACAACTGCGCATGCTCTGTGACGACGAGCTTGGGCTTTCCGGTACTTCCCGAAGTAGCCATGACGTAAGCGGCATCGCCGATGCTCGCTGGGCACTGATAGGTAGACTCGTCTAAGTCTGCAATAGTCCTCTCTGTGACGGAGAAGGCCCTCTGAACCAGGGAAGAGCAGAGCTCATAACAGCTTGCCGAGCATAGAGCAAATGCAGCATGACTCTCGGCAATCACCGCACGAAGACGCGATTCTGGCTGGGATATGTCCAGGGGCATAAAGGCACCACCGGCCTTCATGATGGCAAGCATGCTGACAACTGCCCATCGGGACTTTTCGAAAAGCAGCGGTACAATTGTTTCTGGCTTGACTCCCTCGCGTACAAGGTGACCCGCAAGACGTGTGGCGGTGTCATCGAGCGCTTTGTAAGTAAGGATGCCATCCCAGGAAACAACCGCCTCCGAATTGGGATGTTCCTCAACCTCGGCATGGACCAAATTGTGGACCAAGGCCAATGACTCTGGCAAACATCTCATATGGTGAAACGGGCTCGTGTTGTCGCAACTGTGGACATCGATCGAGCTCATTGTGTCTGATTGGTGCAACGATGAGTCAGGTATCACGCTGGAGATACGAGCAAAAGAGAGGAAAAGGTAATTGGGTAGCCGTAACTGTTCAGGACTGCAAGGATGCATTCGCCCTTTTTATATACAACGCAACTGCCTGAACTGACATAATCCTGGATGCCTTGTACAAGTAGAGACAGCAATGAAGTGGGGTAGGTACCTAGGTAGGTACTGCTCGGTTAGGTACTGTGAACATCACCTATTACAACGACCCACACACTCTGACCACAGAGATCAGAAGCAACTAGTCTTATAACGCCCAGATATATGTACCCAAATAATACGACCGAACCGACAAAGATATCTAAACAAAACTACACCTATCTTGCTCTTCTATTAGTTAATAAGCATCTTCCAGTTCCATTCCGAAAAAACATCCAACCAGCATGTGGCCACACCATTATCATATCTCTGCCAAACCTCTTGCAATGCAACTCCTAGTTGTCCCACCGCAGCGATTCCATTACGGGTCCGGAGGTCATCAAAGATAGACAAAACCCACGTCCTATTTTCAGACTTCTTACAGAATTGTCCAGCGGCTAGAAGTGGGAATGATCCAACATTGAAGAGCCGACTGCCGAATGGAATGTCTTTCATGATCGAAATAATGTAGTCGGACAGGTCGCATAAGAATTGTTCCTCGCCCAGGCTATCAGACAGTCCCGTCGCGCGATTGCGAAGGATGTGAGGAAAGAAACAATAGAGTTGTACGAGACCACCAAGACTGTACGCCTGAGCCATGACTGCGAACTGTTGTTCGGCCGGTGGATGGAGCGGCCGTTCGAACTGTGGTACAGCCAAGCAGATCGTATCCAGGAATTTCAACGTTTTGGGAGTCAAACCCTCACTCTCCTCACTAGTAATTGGCGTTGCAGGTTTTGGACTGTCTTCTCCGTTAACTATCCACGAGAGGAAAAATGCCTCGATAGATAAAACCTCTTCCTGGAGGCTCTGGGTGAGGCCATACTGGCGGGCCTCTCGTGCAAGTTCTGTAAGCCTTCCAATCCGTGGAAGAAGCGGCGCCCACGTCCCAAGAATGGGATCCGCATCTCCGTGGAAACCGGTATCATGATTGGCATTAGTGTGTGTCTCGCTGAGCGAGGAGCTCATCCCGGAATAGTCATCCACAAGACTTGCTAAGGCTTCAACCCAGCACATTGCATTCCGCATCGTCTTGCTCGTGCGCTCGAATTCGGATCGGTTCAATGATATAAAATGCTTTGCACTTTCAAGGTAGGTAGTACCGCAGGCGATCGGTACGAAATAGCTCTCCGTCATGCTGAGGAGGATGCAGGCGACGAAGTTACCCTCATTCCATTCGCCTTGATCGATGCTTCTGTGCAGAGCGGTCGTCGCCTGTGCACGACAGGTGAGCCCATAGTCTCTCATATGTTGGTCGTCAAAACTGTCCGCTAGGTGTATGGCAGCGATGCATGTTGTGGCATTGGCCAGAGCATCGGAAGCTCCGACCAGACGTTGGATGCCCTCACCGAAGGGGTTCGATGGAGTATCAAATATCGTGAAAATCGGTACCACATTGGTGAAGTAGTGGATCGAAAGAAATACTCTAAGCTCGTTTTCTGGGCTCAGGCCAGAACTTATGGATATAGGAGGGTTGAGCAATCCGTCAATAATGTCGGTGCCAGCTTCCGAGAATATTGATGAAGTTCCCCGAAATAGCGCGGTAAGAGCGTCAAGATCATCATCGGGATCTTGGTAGATGGCTGCTTCCGTGACGCGTTTGTCAATGTCCTCTTGAGGTCGTGAGAAGACACTGCTCTCGCCTTGCCCACTGACAACAGCAATGGCCGAGAGGTCACCGTTGCTACTTATAGAGGAGAAATCTTTAGTTGAGTGTGATTTGTTGTTTGTAGAGATGGAAGGATCAGTGTCAACCGAGGGAGGAGACCGGCTTGCTCTCGTCGAGGGAGTGCGAGTTTGACGTTTCCTCCTCTTGATCTTAGGACCATCAATCCATGTGAGGGAAAGGGACGAGTAGCCAGGACAGTCCTGACCCTTTTCCACGCAGCGGCGGCACGCTGGTTTGCTAAGATCACAACGCCTATGTTTGTCTTTGCATGTCTGACAGCCTGCAGATCGCATCATTAGCGCCGATCCAGAAGCTTCACGCTCGGGTCTTCAGTACGAACCAAGCCGAGTCTTCGATATTCTTGGAGGGATTTTTATGTCCTTGGGCAACTTAAACTCCATTCCGCAAGAGTCTCAGGCGCGAGGTCGGAACCACGGTTGATGTCAATATTAGTAAAACAAGAAACATTTGCGCAGTCTTTGGGGCAAAGAAATATTGAATGAAACAGGGTGCCAGGGGTGGGCTACCAAGTGTCGATCCACTGATAACGATCAGCCCTAGGATTGGGTAGGCCCTGGGGGAGGGGGGAGACACTCTATCTTCCACTAGGCCTGGTAGCTCGCGTATTGAGCATCCCACCTCGGATCCAGCACGGGATACGGTCTCTTTAAGTGCAAAACCATAAATCTCATATTCCTGGGTACGTTCAGCAAACGAGGCAAATACACAAGTTTGGTCCAGATATCAACTATTTGAACACAATGCGAGAGGAATGATGTGTTCACTTCATAACACATGTGACTCCGTGTTAATCTGTCGGTGATCAGAACGTCTAGTAAACGTCTCCCATCCCACTGCTCATCTTATTCATGCTATAGAGTGATCATCTTGTGGGTTACTTCTTTTTCTCACCAGCATTGCCCGATGCTACCCCATCGATATGAATCTCTACTACAGGACCATGATAACTTTTATGTGCCCTGAGTGTCCAATAAGTTCCAGCCAGTATCAGGCAAGCCCCAAGAATCAGGCAAGTGTAGTTCATGTTTGCCGCCGTGACGGGGTAGAATGTTGGGAACTCGAAGAAGACCAACGTGAAAAGAACCCAACATATCATCAGTCCATTCGACACCCACCCAGTGATGCCACCCATGTGAAATTTTCCCCGGCGGAAATCCTTGCGACCGCACAACATATTGACAAGTACTGGCGTGGCATACGTCAGGTTGTTGAGCACCAAGCCCGAAGAAATGAAAGCGCTGAAAGCAGTAGTGTTGCCAATGTAGATGCATCCTAGTAAGCTCAGACAGACGCCGATTGTAATAGATGCTTGAACAGGGACACCAGTTGAAGTGTTGACTTTCTTGAGCGAAGTGGAGAACGGCATGGCATTGTCACGGGCAAGGGCCCATAGCAGCCGCCCGGTTGCAACTTGGCAGTCCAGGAGAGATGGTATTGTGGCGAAGAAAATGAGCAGAGTAAGCCCCAAACCGCCAGCCGTACCCGCCGCCTGTCGATACATTTCGACAACCGGTAGACCTGTGTTGCTGGCTAGGATGGCATCATAGTCGGAGACGCTGAAGAAAGCATTGACGAGAAAGGCAAATCCCGAGACGAATCCGATTCCCAGGACAGCCAGCAAGGATAGCGGGACGTTTCGTTCAGGATCCTTGACTTCCTCAGAGTAATGTATGGTTGCGTCGATGGCAGCATATCCAAACGCAGGGTTGATGAGCCCGATGCACGCTGTAATGCCGTTACTGGTCCATCCCGTCTTGTTGATCCAGGTAGCAAATACTGCAGTAGCGGATTGTTTCGGTTGCGAAAGAGCCGCCATGACGATTATCGTGATAAAACAGGACGCGATGCTCCAGAAGAGAGCGAACCGAATGACATGGGGCATCAGGGCATTGCCGCAGATGCTATACACGGTGGAAATGATGGCCCAGGCTTCGTATAGAACAAAGATCATCCAACGCTGTTTCCCAGACACCACCAGTTAGCCAGAGACTCGAAGCGCGGCGAAGATTACTCACCTCGAATGCAAAGTTGACGTTCATTAGAATAGCCATTGCAATAATATATTGAGCCAGCATCAATACCGACCCGGCAGTACCGACAATCCATGCAAAAAGATTGAGATAGCCTGTAAGGAAGCTTGCCACTCGTGACCATCTCTTCGGAGCTATCACAGCGGCCCAGTGGTAAGGACCTCCTGCCGTCGGATAAGAACTGGCTAACTCAGCGAGAGACAGAGCCACGAAAGCATTGGCGATCGTCACGAATATGTAGCCATACAGGATCAGCGATGGGCCGCCTGAATAGACGCCGGTTACCAATGTTCCCGCGAGACCGGACCAGGAGTTTGAGGCAATGCAGCCAATGGCGATGACGGACACGAGGCCATACTGCCTCTTCAGTTGAGCGACGTGGCCAAGCTCAGCGAGGCGTATATTGTCTGCATCAGTGATGGGACTGATAGTGCCATTAGTGACATCAACAGCATCCGAGTCTGGACTCGGAGCATCTGATGCATGTCCCTGTTTGACACCCGCCATTCTTTGGATAGAAAAAGGGTAGAAAAGCTTGGACAATGAGTGTAGAAGTTTGGAAAGATCACAAGTAGCAGCAGATTTGGTTGGGGTGTCGAAACACTCACGGGGGTTTTAATGGTGGCGGCCTGATATCCATAGCTGCGTCCAGGCGATAGTGAATGGCACTTCACGAGAGCTTCTTCCGTTGTTTCTTGATGGGGGCCCATGGAGTCGGGAGTTGCGAGATAGTTTGATGGATGAATCGGGATAGGTCCGTGCCTTTTCATCGATGATAAGAGATATGCCGAATCGGGCGTTACATCGCCCGTGTTCTTATTGGTGGCTGGAAGGTGTTATCGAGCCAGGCCAAAGAGCACGCACGCCTCAAGGCACTTGGGACTTGAGCCGAGGGACTTATTCCCAGCGACGATAAGAGCTCCCTTGAACAGTACTGGTACAAGGTAGATATGCCGAATCGGGCTGTACGTCGCGCGCATTCTCATTGGTGGTGTGTGTCGGTTACCCCACAGTCGCCAATCTCCTATCTCGTGTGGTGGGGCTTCTAACATGTTCATTCCCGAGAAACCCATCAAGCATTATATCCACGCCAAACCAGCGTGACACGAAAACACTAACGTCTATCATCAAAAGACACTTTTGAGTCATTCCTGATCGTAACAGGTATATGTTTCCCTAAATCATGATTGGTGTGAGATAGGAAACACTATCAATGGAGGATGCTTCGAACAGTGCCATAAAACACCAAAGAGCAGCCAAAGCAGCTACTCTGTCCCGATCTCCCCATCATTGCTCTTCATCTTTACGGATTCTCAGTGCTGTCACTACATCGTTCTCAAAATGCATCCTTTGAGCCCAGTCAGGCCGGATGAGATCTCGGCGGTATCTCGCTTGCTGCAGGCGTCATTGAAGGGAGTTGGCCTTCGGTTCAAGATCATCGATCTCCAGGAGCCCATCAAGAAAGATCTCGTTCCCTTCCTGGAGGCAGAACGAACCGGAGCGGTGCTACCTCGGCCGCCTCCTCGTATCTTCTATGCTCTCTTCGATCGTCTTGACAATGGAAACTTCGTAAAGGCCCTTGTCAATGTCACCAACAGCCATATCATGAGCATTAGGGAGCTTCCCAAAGATCTTCATGTATGAGACCGAGATAAGTTCCGTTGCAAGCGGCACTGGGCGTTGAGGGTCTGATGCCTGACTTCATTTAGGGTCCCGTCGATGGCGACGAAGTTTTGGAGCTGGAAGCAATGTGCCTAAAACATCCCGACGTTATCGCTGAAATCGAAAAGCTCCAACTTCCACCAGGAGTCACCGTGTGCACAGATCCTTGGGTCTACGGGACCGACTCGGAATCGGAAACTCGACGGCTTACCCAGTTTTACATGTATCTCGTGGACAACAACCCCGAATGCAACCACTACTCTTTACCGCTAAAGATCTCACCCGTCTTTGACACCACCACCAAGACACTGATCAGGATCGATTATCTTCCTTCTGGAGCGGACGAGAAGACAACAGAGACAACACCCTGGAAGCCGACTAAGGCGGTCGAATTTGCACCAGAGCTCCTCACTGAGCCGATGCGCGAAGATGTCAAGCCATATATAGTTCAGCAGCCGGACGGTGCCTCGTTCACTATCGAAGATGAAAATGTTGTTCGGTGGCAAAAGTGGCGCTTCCGCGTGCGGTCAACGTACCGCGAGGGCATTGTCCTACAGAACGTTACGTACGATGGGCGAAACGTCATTTATCGCATGGCAATCAACGAGATGACAGTTCCGTATGGTGGTAAGTTATTGACTTCGTGGGCGTGTTTCCTTGGGGTACCTGACTAAGAACATCCCAGACCCTCGCGCTCCGTACCACCGAAAACAGGCTTTTGATGCTGGTGATGTCGGCTTTGGAGCTACAGCCAATGCCCTCAGTCTCGGATGCGATTGCCTTGGCCATATCCACTACTTTTCCTCTGTCCGCGCATCGTCCTCCGGAATGCCAGTTGATATGCCGAACGTGATCTGCCTCCACGAGCAAGATGCCGGACTGCAGTTCAAGCACACAAATTACAGGACGAACACTGCCACAGTTGTTCGCAATCGACAGTTGGTTGTGCAGATGATATGCACCCTGGCTAACTATGAGTATATATTTGCCTATATTTTCGACCAAGCTGGAGGCCTTGAGACCGAAATCCGGGCCACTGGTATTCTCTCCACCATGCCGATCGATGAGGGCATCACAGTCCCTTGGGGCACCAATGTTGCTCCCGGAGTGATGGCAGCGAACCACCAACATCTGTTCTCTCTACGTATCGACCCTGCAATTGACGGATACAATAACACAGCGTTCTTTGAAGAGAGCATGGCAATGGAGAGGGACCCAAAGCTGAATCCTTACGGAGCGGGATACGTGGCCAAGCAGACCAGCATCGTGCAATCTGGTTCAGCAGTCTTGGACACATCTAAGAACAGGGTCTTCAAGATTCGGAACGACAGTGTCATCAACCAGGTCTCTCAAAAGCCTGTCGCATACAAGATTCATGCCGCACCTTCCCAGATGCTGGTGTTTGGGGATGATACATATCAGGTGCGACGGGCTCGTTATGCGACGAAACCATTTTGGTTCACCAAATACCGCGACGACGAGTTGTACGCTGCGGGTGAATTCACGAATATGAGCCGGGCAAGCTCGGGCGTCGAGGTTTGGTCTGGACGGGGTGACAACATTGAGAACAATGATGTTGTGATTTGGCATAGTAAGTATAGATATCTTTTGCATCGAGAAGTTCACTGACGATTGATCCTCAAACATAGCATTTGGGCTCACCCACAATCCTCGCCCCGAAGATTTCCCTGTTATGCCGGTTGAGAGAATCAGCGTCACCTTGAAGCCGGATGGGTTCTTCACCAAGAACCCCGCGCTTGATGTACCGCAGTCCAGTCAACGGTTCAACAAATCTATTCTTCATCAGGACAAAGCAGAGCCTATTGTGGATACATCATCGTCCTGTTGCAGCACATATGTACCCAAGGCTCATATGTAAATAGGTATCTATAGATACCAGGCTCGTCAAGTGAGAGGAGAAATAATAGTAAAAGGGTTTTTGTTTAATTATTGAGTCGATTTGGACAAACATTGAGAACGAGGAGGGAAAGCACCTAACACCAACCTAAAACATCGTCAACTCTTATATAGAAGCATCAACTCACCTAGTCAAACAACAGGCTCAACTTGCTGATCAACCTAAGACTCTGCTCAAGCACTCTAGCACTCAAATAACACTGTCTCCTTTTGATCAGAACGCAGCTTGATTGATTCCCCTCCTCCTCTATAAGAACGTCCTTCCCTCTCTCTATTTATCTAGGTGCTAGGACGCCCCTAGCTTGTGTAGGTCGTCTGGCTGACTAGTGGTGAGGTTGATCAAGTGTTTGAGGAGTCTCTAAGCCTGGACATAACATCTGATATGACTTTCTTTCAACTATAAAAATCTTTTGACAACATTTCACATCAGGTGGTAAAGTTTGACCCATTGGGAGTGACTGAACGACTATGTAGCCAGGATGGTCCTGTAAGAGGGCACATTTACATGCCTGTATGTGGCTTGAGATTGAGCCTGGTCGTTGCGTAATCCTTGGCCTCGGTCACAGAATCCATTTCTACTTGTAATTTATCAATTGATAGTACTACTCACCTAGATTGTATCGTGAGTCTGCAAGTTTCAATATCTAAAGTATGACGGATTCCCAATACCCTTGATTAGCGTATAGAATGATAAGATTAAGGAATTTCACCCAATCCAAAAAGGGAAGTCCATCCCACGCTTAATGATTGGGTGTTGATAAGCAGGTATACTAGCGTATTTCTTACTGTTAGTGCTACCGTTTTGGTATCCTGAAATATCTTGAGGGCTTGAAAAGATGTGCGTGATCATATCTATAAGTAGCTCTGGCCCCTATTTTCTTACAGTCCATAAAGTTCTTATACAGAATATTCCTTGTGCTGTCTCAAGTTCAAGACACGTAGTGTTGAAGTTCTATTGATTCTTGTTTGCAGTTCATGCAGCCATGGATACAGCAACTGGCTTCTTGATTGATGGGCCGTTGACGGACGGGTTCAAATTCCGGAAAGGAACGGTAAGAAAAATATTCACATCGCAAAAGTGTCATACTGATTAGTATTCTTTGCATGACCAGTTCGAACTGAAGCCGTTTGAGGACAATGGTGAGTTATAAGATTAGCCATAAGACGTATTTGTGATAAGCTGACCATTGCTAGATGTGGATATACGTATTGAGTCATGCAGTATTTGTGGAACGGATCTGCATGTGGCTACAGGTAAACTGTGTGCGTCGACAGAAACACCGTGCACGACCACTGACGTGAAGTAGGAGAGTGGAAAGATCAACTGTATCCTTTGTGCGTCGGTCATGGTGCGATACTCCATCTCATTTGAATGGCCAACGGGACGTTGCTGACGTCTCAGCACAGAGATTACAGGAACAGTCATTCGGGTTGGCCCAAAGGTGACTCTTGTTAAGGTTGGCCAACGGGTGGGAGTTGGTGCCCAAGCGTCTTCATGTGGAGCATGCAAGCCTTGCCAGTCAGATAATGAGACTTATTGCCAGGACGGCATTATCCATACTGTCGGCTCTAGGTGGCCCGAGAGCGGTATCGTCAGCCAGGGAGGGCTATCGTCTCACACCCGTGTGCACGAGAAATGGGCCTTCCCTATTCCGGACGGCATGGACTCTAAGTATGTGTCGCCGATGCTCTGCGCGGGAATTACCGCATACTCGCCCTTGGTCTCATATGGCAACATCTCCGGAAAGAAGATCGGAGTGATTGGTCTTGGTGGAATAGGGCACTTCGCGGTCCTATGGGGCAAAGCACTTGGTGCAGAGGTGTGGGTGCTGTCTCGCTCCCGGGCGAAGGAGGATGCCGCGGTCGCCATGGGTGCGGATGGATTTATTGCAACTGGAGAGGGAGAGCTCTGGCATGAGCCGCACCGTGGCGATTTCACACTCATCCTCAATACTGCTAGCTCGGCTACTGATTTTGATCTAAGAAAGTATCTTTCCATGATCGACGTCAGGGGCCACTTCATCAGCGTCGGTATGCCTGCGGAAGGCGGGTTTACTCTTAGTGCAATGGATATGGTCCTGAACGGGGTGCTGATTGGGGCCAGCCATATTGGAAACAGACGACAGGTGTTGGACATGCTACAGCTGGCCTCGGAAAAAGGTATCAAGCCGTGGGTGGAGGAGATGGAGCTGAACGAGGAAAACCTAATCCTTGCAATGAAGAAGATGATGGATAGCAAAGCTCGGTTCCGCATCACGATGACCGGCTATAGTAAAGCGTTCAGCATTGCATAGGTAAAATCATATAGATCAGCCTATCTCTCTTCGAGAGTGCATAATAGTGTCTCCACATCACAAAAGGCGTTGAGATGGCACGGGTGTGAGCTTCTTCATGTCATCCGTATGGTCTGGATCCTTAGTCCCAGGCTGCCGTGGGCCGCACGCCGAAGCAGAACAGCTACGGATTGTGCGCAACCTAATTAACAACATCGACAGCCTCAACCAAAAGATGTGGGCATGGAGTAGCAGTGACAGCCTGATGACCGAGGAGATCATGCGTCTTAGCGACCGAACGCCACCAATGCCGTGCGAGTCTTTTGGCTAATAATGCCCAGTGAAATACTCTAAATTGCTTGAACCACTCCTATCTTTACCCAGAGTTACTCCTGCAAGGACGTATAACCCTCCTCTTTCACCACCTTGAAGCCGCCGTCCAGGTTGAATACCGGCGTATCGATTCCCTGCCGAAGAATCCGGCTCGCCACGTACCCGCGATATCCCACCCAACAATACGCCAGTACCGGCTTATCTACCTTCAGTTCTCCTATCCGCTGTCGGAGCTCGCCTAGAGGGATGTTGACAGCTCCCCGTAAATGCCCGCGGGAATACTCATCTACAGACCTGACATCGACGACCTGGAACTGATCCAGGTCGGTGCGACCACCATTTACAAGATCTGCGGCATGGACGATGCGCACATCCCCGCGCAGCACATTGCCGGCAGCAAACCCCGCCATGTTGATTGGATCCTTCGCGGCGCCATATGGCGGCGCATACGCGAGCTCAAGGTGCTCAAGATCCTCTGCCGTCATGCCGGCCATCATAGCCGTCGCCACAACGTCGACGCGTTTATCAACGCCCTCCCCGCCCACGATCTGTAACCCCAGGAGCCGTCCCCCGGGGACCTCGAAGCCTAGCTTCATGGTCATGGCCTCCGCCCCAGGATACCAGGCAACGTGATGAGGAGGGTGGACTGTGACGTATTCGTACTGCAGGCCAAGTCGGTCTAGGCGCTCTGTCGAGAAGCCGACGAGCCCGGCAGTTTTTCCAAAGACGCGACACACCGATGAGCCGACGTTCCCGCGGTACTGCACCGACCGGCCCGCAATGACATCGGCGACCAGGCGGCCCTGGCGGTTTGCCGGCCCCGCGAGAGCGAGAGGCATGTCCCGGCCGGCCACGATGTTGTGCGTCTCTACCATGTCGCCAACTGCATAGACATCGGGGTCCGAAGTGCGCATCAAGTTGTCAACCGTGATGCCCCCTGTCGGTCCCACCGCCAGACCCGCTGCTTTGGCGATGGTGTTCCTGGGGCGCACGCCAGCGGCTACGATGACAAGGTCTGCCGTGACAGGGTCACATCCTTCCAGGGAGATTTCCAACGTCGAATTTGATGATGATGAGGGCGATCTCTTGATTTCTGAAATGCGAGCATCGAGCTTCAGCTCGACCTGATTCCGGCGCAGCTCGTCATCCAACAAGACGGCCAGGTCGCCGTCCAGCAAAGGGAAAACATGCGGAGCGTACTCAAGCAGAGCCACTTCGAGGCCCTTCTTACGCAGATTCTCCACCGTCTCTAGTCCGATGAACCCTCCCCCGATGACGGCGGCTCGGCGACAATTATTTTCGGCGATGAATTTCTCAACGTTTTGCAGGTCGGTTATTGTCTGCAAAACGAAGATGCCCGAGGCGATGTCGTCGAGACCCTTCATACTTGGCATTGCGGCCTCGGCCCCCATTGCTAGGACTAGCTTGTCGTAGGGAAGTGCGGAGTCCTTCCCGGAGAGCAGGTCGCGGACAACGGCGGTCTTCCGCTGTCTTTGGATGCTGGTCAGCTCCGTGTTGGTCATGACGTCGACATTGAACCAGCTCTTGATCTTGTCGACCGTCTGCACGTGGAGCTTGGCTTCATCTGTGATGACACCTCCAAGGGCGTATGGTATTCCGCAGCTCGCAGAGCTGATGTACGGGCCCTTTTCAATGATGGTAATTCTGGCGAATTCGTCGAGGCGGCGCAGCCGGGTTGCACATGACATGCCGCCGGCGACGCCGCCAATGATAACAATGTTACGAGGGTTTTGCATAGCAATGATTTCAAAAAATGATCCAAGATATGTTTGTCCACAGCATGGCACTGTTGTTGCTGCCCGTCGAGTGTTGCTCTGACTTATACGAGGTCCGTAGTCAGGTATCACGCCACACAGCCCCAGGCTTGGCATGTGAGTGGACCCCGACTCAAATACCGACCGACCGGCGACAGCAAAACTTCGCTAACGACTCGGCGACCTTGAAAATCCTATAGGGTCTTCAGATTTTAGCTTTACTTTTTCATCACATGACATCAAGCCCGCGAACCCGATGATCTGATGGTCCCTTTGGACAGAAAAATGGCCACTAACTCCCCGAGGTCGCCGTTACCTCGCAAATGCTCGAGGCTGGTATCACGCCAGATGTCGACAGCTGCAGATCCGGCGGGCACAGTCGCCCATATGCAACATGTGCTCGATGCTTCGTGAGATCATAACTAGGTGAAAGGGTTGGATTCTTAAAGTAGAACCCTCATCTGAGCATAACATTGTATGACGTGACTGTTTAGTAAACAGCGGGTCCCCTGGCTCTGCTTCACATGCCAATCATGTCGATGGAAATCAGCTCGAGGTCGTCGAGACTTGCAATATTTTCGGCTACCCGGTCTCTTTGCATGTAACTCCTGTCACGGCAGCAGCCGTAGCTACTTCCGCAAGGAGACTAGACCAAAAAAGTGAGTTTGCTCTCTCAGATCTTCTAGCTGACCTGCCTCCCCGGTTCAGCAAGCTAGCTCCAGGTGTCAGCTGCGCTGTGATGATCAGCATAAATGGCGCTTTGGTAGCAATGCCCCTGCTCATTTTCCAGTGTCTTAGACAGGCCCGTACTGGAGTAAGTAATAACTCTAATTGCCGCGATCTATGAAACTGTCGTCGAAACGGGCATTGCTCAAATATATTTCCAGCTCTCTTAGATACTATCAGTATACGAAGGGGATACAACGAATATGACTGAGGTGAAGGTAACGATAGGAATGAGATCAAGGCTCCCTACGGGTTTCCAGTCAGCTAGTAGTATTTCCTAAGTCTTAACCATTTGTATATAGAAATGACATGAACTGTAAGACGCAACGTGTTTTATTATTGCAGATACTTCCTTACATTAGCCAGGTTAAATAGTGCCGATATACCATAGCGGGCTGTTTCGTTAGTTGTGACCCATGGTGCCTCCTCTCCATGCTGTAAGCACACCGGGGGTGAAGCCTTGACGATCGTCCAGTCATGAGTCTCATCATACCCATCTGTCTTGAAGAACTGATCCCACGCTGCAGTCCCCAGCTCGTCACTCTGTTCCACAACAGCCGCAATGGCAGTCAATGTGGAATGGCTCTGCTTCCATCCCACAGGACCAAACTCGAACCCAAACTCCGTGCGCTGGATATCGGCTCCCCCATTGTATGACTTGCAATAGGAAATCCAGACCCGCTCGAAGTCTCGGACCTCTGACGGAAACTCATTCCGTGCAGTCTCTAGCACTTCCGTAATTGTCTCAGGCAGGCCGAACAGGATAGACAAGTGAGAAATAAGGTACCGCGGCATTGGGGGCGGGCATTGCCGAATTTCACATGTTGTCGGGTTCAAAAGCACTTCGTTGGAGGCGATGCCAAGTGGCAGCGTAGACAATCCACTCAGCAGCTTCCCGATGAAAGTTCGAGCTTGCTCCCAGCCCGGCGTGCGTCGTTCCCATGTCGTTAACCAGGATGCTGCGAGTGCGCCACAGTCGAGGCCGATGTTCGCTAATGCGAACCCTTCGGGCAAGTCGACATGATCAAACACCTTGCGGTGCGAGTCAAGCCCCAGAAGAGCTTTCTGGCATTGCTGGAGCTCTTCCATGAGATCACCGGTACGCTCATCTCCTGTGAGGTAGTAGTAGATTCGTCTGTAGAGAACATTCGAGATACGGAGCTGCTTTGAGCTGTCCATCCAATGTTGAACACCATGCCGCGTTCCAAAACCCTTGAATCTTCCTGAATGGTAAACATCGACTTCTCCTGTGTGTCTCGTCATAGACTCGGCCACCTTGAAAACATCTGATCGGCCTGTGTGGAGGAAATAAAGCCATAGCCACAAGTCCGTCGAAAGCTCGGAATTGTCCCATGCGTAGCCCCCGACATCGTACCTCCATGAATGTCTGTATGGGTCATATGTGTGCTGCACGTCCCCGTAGTCCCAAAACCCGTACCATCTATGCTGCTCGATCTGTCCACGGTAGTGGCTGAACAGTAAGTCCAGATTCTTCTCGATATCCGCCTCCTTTTCCGACGGAAAGTATCCAGCAATGCGGAAGTCTGGCGACCAGCAACCATGAAATACGTCCGTTGAGTGCATATACCCTAGTTCTGGGATTAAACGAGGCGGCTCTCTCACAAGCGCAGAGAACGAGGCTAAATGCGTATTGGATGGTGTGTCCAAGAACGGTTGTAGGAAGAGCTGATTAGATCTAGCAATTCCGTTTGCTGTGGCGAACCCGGGTTCATAGTCCTCATACGTAACATAGACAGCTTCATACTGCTTCTTGTAGGTATCCAGGCCGAGGTCGTCGTGGAATGGAGTGGTGTCAAGAGGCTCGGCCAGTGGAGAATAAAGCCACAATGTGATGGACGCCTCCTCTTTGGTAAGATCATTGAGGTCAATCTGGGTCGGGTACCGCTCCCAAAAGTCAGACATGCCAACTGCCAGGCCGCCATGGTTCGCTGATCCAACATAAGCGATCCCATCAGCACGCCCGCCTCCTGGTACCTTAACCCAAGCGTGCCCACACTTGGTTCGTTTCTTGATGGTGAACCCGTCTGATGACAGCTGGGCAAGACTATAAGCATCAAAAGAAGGGATGCAAGCAAGGCCCCTCTTGAAATCTGATCCCTCCCATTCATCCTCACGGAGCGACACCACCCTCCCCGCGGCTTGATCGATCCTATTCTGAACAGTTGGTCCGTATCGTAGACCTGTGAGGCCCTGTACTTCCTCCCTCAGAATCCCGCCATCAGAGCCTCCGAGACGAATATGTCTGTTGTAAAGCCCGGTATCTTGGAGGGGGATAGAGAACTTGAGACCCAAAGAGGTCAACGGTTCATCCCCTTCTAAGTCGTGCACAAAAGAATGGATGATCCTCAGTGATGAACTGTCCGAGTATGTGTAGACCCGGACGTCAAAAGGGAGGTGTTCTGTGCCATCGGAAATGACAACCCCGGAAACTTTGATGACAATTCGACTGCTCGTCTGGTTTTCGATGTTGACTTTCTTGATCAGAGGGGAATATTCCCGGTTGCTGATGGACGCGACGATTGTGGCGCCAGAACTGATCAATTGCCCGTTGTAGGTGAGACTCTCGAACAATTTGGAGCTGCCGGTTGGCGCAAGTCTCAGCTCCAGGCCGGACCTATTGGAAATCGAGATATTTGAATTGTTTCGATCCACTGTGAACCCGTCCTTCAATCCAGGGCCAGCGCCACCTTGGACTGTGTAGGTCTTGCTGTAGCTGATATCACCACTCACGGAGTGAGCAGTCCATTTGTAGGAGCCATCAGGCCAGAAAGCAAGTGGCCGAGAATCCAAAGGGTGTGTTCCTGCCTCTCCCTTTATGACGAAATTCTGCCCAGGTTTATAGAGGCCCTTTGGCCAGGGCATGCCAAAAGAGACCCCATTTGCAAGCGCTGCATCACTGCCAGCCGAAGCTGAAAGCCACTGTAAGTTTCCGTCCGCCATCGCTTGGGGTAGAACCAAAACTCTTGAAGGCAAAGCCTGGGCGGGGTTTCATTCGACGCGGGTTAGGCGTCTCGTACGTGGGGCGAGGTGCGGGCTGAGGCCCTGTCGTCGGAAGCAGCCGAAAGCTGGACGAATGATTGCAAGAGTGTGATTCGGTTGAGCGAGCAATACCAAGTTACCGACACCACCATCGGCGATGGCAAATCTGCTAGTTTTATCTTGATTCTTGCTGAGCTGTCCTGCAGGTCGTCGATTCTCAAGCCCAGGTGTTTGATCAATCATCAATTGATTTCCTTCGGGGCATCATGGTGCGATGATGACCCGGCGGAGACAACCCGGGTTTTGCTGGCCTCTGTCATTGGCGTGAGTCGTCGGGATATCTGAAAGCGCGTTCGCGTCTAGCATCTCTGGTTCTGCCAATGAAACGTCAAACTGGACCCCCCAGGCCCCATTCTCCCCCTCCTCGAGTTGGTTCTACAACCGCCCAGCCACGAGACGAGGCCCCCGCGCTTCAATGAATAGCATAACCCTGGGTAATCCTCCCCACAATCCCCAAAGCCTCCTCCAGGTTTTCCCACCAGTCTTGGCTTCCGGCTTGCCCCAGGACCCGCCTCCACATCTAACCCCATCATGAACAAACAATTCCTCGGTCTTTTCTTTGCCCGGCTAGGAGCGAAACATTGTATTGACCATGAAAATGCTTGCCGGTATAACATAACCCGACTAGCCGAGAATGGCCTGCAATCTTCGGCACTATGAATAGCTCGATGTAATGAGGAAACTGGCACACTTTTATCCAAAACATATAGTCGCAGCCCTCCCCTCCCCCCTCCCGTGTCTCTTCCTTGTTTACCCACGTGCGCGCGCTGGTCTCCATTCATTTTCAGCGCTTTGGGAGTGCGGCGATAGGCCCCCTTTAACGCCTCATTTTAGCGACACACCAGAACCCTCGACCCTACGATCGCAACACGATAAGATGGCCGTGCACCAAGAGAACACGGAGGACCCGAAGTCGATCACAGTGGCCCACGAGAAGGATGAAGAGAAGCATGTTGTTCTCGATGCTGGTGAAGTCCTCAAGGGCGCCCAGCATGCCACCGACGCCGAGCATGACATGGGACTCATGGAGGGAATACGCAAATACCCCAAGGCCTGTTTCTGGTCGTTCCTATTCTCGGCCGCTCTCATTATGGAAGGCTTTGATAAGGCCTTTGTGACTGCCTTTTTCGCCTTTCCAGAGTTCCAGAAACGATACGGTGTACTCCAGCCCACTGGGGATTACCAGATCCCGGCGAGCATCCAGGCTGGTATTGGCAACGGCGTTTCTGCTGGCCAGATTATCGGACTCCTGATCAACGGTATCCTAGCGGACAAGTTTGGCTACCGTTGGGTCATGATGGGCTGTTTGTTCCTGATGGTCTGCTTCATCTTCATCCAATTCTTTGCCACGGACATCTACATGTATCTCGGTGCGGGGGTCCTTCTCGGTGTCCCCTGGGGAGTATTCCAGACCCTCACAACTACATATGCCGCCGAGGTCACGCCCACTGTCCTACGCCCATACCTCACTTCTTTGGTGTCGCTCTGCTGGTCGGTCGGTTACCTTGTCGGCACTGCCGTGCTACGGGGCTTCCTCTCCATGAAGGGTCAGTGGGCGTATCGCATCCCGTTTGCCATTCAATGGGCGCTGCCCGTCCCACTCGCCATAGGGATCTTCCTGGCTCCTGAGTCGCCCTGGTGGCTTGTCCGAAAAGGTCGGACAGCGCAAGCCGAACATTCGCTTCGTCGGCTCCGTTCCAAAGATGCAACAGATGATGAGATTGCAAACACCCTTTCTATGATTGAATACACCATAAACATCGAGAAAGACATCAACTCAAACAGCGGCTCTTACCTGGAGCTATTCAAGGGCATCAACCTCCGACGGACCGAAATTACGGTCATCTTATACGTCCTGCAGGAGATCTGCGCTCCTCTCGTGTCCTACGTTGTCTACTTCCTACAGCAAGCCGGTGTCCCTACGACCGCCTCGTTCAATTTCGGCATGGGTCAATATGCCTTGGCTATCGTGGGTGTTTTCATTGCCTGGTATCTCACTCCTCACGTAGGCCGACGAACACTTATCATCTGGGGTAATGCCTTCATGGCCTCGACTACTATCCTCATTGGTTTCTTGGGGATTCCAGATACCATCAAGAACACCAACATTGCGTATGGAATTGGAAGCATTCTTCTAATCGAATACTTCGTCTTCTTCATCACTCTTGGGCCGATCATTTACACCATTGTGACCGAAATCCCCTCGAGTGCACTCCGGACTAAAAGCGTTGTAGTTGCGAGAGCGACTTATAATGTCTTTGTGTTGAGCGCCGGTCAACTAGTCCCTCGCATGGTTCAAAGAGCCGCCTGGAACTGGGGCGCCAAATCCGGATTCTTTTATGGTGGTCTCATGGCTTTGTGGCTCATTTGGGTGTACTTCCGTCTCCCTGAGACAAAGGACCGCACATTCGCCGAGATCGATATCATGTTCAAGAACAAGGTCAAGGCCCGGGATTTCAAGAAGACTCGGGTAGATCTTGCCTCGCAAACCGTCTCTCAGGAGTGATATACTTCAGCCGTGTACTCTATTCGGAGGACAGAGTTGTCAAGGATTAAGAGGTGTTAAACTTGATTCCAGAGGAGATCATCCTAGTTGTGTACACTTCCGTCTTCTTCTGTTATATCAAGAAGTGCAATTGCATTCTTTCAATGGCGAAGAAGTATCAATGCCTCTGATTTAATGTGTCAAGTCTGCGCCCTGCCTAAACTCTCAACTTGTCCAATACTACTTTAACTTTCAACTCCACCTCTGTGAAATGAACCCTGATTACACCGGTATCTAAACATAGTTAGATACACAATGCGAACACGATCTCGACATTGTTCATAGCTAAGGAACAGAATGTTGTCCATCGATCCGATAATCTAGGGATACCTGGATATTAAACATATCTTGACTCAACAGAGAAGCAAGTTGCAAAATGCAGCACACAAAGTAGTCATCGATTCAGTTACAAAATGTGAACACAGGAATGTAACACATGGTTTCATTTATGACATCCAATGATATTTGTGACACCCTAATTCATCATGATTGACAGATGTATCTGTGGATCAATCTAGCAATCAGTCCTGTGAGTTGTGCTGACTTTTCTTGCAATAAGCTGAGATGTTGCGGCCGAGTGCCTTTTTCTGAAGCCATCATCCTGGTCTTGGACTCGCTAGGCTCTTCAATAACCCGTAATGCAATGACTGCGATGGCTCTAACAGTCTTACTCCCGGCTACCAACACCAGGAACACCAAGTACTGTGGGTAAAAGTGTGATCCATCTCTAATGTACTGAGGACTAGGAAAATATCCTCCACTCCACAAGATGCACAGTTTATGATATGGCAACATCAAGAACAGCAGAGATACCCGACTGAACCGTCTTAATAGCCTCGGCGAGCGCAGCATTAAACTCGGCTGTGGTAGCGACCCTGGCGGCGAAGATATGCCCATCGCTTGCGGCCCGCGCAATCTCTGAGTAGTTGGGAGGGGGCTCGAAAGAGATGTTAAGCTGTTTGTTAGTAGCTTTGGAGGCGGGGCCGTTCGGGTGCACGAGGAGCATGGATCTCCGGGGTGCATTCCACCCTGTTCATTTCATCTTCTGTTAGCCTATTGCGCAACAGTATGATGTCTTATAGGTTGTGTTGTGTTGCTAACAAAAAGGGAATGCAGTAAACGGAGAAAGGAAGGGTTGAAAAAAAAGGAACAAGAGGACTTGCCGTTGTTGTTAAGCACAATGGTCAACACAGGAATGCCATATCTCTGTGAGATCCAATATACACTTGAAGGGAAGCTAAACAAGTAACTGCCATCGCCGACGATCTGGACGACCATTCTCTGATTCGACTTTCCGGTTTTGGCGATATCCGCTGCATCGGTCGCCAGCTTGACACCCAGCGCGCCGCCGCCGGACCAGCCGAGCCCGCCTCCACCGCAGTTGATGAACGTGCCAGGAAGTGTTGTGCGAAGCTGCTCGTGGCAGATGAGGAAGTTGGTGACAGCCTCGACCGTGTAGATGGTATCACGGGGCAGTGTCTTGCGCAGTGTCGCGCAGACTAGGGCGCTACTTGGACGGCCCCCTTCCGCGTTGCCGACAAGGGCCTTGGCGTCAAGAGACTCGAGGAAGGCAGCATGCGACTTTTGCAGGTTCTGACGGCGCTGTAGGGCGCTGGGGCTGGACAGCTGGGCCCTAAGCGTGCTGTCGGTGGTGAGGTGGGCGACGAGCTGGGAGAGGGAGGTGGATGCGTCGACGCGGTAGCGAGCCTCGGCGTCGATGTAAAAGACGGGCATTAGCTGCTTGAGGGGGTCCACGTCGAGGTGAACGATGCGGGCGTCAGACCGGGGGCGGCACAGCGTGTTAACCCAGGGAACGTCGCAGTTGACGACAAGAATGACGTCGGCCTCACGCACGCTATCGTCGACGCCGTATCGCATGCTCAGCCACCCCGGCTGATCAGCAGGGAAGCACATATCGCTGCCGCCCGTATCCAGCACCCGCAGGCCTGGGACGGCTTCCGCAAGGGAGACGAGCGCCTTGACGGCGGCATGGTTGCGGCCGCTATAGCCACATACAACCAGGGGATTCTCGGCGCCGGCCAGGAGCTCTGAGATCTCGACGACAGCACCCTCTGGCAGCGCAGAAGGGCCGACAGGTCGCCACAACTTAGGGTTGATGGTGTAGGGCTCGATCTCCTCCTCCATGACCTCGCGGGCGCCCATAAGGTACACCGGGCCCTGCGGTTCACTCGTCGCAATCTGAATCGCCCGGTGCACCATCTGCTTGATATTCTTGCCTGTCTTAATTTCACCTGTATAACGGCAGTACTGCGCTACGATCTGCTTTTGATCTGGCACATCTTGTAGCCAGTGTCTATACATCGTTCCATCTTAGATCAGCTTCAATGGTTCCGTAAGACAGTGGATACATCGTGCAACTCACATGAACTCTGTCCGAGAACCCCGCATCTCGCCCTCGATTGTGAAAGGTGACAGGCCGGCAAAAATGAGCACCGGCGCGCGGCCTATGGCGGCGTTGTGGATGGCGACGCCCAAGGCCGATGTACCTACATCGACGTGAACAATAACGCACTGAGGCTCGTTGGTGGCGCGAGCATAGCCGTCTGCCATGGACAGGGCCACCATTTCGCTGGGGCATGTGTAAATGTTGGGAAACGAGTCAGCCTTCTCTGTCGAGCCCTTAATCATCGCCTCGAGGATGCTGGGATGGTCGGAGCCCAAGTTGACGAAGCAGTTCTTAACTCCGGCCTGTGAGTGACACGCATTGTCGTCAGCTCAATACCTGGACAGAACTTTCAACCTGTCATTCTGTCCGTCCGAGATTCGGAAAAGACAGGCTGAATGCAGCTACTTACCTCGACCAGGGCCTCGAAGAAGGCAAATGATGCGGTATACCTATAAACACATGTCAGCTTCATGGTGCCATCCACGACTAGAACAATGAAGAACCGGCTGATTCAACAATTTGAGAAGAGTGAGAGAAACATTACACACATAATAGAAATACTGAACTCAAACTTCTCAGGCCTTGAGATTCGACGATGCTGTAGGTAGTAAGAAGTCCCACGCTGCGGGAATGACCACGATAAAACACCGGGTTTGAAAAAGAGGCAGAAACGAGATCAAAAACTGGGATGTTATTGTAGCACTGGGGGTTGTCCGTTCTGCCTATGAATCGTTCCCTTTTCACGCTGTTTCCTTTCCGCTCCGAGGCACCGGGCTAACATTATGTCCCGCATCCACCCCTCCTGACCCCAACTCCGGCCTTGTCGCGAAAGCGACGGGATACGGACCCACCCTCTCGGGTAGCTACCTAGGTAGCCTGTGGGGATGCCAGTCAACTAGTGTGTTTTCGGCTCGTTCCCGAGTGCTTTCCCGGCAGACCATCACGGCAGAAACCGAAGGGACTCTGCACCACCACGACGCCTTTGAAAGTTGGCATGAATCACATGCATGATAGACCCAATCTCGTCGAAATAATACATCCTCATTCACATCGCTCGTTCGTTTTAGACACATCCTGTAGTGACCCACCTGGCAGACACATAGGGAACCACAGCACCGGGTACGCTCGCACTTCTCTTCCTTTTGGCATGTTTTGCATCATATGAGACTTAAAAGCAGGTCATTTCTCTCTGCATGAAACCTAAGGCACTACTCAGATTTAATTCGCAACCTCGTTTCTGTGTGTGCTTTCGCGTGCATGGTTCCTCGGACTCCTTCCGTCCACCTCCCTCTCGCGCACATGTTCCTTGATCTCCCTATCCACACTGAGCCACAGGAGATCGGGACGGCTGTAATGTCCACAAACGTCCACGAAAGACTTTGCCTTGAGAACCAGATCCAGGTCTAGGTCCGCATAGATGATCCCTTCTTGCGTTTCTGGAAGATCAATGGACAACTTGCGCCCGTCAGGACCAAAGATGGCAGATCTGCCGCCACCCGGCGTCGCCATCATGGCTCCCCCCTGTGTCTTCATCCTGTCAATGCCGGACTGGCTCAGGACGGCGGTGCAGTGTAGCACAAATGACTGTGACTCTATGGCGTAGGTGCTCGCCAAGGCCCTCGTGCCTGGGGTGAAGGCATGTACCACTTAGCTTCAACCGACACTGTTGTTGCTTCTTGGGAATCGAGACAGATAACTTACCAGCAGAGGACATTGACCACAAGCTGTCATCTTCAGCTCCGCCATGCTCAAAGAGCGGCGGCCAGGCCGCGACGTGGATCTGCTCGCGGCCCGAATACGTGTGATACTTGAGTAAAGGCTGGATGTGCTCCCAGCACGACAGAGCGCCGACTCTGGCGACGTCGGTCTGTACGACACTGTTGAGGCAGCTGGCTGGTGAGTCGCCGAACACGGTGCGCTCCATGTGCGTGGCCTTGATCTTGGATCGGGCCATAACGATGTCGCCGCTGACATCAATCGTCACTTGTGAGATGTACAGCGAGTCATGCACATTCTCGGAGAAACCAAGAACGACCACCATTTTGTGGTCCGCCGCACAGCGCTGGATCCGCAACATTTGCGGCGAGTCGAGCTTGAGCGAATTGCGGATGTATTCGCACGTCATGTCCGTATCAACGGGGCGAGTCCTATCCATGGGGCGACGCAGGGCGTTTGTCAGTGACGGACGTCCTCAGTAACAAAGCACGGGTATTCGACCCTGCAGCGGGGGGTGGATGTGGCCTCGGCTTTGGTGTTCGCCCGCCTTGCCTTTGACTCACCAGATCCATGCTGGATATCCCGGGACCCAGCACTCGGGAAATGCAATAAGCTGAGCATTGTTGCTCGCAGCCTCCCGGATGAGCTCACAGGTCTTGTCCACAGTTGCCTCAAGGTCCAGCCAGACGGGTTCAGCCTGCGTCACGGCAACGCGGATTGGCGGCCTAAGTTGAGTCATGCTGTCGGTTTGTTTAACCGTTTATCTGTATATACTGTGTTATGGGAAAACTCGGTGTGTGTTAGTTATTAAGACAGCACAATGGATGCAGAATCGCTGCTGTATGTAGGGACGAAAAGGATGGGCCACCTGAGCGCCGTGGATGGGTAGAGAAAGATACGAAAACGGTAATTGTAGACGCGATGCTTACCCCATCGCCCATAGTTTTCCCAGCAATCCGAGGTGAAGCGCCCACGCATATGGATGAGCCAATCAGCAGACTCGGGTCAATGGCGGCGGTTCTCTCTCCCCGGCCCCGGCTTCTAAAGCCAGGCCTCGACTCAGGGCCGAGACCCTACCCCGCATTCTCTTCCTGTCGGAAGAGAGGTTATCTGGATTCCGGCAGTTGCCCACCACACACCCTGAAAAGCGCCATTTCGAATGCAGTCATTTGCTTCTCAAGGCTTCTAGTTCTCATTCCGCCGAAAGCGACTTGGTTGAGATGGACACGCACCTGTGCATTCTTATCTTCTTTCCTGTTCTGAATTGATTCCCATACCCTCCTCTCCTTATCTCCTCTAATGTTGTCACTAGAGAGTAAGAGTGGAAACAGAGCTTGCTGAAATATACGGAAAAGAACACGTGTGGCTATCGTCGCTATCCATTAGGCTACAGGAAAACACAACTTGATAAGCCCTTTCACTGCCTCCTTGACTCGGGTCTTGGCATCTGGAACCATTCCTTAGTTCAGTGGAATACCGAGGTGAACTTGCCCGTCTTCCCGCTGTCTTTGTAAAATTGTGTGGAAATTTTGTTTCCAAACTCTCCCAACGCCACGGTGACAGAAAGGAGAAATAACTGCTGTACAGACACAGTTCTCAATCACTGGAAAATCCAGGAGCCTCAATGGACTGATAACATCAACTCGCTATGCCAACCTCTATTCCATACGAAGCAAGTTCGGCACCCGTGTTATTCGGGAAATTGTTTGTATTTACTCATACAAGACCCAGCTTCTCCGCCATCCAGTCAAATTTCCGTACATATCGGATTGATTACACTGTCCATTGATCTGATTTTGTGTTTTATTCACCTCATATGAGACACTTGCTCATATTTGACGTTAACTTGTCACCCTAAAGAAAAGCGGATGAGAATGACCGTTGCTCACGTGGCAAAACGCCATTCTGGGTGGTCATCGCCGAGATTGTCAGCATCGGGCTTCTGCAGACGGTAGTCGCGCTCGCCGCGGTCCCTCTTCTTGTTCTCGCGGATGACGCCGAAGTAGAGAATAGTACAGAATATGGCGCAGACAGCCATCATGCCCAGACTAACCGAGTAGCCCGTGGTGTAGTAAGGCGCCTCGCGGTCAAGGAACACATTGGAGGACACGAAACCACCGACATTGCCGAACCCGACCTGGAAGGCTGATGCGACGGAGCGCTTGTAGTGCCCGCTGACCACATTGGCCAACCAGCCCAGGACAACAGGCTGTGACATGTATCCGCCGCCGACGATCAGGAACAAAGCAAAGTAGCGGGCTCCCAGGGGTATGGAGGACTGGCATAGTAACATAATATAGCCAGTCGTGGCGACCGCGACACCCACGACTGTATAGGTGTACCGGTGGCGCGTGCGGTCGGCCAGGTAAGCTGCACCCAGGCAGAGGACGGTTGCGACCACATAGATGGGAATCGTGCGGAGTTGAGCCTCGGCTGACTTGAAGCCCATCTGGTTAAGAATACTAGGGATGAAGAACTGGCCGGAGGAGAGCGGTCAGCTTGTGCCGGTAAGGCCTGGAAAAAGGGGGAACAGGTTTTGGAAACTCACAGATCCAGCATATCCATTATTGAGGATGCCCATGTAGGCGATGGTACCGACGTAGATCTTCCAATCTTTGGCGATGCGCTTCATGGCGCGTTTATCCAGGTGATCCATTCTCGCGCTGCCCACGTCTGCTGCGAGGCGGGCCACAAGCCTCCCCCGTTCCTCTTCGGTGAGAAACTTTGCGGTCTCGGGCCAGTCCGGGATCCACCACTTTGAGATGACCCCGACGACGACCGTGACGAGACCTTCGAGGATGAAAATCCTGTCAAATTGCAAAAGAGATTGTAAGTCAGCAATGGAGTCGAGCCCAGAAACACAAGAGGGAGCGAAGAGTGAAGCTCACCATCGCCAGGACGAGTATCCGCCGACACCATGCATGTGTCCGATGGCGAACGCAAGCAAGCCGGAGAAGGCGCCCGCCAAAATACTCGCGCAGAAGAAGATGGACATGCGCCACTGAACCTCATAGCGTTGATAGTACATACTGATGAGGTAGATGGCGCCTGGCACGATGCCGGCTTCGAACAAGCCGAGAAGAAGCCTACAACCGATTAGGCCGGCGTTATTGTTGACCAAGCCCATACCAATGGTAGAGATGCCTAGAGATCAAGGGGGAGAGATAATTGTTAGTAACAGGACAAAAGCTTGGTCTTGAAAACGAGGTGGTACTGATCAGGAAGTGCAGAACGGTCCAGTTTGGTACGAGCAGTTAGGTTACTTACCCCATAGAACGGTGATAGAGCTTAGCCAGAGAGATGGAGAAATGCGCTTGATGATGATGTTGGATGGGACTTCGAATATGATGTACTAGGTAGTCACAAAGTGGTCAATGGTTAGTTGCAATTGCCATCGCGCGGGCTTTTCGCTTTGTCCGCAACAGGGAGGCTTCTTACAGGGATAAAGAAGACAAACAAGGCAATATTGTAGTCAGAACCTTGCATGTGCAGATCGGCCGTCATGCCCTGAATCCTGGCGTTGCCTGTGCGAAAAGACAGTGGGAGATTTATTAGCTACTATCCGGCCACGAAATCAAGTAGCATGTATGCAGGCAGATTGAGTGACTCACCAATATTGGTGCGATCCATAAAGGACAGAAAGTAGATAGTCATGAGAGGGGGGATGAGGGCAAGATCGCATTTTCGCAGCAGCTTCTTCTCGGCGACCGGATCAACGGTGGTGACGGGTTCCATCTCGCCCTTAGTGGTATGCTCATGGAGCTCAGTGTCCACCTTGGACGGACAGTCTTGAGCCATGACTATCGGTCGGAGGTCCAAACTTTCACGTATATGAAATGTTGCAGGAGATAAAGACGGAAATAAAAGACACGGGGAGGTTGAGAGAATTGTTGCGTGAGGACGAGATGCCAGCTGCAATGTTGTGAGCACATATAGATACTGCAGGGTGACTTTGTTGGTTATGTACGAGTCAAAAAGCAGTACTTATGTGCTCCAGTCAGCTGTCTGCCCCGTCTTTGGGCCTTTTGTGCTGGCCCGGGATTGGGCCGGCTGTGGGGAGAGGAGACGCCGCCCCGCAAAATACCCCATGGGCATGAGCCAGGCATCAAGAGGCTTAATCTTCTCACAAATTCTTGCTTGCGAGTTGAGGTCCCCGCACCGGGTAGATCCCGAAGGCTCCAGTTTGCCTCCCGGGAAGCATTTGGCTTTTCTTCCCGACGCTTGCCTGTCCTGGACAACGCGGAGGATCCAAGCATTATGCAAAAATTTCACCGAACTCGTAATCCGGAGGGTTCCCGGCCTACTCGCGAGTCAGCGCGGCACAGCAGGAGAGAGTGCGCATTTGCGAGACCTTCTCCATTGTTGTTGATGAGATGTGACTAGTCTAGGTGATTGCTTGATCTTATTCACGTTTCCGTTTTTATGTGACTCGTCATGTCAATAGTTGCATACGTGGTCTGCTGAAAAGGATAATCGTCCACATGGCAGCTTAAATCTGCCATGTGTTTTTTTGCGTTCCGCAGAGGTCTGCATCTTGACCAAGCTCGAAGCAACTCGTTCTACGTGAATAAAGGCGGCTTGTGGAGAACTTGGTCTAAGAGAACAAGTCCGATTCCGCACGAAGTCCCGTCTAAGAGACTCATCCCTCTTGCTTCAAACCCCTAGGGGTTCCAGATAGACCGGAATCAGAAAGAATAGAACGAACAGATCAGATCAATTTATATCTACGCACAAGGCCCTGTTCTCGAAAGTGTACTACTACTCATAACACACTGTGACAGTAGACGAAGATGGAGGCTTCGAAACCTGAGAAGCAGAAAAGAACAAGGCGAATTACGACCTATGCGTTGCGCCCCTTTCATTCGCTGCTATTTGTTACTCTGACGTGGCCAGAGACAGTGTCTTCGTACAGAATGAGTTAAAATACTTGTTCAGTGCCTCCACAGTGCCGGTACCCTCGACCAACAGGACCGAGATGCCGATGTACCCGTCCGGCCGTACCACTAGGACAAGTCCCTGGTCTAGGTTAACTCCAACCTTGGAATGCGCAGCGGCCACGCCTTGCGACAGCCGCCGGTCTGTGACATCGTCCGCATATATGTGGTCGCGGTACCGAGTAAGAAGGGGTGGCAGCGTGAGAGTGGTCATGTCAAGCTCCTCGTGCTTGGCGGCGAAGATGGTGGAAAGAGTGAAGTGATGGCTGTGGGGGTTGTGCGTCTCGTGGTACGACACTTCGCCATCCGCGTCAGGCCGAGCATACGCGCCCAAGTACGACCCTGAAGTGCTGCTGTACTTAGCAAAATCCCTCAGGGCGGCGAGCTTCGACTGGCTTGGGGTGCCCGCGAAGATGTACAAACGGAACGCGCCGTTCTCGGGCACCTCCTGCTCCAGGGCGACGACGTTGGCATCGGCCACGCGTGTTACGTCTGCCGTCACCATGAGCCTACCGGGAGTGACCTTAACATCTTCCGGGCAAATGAGATTAGACTGGGCATTATGTGCAACAGACCAGCAAATGTCGCTGGGGCCGTACTTCACCCCGTAACCACTAGTGAATGCACACGCCTTCTTGAACGTGTCCACAAACTCGTTGACGTGAATCGTCGAGGTATCATGCTCTTGCGCCGACTTGGGAGGGGCCTGCTGCGAGAAAAGCTGCGCATACTTGTTGTCGAAAGCGAGTAGCTCCTCGGCGACAGCTTTGCGTTCCGTTTCGTACGTCTTGAGGATCTCACGCGAGGCAAACCCAGACTCGACAGCGTGTATTTTCCAGGCGAGGTTCTGTGCGTCCAGGAACGCCGTATTCATGCCCTGCCCTGCTTTCGGCTGTTGTATGCAAATCAAATGTATTAGTCCATTGTCTGACAGGTAATCTCGTTGAAGATGACGGTCTTACGCTGTGAGTGTGGCACGCGTCTCCACCCAGGAAAACCCGCTGGTCGAGTGTGTAGTTGGTGGCAATACCTTGACCAATCGGATAGATCGAGAACCAGTCCACGTTCTCCCAAGTGATTTTGTAAGGGCTGAGGATCTTCTTGGCGGTCGCCTGTACTTCCTCCTCCGTCGCCGTCTTTCGGGGGTTGAAGTCTGGATCGCTCGACGATGCTATCCGAATGTACAGCCGGACCATGCTGTTCTCGCGGGGGATGACCATGATGGATCCATGTTTGGAGTGTATCGTGCATTTCATCTATATAAAGATGGTGTCAGTCAGTAAAGGACTTGAAATGACCAGAATGTGACATTTGTCACTCTGTGTGCAAATTGATACAAAGAGCAGTTCCCGTGCTTTTCCTTAACGAACCTTGATGCTAGGAAAGTCCGTTTGGACTACACCGTCCATAACGGCCCACACGTAGGAAATGGGGTCCTTGTACGTGACCTGGATGCCCAGCGCCTGCCTGATGTTAGAACGAGCACCCTCGCCACTGAAGAGGTATTTGGCGTAGAGCTTCTGCTGAAAGAGTCCATCATCACGGTCAAGATCGACCTCGACAGGGTAGTCCGGGTGCTTGTTACTCGTCTTGAAGTCGGTGATGGTCCAGGGTCGCTGAATTTCGACGCCGTGCTTGGCGAGATCATCGATGAAAACGCGTTCAATAAGGCCCTGGTGGAGCAGTGTCGTGAAGGGATATCGAGCCTCAAGAAAAGGCGGGCAGCTGGGCCAAGAGCCGGTCTTGACGATGCCGTCGCCACCGTCGGGGGATGGCTCCCAGAAAGCCACCTCAAAAACCTTGGCTGGGTTGTTCGCCATGATTGGGGCCTTGAGGCCCATATTCTGGAGCAGATCCAGGGATCGTGGCTGGATGCCATCTGCACGGCCCCTGGGTGTAGGCTCGGCTCTGTTGTCAATGTGCTTGATCTTGTAGCCCCATCTGGCGAGGAGCGTCGACAGCATCAGCCCAACCGGCCCAGCTCCTACAATGACTGTGAAAGTGTCTCAGCACAGACCTTGACCGTAGCTTTCCAGCCATGAACCAAAGAGGTATGGAGTGGCTTACCGATATCATAGTGATTCGCTGATGGAGATGACCGCCCGCTCGTTGCTGCTGTTGGACTGCCCATTCTGGGACGCACGATGAAGCTTTCTGCGAACACTGGACCGAAGCAGATGGGAGGGATGGCCAGAGAATGTAGAAACGATTTGGCCGAGGGTACGGACTGAGGACTGTAAATATCCTCAGAGCGCCGCGGAAGTCATAGGACCAAACGAAGCCGTCATCTCCATCCGGCGAAGCCTCATACTGCTCTAAACGGCCCCAAATTTGCCGGTGCCAGTCCCCGGGCGAAGAAACCGTGTAAGGACGAGGAACCCCATTTTTCGTTGTTTCCCGGCTGGAATCCGAGTGACCAAGAGTTTAGCAAGGGTGACTCCACAGCAAAACAGACCCACAGCCTGTGGCACCGTCTAGTGACTGTCGGCTTTCATTCACGGCACCGTCGAGGCACATCGGCGGTGGTTTCGGCAGTCCAATATTGTTCTGGGCTAATGTGTAGTCTTGCGGTGGTCATGCTTCGCATGAAACGTTAGAAAATTCAAAATTGCGTAGAGCTCTTATTACGATATCAGGGTGAACATACTAAGATATGTGTAGATGCTCTTCATAATGGTCTTGCAACTTGCTTGTGTTAAAAGTGCAACGACCAGGGAGAGTTCATTACTCGTCCAGTCCGTCAATCTCCTTTATGTCCTTCATGAAATGTATCTTCAACCCAGTATCTCCAAAGGACTAATTTACTCTGTAAAAAAATGATTTTCTCTCTCAGCCTGCACCTAGTCTATAAATCGTAAGTGATGTTCTTCAGCCTCGTCCACTCGTCAAATCCTGCATTGAACCGGCCGAATCCGCTCGACTTAGCTCCACCGTGAGGGAGACCCGACTCGTCCTGCACCGTCATACGATTGATGTGCACAGCGCCCGTCTCGATGCGCTTGGCGATGCGCAGCGCCCGGCGCAGGTCGCGCGAGAAGACAGCGGAGCTGAGGCCGTACTCGCCATCATTGGCTAGGCGTAAAGCTTCCTCATCCGTTTCAAATTCGATCATAGAGACGGTAGGGCCAAAGGATTCTGCCAGGTACATATCCATATCGGCCCTCACGTCGGCCACGATGGCCGGCCTCAAGGCTGTGGGAACGTCCTGCGCCTCGTCGATGTTTCCGTACACCAGCTTGGCTCCCTTACTGGTAGCGTCCTGAACTAGAGCCTTGTTCCGCCTGGCCGCGTGTTCCGTGATAAGAACAGGGCTCTTTTGGTTAGTGGGGAACATGCTGGCTGCTGCCTCGGCGATCTTGGTCTCAAAGGCCTCCCGGATGCTCTTATGAACTAGGATCCGCTCAGTACTCATGCAGATCTGGCCGGCGTTGAGAAATGACCCAAGCACGCACTGCTGGGCGGCGAGATCGAGATCCGCATCGTCACAGATAATAGCAGGAGCTTTACCGCCCAGCTCGAGCAGCAAAGGCTTCAAGTGCTCTCCTGCCATTTTGGCGATGATGCGGCCAACCGCAGTGCTGCCAGTGAAATTGATCTTGCGGATGCTGGGTGACGCGATGATACCGCCGGTGACATCTGGGGCGTTCGCGGCGCTGCAGGAGATGTAGTTAAGGACTCCTGGTGGCACGCCAGCCTCATGGAGGATGCTCACGATGGCGAATAGGCAGCGAGGGCTGAGCTCGGAGCCTTTGAAAACGACCGTGTTGCCGCACGCAATTGGTCCCACGACGGCTCTGAATCCTAAGGCGTACGGGGCGTTCCTAGCGAACGAGAACAGTAGCAGCATTAATCAGTGTTTGTTCGAGCTGTCTTGTCACGATCATGAGGAACAATGGATAGGGGTGAAGTGACAACGCACCATGGTGCCATGGCAAAGATAACGCCATATGGCTCGCGAATGATCATTCCCCCTACTGTAGTATCACGAAGCGCCGGGATACGCCCCTCAAGCGTCCCTATTCTGCTTGCCGTCCCAAGCAAACAGTCTCTGGCCAGGGCAACATTCAAGGAACTCCAGGCCTCGTCGGCCCCGACTTCCGACTTCATGTAGTCCTTGAGCTCCTCTGCACGCTCATCCAAGATGGCTGCTGCCCGGATGAGTATGTCTCGCCGCGTCTCGATATTGGTCTCGCTCCATGTCGGGAGGGCGTCGGTCGCCGCCTTAATGGCGGCACTGGCGGTAGATGTTGACGCATTGGAGCATTGTGAAGTAACACTGCCGGTCGTAGGGTTGATGACGTCAAAGGTCTCGGGGAGAATCACCTCGGATCCATTGATAAAGACTGGTACTGTAGCTGCTGGGAACTGTTTGACACCGTTGACCTGCTGGTGGATCTGGGCTGAGTCCATGCTTAAAACTGAATCTGGAAAGGCAGAGGAGTATGTTCGCCAGGCCAATATAGATCAAGACTTGTATTGCTTTTATCAGGATCTGAAAGCGAAGTCTCGAGTTTAAGAAAGAGATAGCACGAACATAGGGGTCCGAGAGAGGGTGGGACGAACGGGGAGGGTATTGACGAGGGCTAGCACATTAAAGGTCATGAGCCTACGATATCAGCGCCAAGAAAAATTGTCCAACAGCTGAACATTAACGGGTTTACAAAAACGCATGGATCTACTCCCTCTAGTCCCCCCTCCCCCTCCCCACCGAACACGATGACCGGCCAGATAGTGCGGGAGGCTTATGGAATTGACACGGGGTTTGATTTCCTATGCAGAATGTTGACCACGACCCCAGGCCCCACTCAGGCGGGATCATTAACCACGTAAAAGGGCCCCAAAATTTCCACGGCCGTTTGCTACGGAAGCCACTCGTCCCAGTCTCGGGTGCTTCCCGAGAACACTCCCGCCCTACGATTCGTTCTGGTGTTCTCGCTAGTGTACAACGCCAAAAAAAATGTTCTACGCAAATGTCACGCATGGATGCAATCAGTATCAAGATGATATTAGTATCTACCTACGTTCTCCGTAGAAGGGAAAGAGCAGAACAGTGGCGAAGCGCCGGGATCCAACCATGCCTCCCTCCCCCACCTCCGGATTGCTGCTTGTCCAGCCGGAGTGTTCAACAGGGGTTTCTATTCTCAGGGTCGTCTTTCGGAAGTCTTCTCTCTATTATTCGTTCCGGTGTTTTATGTTTTCCCCCGCAATAATTACTATGAGATCTGACGTCATGAAGCTATACGATGACTCTGGCTCTCGAGTTCGGGCCAGGGTCAAGGTCCCATCTCTGTTCGCTATCCTCCCCTCCACCCCTCACCAAAAAGGACAGCCATAATGATCAAGAAAATCGATTCTTAATGCATGGCAGCAGCGCTTGGTGAGCACCGGACGATGCAATGGTTGACTTGAGGATTGTCATTTAGATCCACAATCACATCACCTCAAGGACTGTCCTAGTACTAACAAGTCAAGCAGCATTGAGTACGCGGAATAAATCTGAACCACCAGCTGTTTACTCACTACAAAGACCTACTAGTCTGTGCTGAAGTGTGGGTGCTGCTTGTACTGGTAATTGAAGCTATTCCCACTATTGTATTTAGGTGGAGCGTCTCCCTCCTTCCTAGCTCTAAGGAATCAAGCGATATTGCACTGAAATCGACAGTCTGATATACTCGATATGAAACTTCCATACGCACGCAGAACCAAAACATCCCAAACTAGGGTAGTGAAATGTTCTCCACCTTCGCTTTATCTAAGTCCGTGAGTTGACCTGATCTAGCCCTATAGCACTAAGGGACTGAACAACACGCTGTGCCGCTACTAAACCTCCGCCTGGGCACAGTCTGGACTTGGTGAGCAAGTAGTAGTCACAAGTCTACTGGCATTTCTGGGCGAAAACACGTGGATTTTGATATGTAGATTTACACGAATCTGCTTCAGAGAAACGGGGACTGTCAATCCGCCTAGTCGATACTTCTTGACTACTGTTGAAAATGGAAGATTTTACCCGGGTTCATGAGCCACTTAGGATCAAGACTTGTTTTGATCGCCCTCATCACGCTCAGCGGGGCATCGCCGAGTTCATCCTGCAGGGAGTCAATCTTGCCCAGTCCGACGCCATGTTCGCCCTGTGAGCACACTATTAATCATCATTCTAGCTTTTACTCTTTTCCTCATGAACTTACCGTGCAAGTGCCTTCCATATCCAAGGCCCTGCGCACCATCCTGTGCACGCTCTGTTCGACTCGTTGGCGTTCCTTGGCACCATCGAACAGAATCGTCTCGTGGAAGTTGCCGTCTCCAACGTGGCCGATGATGCTTCCGAACAGGTTGAGATTGTCGAGATCTTTCTTCGAACATTCTTAATGGCAGACAAACAGACAAACGGTTAGCCTAGTTTCGCTTCAAGTTTCTCAAGGCCGCACGTGAAGTGTGGTAGTCTGGGCATGTGGGCAAAGTGCCCCGAGAGACTGTGCTCACCAATCAGTTCGGCGACTCGTGACAGAGGCACGGCAACGTCTGTCGTCCAGACCTCGCTACCGCTGGTGCGAAGCGCGAGCATGCTCCACAGGGCTTCCTTCCGAGCCGACCAAAGAACCTTCTGTTTCTCCGCGTCATTCTCAAACTCCATCTTGGGACTCCCATGTTCCCTCGCGACCTTTTGCACGAGCTTGATGTTGTGGTCGACTACATCCTGATCACCTGTGAATTTGATAAACAGGGTCGGTTCCTCGCGCCAGGTTCTTCCCGTGGCACCAATCTTGTTGATAACTTTCATCTGCACGTCATCGAGGATCTCAATAGCGCCAACAACAATGCCCTTCCGGACAACATCGACGGCCATACTCGCTGCGCTCTTGATTGTTGGGAATGAAATCACGGCTACCCCGGTGCTCGTTGGAGCGGGCGCGAGCTTAAGCGTAGCTTCGGTCACGAGCCCTAATGTGCCCTCTGAGCCTACAAACAGAGAGTTGAGGTTATAGCCAGCAGACGACTTTCTGCGCGAGGAGCAAGCAGTTATCATGAAAGTCAGCACGAAGTCGGGCTCCGGAATGTGAAGAGAAGCACAAAGCCACGTGCTCCTTCGCAACTCACCTCGGCCTTCTTCGAGTCTTCACAATTGTGCCGTCGCTCAATACTACCGTAAGATTGACGACCCAGTCTTTCATTGTCCCGTAACGAACTGCATTTGTTCCACTGGTGAAGCAGTCGCCAAGATTGTTAGCCGGTACTGTTTTCCTCTTAATAAAGGGAGTGTGTGAATCATACCTGCAATTTGTGCCAATCATACCGCCAAGTTGCGCCTGGAAAGACAATCCATCCAAGACGGTCGGTCAGTATCCATGGCACGCGGACGGTGACAATCCTATCAATGATGACGACTTACAGATGGGCCAGGGTCGATTGGGAAGAAGAGCCCGCTGGAGGAGATCTCTTTGTTCATTTGTACCCATGACATGCCAGGCTGCACCGAAATATCCATGCTGCAGAGAAACGAGAACGCGAAATTAGCACAACAGCTCGACTGGTTGGTGGGATTGCTGCAACGAACTCTTCTGGCCGAAATTTGACGATCTGATTCATGTTCATAAAATCGACGCTGAATCCTCCAACTGGCGCAGAGAAATTGCCTTCGACACTAGACCCGCCGGAGAAAGGAACTGAGACAGTCACAAGAAAGTTAGTGAGAGCGTCGCCACATTCGCTCTGTAAAGCAACGGGAATACCCTAAACCCCCGCTGGAGGATAAGTTCAAAGACTACCACTCATAGTACTTACTGATGGGGATATTGTATTTGTGACATATTTTAGCGACAGTTGAGACCTCTTCTGTCGAGCTGGGAAACACGACAGCGACTGGGAGCCTGTCTATGTTGACTGTCGACCATTCAGAGTAGCCATGGGCAAGAAGAATCTCACTGTCGGTAGAGACACTATCCTCTCCCAAGGCTCGCTGGACTTCAGTGATTGCTTGTTCCATTTGGGCAATGGTGGCATACTGGGGTTTGGCCGACCCTTGCTTTCGATCACTGGTGCTGAATGCCCATCCAGCAACAGCGCCGGCCAGAAGCCCCAGTCCGATTCCCAAGAGGGCGAGGGGGGAGGTGCTCGATCGACCGATCTGCGGGGCGGCGACGGATTGAGGTCCTGGCACCGAGGAGTGCGAGCTCCAGCGGGGTGATGATGGCTCTGCAGCCCGTAGAGGCGATGACGATGCGCGGTGACTGAAAGTACTGTTGATAGGGCCTCCCCTCGAGGCTAGGCGCCGGCAAGGGCGCCCACCATGACAATGGATACGTCTGAGGGGGTTCGCCATGTCTGTGAAATGGCTTGCAGATTGACAAGAGAAAGGAAGGGAAGAGAGGTAAACAGGAGGCGCTTGTCTTGATGGAGGATATCTGTAGAGATCTCGGTGCGGGCTAGAAGATGAGTAGCGACCCCAATAGAAAGCTGGAATTGGCAAATTGCCTGCGGGACGCGGAATCTGGAGCCATTGGAGAACCGGGACCAGGGGGGGAACGGGACCAGGGGGTCAGAGATGTGCGGAGTAACACACTTCGGAGCTGGAACATGGTGTGCGGAGAAGTCGTGCGGGGACGGGTTCGGGAAATACCCGGCAAGTTCCACCAGTTCTTGGCGGACTGTGTGCTGGGGTGGGGCCACGTGACAGAAAATCTCGCAATGAACAACCGAGTTGCCGAAGCTGGAATGACATAATCCACTGCATGTCCGGCCGACTTGGCAAGCTCTCGGGCTGGCTCCGATGTTCCAACCCGACAATCGATACCTCGACCACAACAACGTGCGACGGATCCATGCCCCCTGGCCAGCAATGAACGAGAGCAGCCCCCAGAGCAACATCAGTAGCACAATCAGCCTCCACGGTCACCAGGAGCCCCAACCGCTGCCACCGCCGCCCTCTTCGGCTGCATCCCATAGCCCTGTCTTCGCCCCGGCCCCCGGCCCCGGGTCCATGCTCGGTAAGCGAAAGCGCGTGGCGCTCGCCTGTGACGTCTGTCGCGATCGCAAGGTCCGTTGTGACGGGGCCAAGCCAGTCTGCGGGCCCTGTAGCAAGCGCTCCACGGCCCTGCCCCGGTGCCAGTACAATGTCGTCGCCCACAGCGCCAAGCGCCTGAGTGAGCAAGAGTACATTGCCAGCCTCCAGCATCAGGTCCAGCATCTGCAACAGCAGGCAGCTCCCGTCCAGCAGGCCTCTCTCAGCAGCACACATGACCCCGTCGGCGACAACTCGGCCGTCACCCCGTCCCGGCCCTCGCCCGCTGGCCCGTCCCAGCACGCGCTGCCTGCTGCCCACGATGTCGAGTCTCCTGACGTCCAGACATCTGCCGGCGAAGAATGTGGGCCCAGTCTCATCAGTGCCATGGGTGTGTCCGTGGCCAGCCCCGACCAGCTGCCGAAAACTCACCAAAGGAGCCAAGAGTACTACGGCAAGTCGTCTCTCGTATCGCTGGTCCAGGAGGCTGTCCCGCCTTCTTCTGCAAGGGCTCGCCATGATACCGTCGAGCCTCGTGTACGTAATCGTTCTTCGTCCCGGGCTTCGGAAGCTCTCTCGGGACTTGGCATCCAGACAGGTTCTCCCTCGACGCGCCTCAATCCCTTGCTCCAAGCGCAGGTTGCGTTGCCTCCCCGTCAACTCGCAGACGACTTGATGACCGTATATTTTAACAACATACACATTTTCTATCCATGGACACACTCTGTTAGTTTCCGGGACTCGTACGAGCGTCTGTGGACCCCTGGTGGAACGTCCAGCACAGGCAGCTATCGGTTCGCGCCTGTTGATGTCGGTCTCGGTAGTGCAAACTGTCCTCGACACATATTCCTCACTGCTGTCAATGCCATGTTTGCGCTGGGCTGCGAGTTTTCCGAGTATCCCCCGGAAGAAAAAGAGGCAGCCGCTGTTATGTTCTTCGAGCGAGCAAGGAAACTGATGAACATTGACATTCTCGAGAGCGGTAGCATCTCGCATATCCAAGCACTACTTCTCGTTGCTCAGTATCTGCTCTGCACGCAATACCCTACTCAATGCTGGAATATCGTTGGCTTTGCATGTCGGATGGCTGTTGGCCTTGGGCTCCAATCGTCACACTCTCCGGATGGCCTGTCAGACGCCGAGATTGAGGTCCGACGGCGAGTCTGGTATGGCTGTATACAAATGGACATGTAAGTGAAGATGCGCGTCCTTCTGCGTCTGCCCTGCAAGCAGGGCATGGCTGTTGTTCACGGCTAACCGGAGTTATGAATAGGACCGTGAGCATGACTCTGGGACGTCCACCGTCGGTCTATACGAGTGGAGATGTCCCACTTCCTCGCGCCATTGATGATCAGTTCCTGTCTCTAGACACGACACAACGTTCTGCCCAGCCGGACGGCACCAACTCCACTATGATCTTCACTGTACAGAACATCAAATTTGCAAACCTTCTAGGCACTATACTGCGTACCGTCTATTACCCCTCTGGAGAGGCCAAGGTCTCTCGACATAAACCTGCCGAGCACAACTACCACCGCGAAGAGTTTTACACCATACTCGAACTTGAATCGCAGTTGGAAGCCTTGGCCGACTCAGTTCCGGATCCATTGCACTGGGGTCGGCCTGGCAGCATCACCAACTCAGCGTTCTTCTCTGGCGATAATGAGCAGACCTTCAGACGGCAGGCCAACGTGCTACGAGCCAGGTGAGATAGGACCGCCCCGGGCACAATTGCTGTTTCAATTCTTTTTCCTTGTTTCTATAAACCTTCGCATGCTGTTCTTGTATGAAAAATGGCTTGAGGATCACATGAACTGATATTCTAATCGTGTCTAGGTATCTGCATACCAAGATCCTCCTCTACCGACCAAGTTTCACCAGTTTCTGCGCAGCTGCCCACCGTCATTCACGGGAGCCTAGCCCCCAAGAGGGCAGAATTGCTGGCCTGAGCAGTTCACTCCGGCTGCAGACAGCCGTTCAATGTGTGAAAACTGCCTGCGAGTTGGTAAGATCCATCAAGAGCGCAACGATGAAACATGCTACGGGGGCTTGGTGGTTCAGTCTTTTCTGTAAGTCCACGACTCGTGACACCTTTTGAGCTTTGCTATTGTAGCACAATGCTTCAGCCACCTCCTTAGTACGCATGCGACGTATGTTAAAGTTTCCACTTTGGCTCATCTAACATGATCAGATCTCATCACTTGCTCCGTCATCATTATTGTCGCCGACTGCACGCCACCCCTCCAGTCTTTGCTAGGCCCTTCACTACTCGAATCCGCTTGGGTCGACTGTGTTGAGGCATTGAGTCTCACTAGGAGTTGTAACATACGAGCCGGCTCGTATCTTCAATCTCTCCAGCTTTTGCGCGAGAGAAGTCTAGCTGTTGTGCACAGTACGTCCTTGGATTCTATCGCACCATACTGATCCCCCAAAAATGTTTTGAAATTGACATTGATCTCCCTGCCTCACGCGTTCCCTTCCTCCTCTCTGCACCGGTCGAACTAAGAAGCATACAGATAGTCATGGTAGCGGCCAGAGATCATCCAACGCCTCCAATTGCTCTGGCGGAACTCGAGACAAGGATAATAACAATAACGACAATACCCACAATAATACCTCTTTTCCGTATTCAGCGAGGACTAGCGGTGGTCTACCAAATGGAAGTCAAGTTGACGCGACAGCCACCGCAGCGGCAACCTTTGGCGATGGTGGCGGCGGCGGGGTTCCTGACTCGTCTCAGCAGCACGAGTGGGACCACGAGTTTGACATCCACGCACTATTGGGTACGTGGGAAGCTGATCTGAACAGCATCCATGCGCCTATGGGCTCTACTGCAGGCATGAATAATTTTGGTTTCGAAGTTATGAGCTTTCTGTAACAGTCGGAATGCCTGCATGGACTTTCATGTACACAGCAGCGATCGTTCTCTCATAGACTTTACATGTCGGATGCTTATGTGGAGTATCTTAATAGCAGTACTTAGACGGGTTGGAAAATGGTGTAGTATGCGGCTTTTCCATGCATGATTGAGGACAGGAGTCTAGAACGCCTCCCGGTCCGATTACGGCTGGCTGTGACAAGGTTGCCTATCGTAAAGACTGGTGTTTTCTCAAGCCACCATACTGCGATTAGGCGAAAATGCAATAGTTCGGGGATTGCACATTCATGGAGTGACCATTGCAAACCAGGTTTCCGAATCGATAATGGGTATCTTCTCTCTCTCTTATCAAATAGCGTCCACGGGTTGTACCCGAGAACTCAGTGGCAAAGAGATAAGCTCCGCCGCCCATTGCGAGTCTATTGCATTAGGGAGCCTAACTAGCGTTAGCTGCGCGTTCGCCGGATCCATGTATTTAATTACCCCCCTCAGCCAAGGCCCAGACCAGGAAGATTATAAATTGATCTTCGTCGTGTCGAACAACACTTCTCTCTTCCAGCACATTTCTGACGGCTAAGCCCGATCAGCTGAAGATCTCCTCTGTTGCTTCCCTTAAACCATGCGGTTCTCTTCTCCTCCGAACCTGGGGTCTGTATCCCGACCATTGGTACCTGTCCAGGCTGTTGTCACCTTGCTACTCATACAATGCGCTTCAGCCAAGATGGCCCCCTTGGGCCAGACCGTCGAGATCAATGACGTGGCATATCACATCCACCCAGATGCTATCGGCAGACTGGAATCGTGCTATCGCCCTAAGCCCAGCAGCGGCGGGGTGCTCCCGTACGACCTCCTTCCCATCACCATCTTCGACGTGGGACAGTCCCAATACAACGAGTCTTCACTGAAGCAGTGGATCGCTTCGTATTTGGCTAAAGATGATGTCTTCAACGAAGGCTTTCTTCAAGGTGGGTATCTTAGACTTAAACCTGTGGTCTGAGTCTATTTCTCACCACCATAGTGTCCGATCCGACATATAGAGCTAACCATCAAATCAACTAATAGGAACATATCTCCGAGTTCCAGGCCCTAAACCGAACATAGCCTTGCCGGATGCCTCGGGAGACTCAAGAATATCATTCATTCGCCCCATTGAAGCCGGTGCCATTGACTGCCCGGCTGGACCATACATGCTTTCCCAGTCAACTGGCGAGCTATTTATGCCATACCGCCTGTACTCTGACACTCAAGGCTCATTCCACCAGGGCGTAATCGCTGCTAAGGGCGGCCGCTTTGAACCCCTTAGTTCTTCCCTTGCCGGATCATCCTCCGTCACCATCGGCGTGCCCTCCCGTCTTTATTACAAGCCGACCGCTCAGAAGCCCCTCAGCGGTGTCCGTCTTGGAGTCAAGGACCTGTACGACCTAGAGGGCATCAAGACTGGAGCTGGAAGTCGCGCTTATTACAATATATACCCCGAGGCCAACGTAACTGCGGTTCCCGTCCAACGTCTGATTGACGCGGGTGCAATCGTCATCGGCAAGATGAAGACGACACAGTTCGCTGCGCCCGAGTTCGCCAGAGACGCCATCGACTATCAGGCGCCGTTCAACCCCCGCGGCGACGGGTATCAAGAGGTGGGCTCGTCGTCCTCTGGACCAGGCAGCGGCATGGGTTCGTATGAATGGCTTGATCTCGCTCTCGGATCCGACACTGGGGGTTCCATTCGAGTACCGGCTGAGGACAACGGTGTGTTTGGCAACCGACCTAGCCACAACAAGGTCGCTCTCACCAATACTGTCCCTCTGGGCCCGCAGTTTGACACCGCCGGTTTCCTTGTCCGCGATGCCAAGCTCTGGAAGACAGCGTGCGAAGTCCTATATTCTGATCTGACGACCAACTATACCAAATATCCCAGCAAGATCCTAACTTATGACCTACCATCCACTGCGACTGATAATGTCTCGAACCTGGTCGTCTCTTTTATTGACAAGCTCAGCAAGCACATCTCCGCAACTTCCTCAGCCTACAATTACACCTCGCACTGGTCCCAGACCCATCCCGCGGGCACCCCATCTGATGTCCAGGAATTTGTCGGCAACACTTGGGCGATTCTCACAGCCCAGGAGCAGATCAAGTTAGTCAAGGAGCCCTTCTTCAAGGCATACGCAGCCAAGTACAACGGCCGCCAGCCCTTCGTCAACCCATCTACCAATGGATCCTGGTCCTGGGCGGGCTCTCAGTCAAACCAGGTCGACGTGGCGGTCGCCAACAAGACCGTATTCATGGACTGGTGGAACCAAGTGGCCATGCCGCCCAACCGTGATTCCTGCTCGGACAGCCTGTTCCTGTACATGTTCAACAATGCGCAGCCCGCCTACCGCAACACCTACACGGGTGCTGCCATTGGTACCCAGGGTCTCGCGGGCGTGCTCCTCGGCCTCAACACGGGTTTCATCTCCCCAATGGCGGGCAACCCTGATTTCGTCGTCCCCATTGGCGAAGTTCGCTATAAGAGCACCGTCACTGCGCATGAGGAGAAGCTCCCCGTTTCTATCCGCATCATGGCCGCCCGTGGCTGCGATCTGATGCTGCTGGATCTCATCAACGAACTGGTTGGCGCCGGCATTATTCCGAAGGTGAACACTGGTGACTCTCTTGACGGAGGTCCTATCTATATTTAATATTAGAATTTAACCACCTTACTGAGAATGCAGCCTAAATCCTTATATCTCCTTCCTTTCCTCTAAGGTGCAGTGGTCCCCAAGCTGCCATAAAAAAACAAAGTTGTGCCCCCTCGACTACAGTAGCGACATAACAAATTGAGGATCGACTGCACGCCCCAGCCTGACTGACCATACAAAACTGAGGTCGTGCGCTCTGACAAAAACGAATTCGAGGTCATGCTACGGTGGTGATAAAAAAATTCAGAGGTGAGCTCACGCGCCCCAGGTTGACCATACAAAACTCAGGTCGCGCGCCCCTGGGCTAGCGAGAACAAGAAGTTGAGGTCGTGCGGCTGGTTGAACGCGCGCCCCAAGCTAGCCATAGAAAACTGCGATCGCGCTCCCAGGCAGCATTCAAGGCTGCACCTCAGTCTGACCATAGAAATTCAAGATCGTGGCCCCTATGCTACAGTAGTGATAACAAAATCGAGGAGTGAGGTTGCGCGCCTTCCAAGTTGACCATATAAAAGTGAGGTCGTGATCCCCTGGGTTCTGGTGGAAGTTGTGCGCCCCAGGTTGACCATACAAAAACGAGATCGCGCCCCCTTAGGCTAGGCGTCCAACCTTAATTTGTTTCAGGTTGCAATCCTGGGGCGCGCGAACATGATTTTCTATGGGCAGCCTGGGGGCACAATCTTGGTTGCTAGCCCAGGTCGCGCGCCCCAGCCGCACCATACAAAATGACGGTCGCGCGCCCCAGGCAGAAGCAGATCGACGGCAACTACTTCCAGACAAAGCCCTACCTAGATGTCTGCAACCGCAACCGCAAGACCGACCTAGTGAAGGCGGCGACACTGGCCTTCCTATCCGGCAAGGCCCGCCAGACCATCGCCCCGATCCAGCGCATCAATCTCGGCGTCGCTCGGCCCGATGTCCCTCAGGGTGCGCCCTGCGTTGCCGGCATCTTCCACGCCCAACACGCACTTCTCTATGTTAAACAGAACGGTACTGGCGATGCTGTAGGCGATCACCAGCGGTGGCGAGTCCAGGAAGACCTACTTCGTATACGGGTTGGTGCGGGCAGCAATGACATTACACGGTTTGGAGGTGTTAGTGCAGCTAGTAATGGCAGCAATGATCGCCGTGCCATCCAGCATCAGGCCATATGACTGCTCGGCTTAACCTGCTTCCAGCTTGGTCGTGTTAGTGATCCCGTACTCGGCCAATTCGGCTACCGGGAGGCGGCGATATGGGTCACTCGGACCGGCCATGCCGCGCAGTACGGTAGAACATCGCCGCGGTCGTCCTGGATTCCGAGCACATACTGGAGATGACAGTGCGGTCAATCATAGTCAGTGCTGTGATGCCCTCGTCGAACCAAGCCAGGCGCCAACCACGCGTTCATTGCGCAAGAACTTGGTTGGGGCCAGCACCACGTCGGTACTGATGATGCCCGGCCGCGGCTTGCCAGTCAGTTCAAAATCAACAATGTCAGGCAGCATTCAAGATGTGCCATTGAGCATGATATTCTCCGCCTCCAGCCCGGAGACACCGATCGCGATCACGCCCAGCGCATCAACGTGCGGGTTGTAGCTGTCGCCCACGCGGGGATCCGGGAAGCCGACACCGTACTGCACGTAGACCACCAGCGACATTTTCTCCAGGTGGATCTGGTGCATGATGCTGTTGCCTGGCGGGTCACGTCCACGTTCTGGAAGGCCAGCTTGGTCCGGTCGGCACGGTTCTTCTCGAATGCCTGCGGGCCGAGACCAACGCATTCCACTTCCAGCGAGTAGTCGACGATCAACTGCACCGGGAACGCCTCATTGACCTGCGTCGGCCGTGATGCCAAAGAGCGGCAATGGGTGATTGCCTGCTCAACGTCTGTGGCGCCATCGCCGAAGCTGCATTGAGCCCTGTTCCTGATCTCCTAGTAATCGCCCTCCCTTGATCGTGCACGCCCTCTGTGACTACTGCGAGCTGACATTGTTGATATCCTGGTCAACACCAAGGAGATGTACGAGCGAGCGTGCGCAAGGAGTTCCCCAGAATGTGAATGCCGCAGACCCTGTCAAGCTTGAGCATTACAAGGATGTTGGCCGCAGTGAAGGTGAGGTTTATCCCTGGCCTCCAGACCGAAGTACTTGTAATGAGGCTGTCTGCCAGCAATACCTTTGACACCGGTGCGCTGGCCGACCTTGGAAAATCAGGGTTGGTCAGGCATTGAGGTCGCGCGCCCAAGGCATGAGTTCGCGCGCCCTGAGCTAACGATAACGCTGCGATGACGCGCCCCAGATTGCCTGCAGAAATTGAGGTCGCGCGCCCCGCCCAAGCCAAAAAAAACCAGAATTGAGAGTCGCGCCCCCCCTACGATAGAACAAAAAAAGTGAGGTTGTGTGCAAATCAATCGCGCGCGCACCCCAGGAGGACCTACAAAATCGAAGTCGCGCCCCCTAACCAAGGACAAAAAAAGGTCGTAACGCGCCCTAGGTTCACTGTAGACAGTCAGGGTCGTGCCCAGGCTGGCAACAAGAAAAATTCTCCGGCTGACCAAAGAAAATCGAGGTCGCAACCACTGGCCGCACGACTGAGTTTCTGGTGTGGCTTTTACGATTCTTGCACCAGGTCGGTCGGCCTGGGGCGCGCGACTGGTTTTTTGGTGTGGGTCTGGGGCGCGTGGAGTTTTGCACGGATCTTTTCCAGGGCGCGCGACTGGTTCCTGGAGGTGATATGTCTTAATGAAAAAAAAAAAAACAAGAGACTAGGGATTGCAGAAGGCGAAAAGAAAGAACAAAAACATTCGAACGAAAGGCACGGAGGTCCTGTAGTTACCCTGTTAACCCTTCATGAAATGTCCAGTCTTCAATTCTCCTCGAGGGACTGCCGATGTTGTCCTCGTGTTCTGAGATAATCATAATAATGCGCATTCTAGCAAGGTACATCGCTGTTACCACTTGCCTCGTTTGCATAACACTTATCTTCCTATCTCTCTTCAATCTATGGCAATTCGGCGCTTGCAACGTCTTTCATTCCACGTGCAGCACTATACTCGACAGGGTGATTCCCGGTTGGACACATGATATACACCCACCTGACACTCGAACGTGGGTTCCAGGTCAAGGCTGGGTGGTAGAGTACCATGTCTCGCGAGAGGAACGACTGCGAATGCTAGAGCGCTTCGAAGCATGATGAAGTGCACTCCTTCGCAGGCGTCGAAGATAAAACGGAACTTGGTGCTAAGTCCGTCCAGAGAGCTGACCGACTTGGTCCTAAGAACATACTTATCTTCGACACAACGAACACGTCTCCATACTACGACGAAGTCATGCTATCGAAACATTGTTAGGGAAGATCATTGAAGTTACTGTGATAGTGCGTGTTGACTGTGAGAGAACTGTTCTCGGGTGTATAGTGTCTCCGTCTACGTTTTAGTAGGTTAATGTTAACCTACGAAGTAATACCACGACCTTTCATCTGAAACCTCTTAGTTTATCGTGGCAGACCGCGTGTCCTGAACTAAGATCAGGGCTGTCTTGGGTTTTTGCTGCCAGTAAAAGGCCTTTGGCAACGTTCCAACAACAGCCCAACTTCAGTCATCAAATATGGAATGGCACTTGTCATAGCGTTGTAGTGATTCATAGCCAGATAGTCACAGTCTCTATTGCAACTGGTACCAGTAATCTACATTGTAATAGTGTTGCGATGGAGTACTCTCAATCTGCACCTGGTGGTTATGTCATAGGGAGGGCCACAGTATCACCGGGTAAAGGGGCTTCCGCCCAGCTTGATTCGCACCGGATCAGCACTCTCCAAGTCCACAGACAACGGATTCGATACCCAAGACAATACATGTGTTGGGATTACATTTAATAACTTGACTGTACAGGCATTGATGCCACTATCTGATCAACAGACGCGCAGCTCAACCACAGTCGACACTTGGTTATCTCTATCACCATCCGTTATGGCTGCACCAAATCCTTTTGATTACGAGGCAATCCGCAACTGTATTGCTAGATACAGCATTGCACCGGACACCAAAAACTTTGCTTTGTTTAAGGAAGTCTTTGCTGAGGATGTCCAAGCTCAATATTCCTTTTGGGGGTGTCAATGGGCTTATGAGGAGCCCACAAGAACTGGGAGGTGCAATAGAGACAAGGTTCGTATCTCTGTCTTACGCTACACACATGTGTAAAACTGACCGACAGTAGGTTGGCCCCAGTGCAGACCCAGCACTCTCTGACAACTCAAACCATCGAGATCGATGAGACTGGCCAGTCTGCCGTGGCAACTACATATTTTGCCGGACTCCATTTTGGAGTTGGTAAATGGAAAGGCCAGCAAGTCTCATCATGGGGAAAATACGATGATCATATTGTACTAGTGCCAGGGAGGAAGGACATCCCGGGCTCGAGCGGGAAGTGGTTGATCCAGAAGCGGACTCTAACATTCATGGGCCGCTGGGGCGAGGAAGGCGTCATGCAAGAGGAGCAGTAAGCCGGGCAATTGCTTGCCGTCACCTTACGTCTCTAGACACTCAATATACATCCTGATACATCCTAAATGTCAAAAAGTCCAAGACAGGTTGAGCGCGGAGCTCGGTTCCACAAATACATGCCGTCAAAGTTTGTTGTGTGTGCGTTCGTGATCCACGGCAATTCCATTAACCGCGGAACCTCAGCCAAGCAGGGACATGTAGTCGCCCAGAGATTCCAAGATGCTTGAACACCTAGCCAGAGTCCTTAAAAGAGTATCCTCTGATGGTTTGTATCATTTCTAGAAACTTGCCTTATCTGTCGACAGAATTAATAGATGGCACAGCCACTTTTAAGTCTGACCCTCTTCCTCTGCTGCACTTTAGTGCAATATTATAGCCGACAAATCCGGCACCATGCTAAAACGGTCACGTCCATAGAGAAGGGAAAGACAGGATTGAAGTTCTTCAAAGACGACGGATGTGTTAGAGTTGCTTCCAGCCGTCTGGATGCTTACTAGTTTGCTAAAAGTGTTAAGTTTGTCTTATAGCACCGACTTTTATGCCAAACTGAAGGCCAACTTCACACCTACGAAGCTTCGGTGCGTCGTGGATGAATTGGGTTTATCAGAAGGATAAATAACCCTAACCCTAAGCCCCTGCCGTGTTGAGCCTGTCGCAACTATTTGTGTTGGCTCCAGAACGGCCCTGCCACCAACGTCAGCGCCAGCAGGCATGTAATTTCATGGTCTATTCTTGTAACTGGAGGAGCCGCCCGTCAAGAGGAAGCCAGGCGCGAAGCCCAAGTAGCTGCTGGTAGACACACCTGTTGGCTGTCAAACCCTTGCTGGTTGGGCTGAATGACTTGAAACACTGTTGTTATCAAATTTAGCGTCTTGAGCTGCTCTGGACGGTCCCATGTTTGGTCGCTTACACCAACGACACTAACAATCCAATCAGAGGTTCCCATAATTTTCCACCGGCGCCAGCTCGTCCTGACCAATTGCAAGTAGCACTTCCCACTCCATCACGATTTACGGCCCTGCCTGGCACTCGTTCATTGAGTGGCAATGTTGGTGATCAAGGCCCTCCACCGTGTGGAGCTACGATTACAGTCCCTGCCTAGACTTGATCCTTCCCTTTTATACTCAAGCTGTTTCACAACCCTAGAGATACTGACGTCGATCGGATACAGTTCTGCCACAGATGGATGAAGCAGGCCAACTCCCCCGCTAGTGTCACCTCCACGGTCATGGCACCCCTGCCACCCGTCCGGGGACGCCTTGACGACCACGCTTGATGGTATCTTTCGACTTGGTCCGACGGAAGCATTTGAATATTAAACTCTCCTCCGCGACTCGCGCATCGAGGCAGAGTTGACGTCGGACGATTGCGCGTCGTGGTGACCGGCGCGACCTTCTTTGGCGCCGAGTTGGGCTCCACGATCCAAATGGTACAAGTGCAACACAAGCGCATGGTATCTCCATTTCCGGGCAGTGCCAGTTGAAGCAACACTTCCGGTCCTCCAGCCGGAGACCTCTACAGGTCTGTGATGGGTCACTAGGTCTCGCGGGATTGTTGGTATTTAGCGCTGAGACCTCCGTCCTGCGCCACTATGGCACGCCTGGGGAGCGCTTGGCCGCTTCTCCAAGTCGTTCAAGGCGCTCTCGAACAGAAGATGGTCCGGCGGGCTGCTACTTCGGGCCGCTGGTTCGACAGACTGTTGGCTCATGCAAAACTTGAATTGCACAGTCGTATGGTTAAGAAAAGCTCAACAGTGGTCCGATCTGACTAGATTCAGGATGATGTTGTTAATTATGATCTCTCAAACGCGCGGTTATCGCATAGCCTCATGAGTCCCACCCGACCTGTTTCACACATGTATGTTAGTACGAAATCATCGTTGTCGCCCAAGCCCAACTGGTAGCCTCAACGCATATAAAGAGGAGCTACAAAAGTTCTGCCTGATGAAGAGTTCTCTATCCCAATTTCCCCAGACCTCTCCATCAACTACTCATTCCCACTTCTAATACTCGTATCTGGCTTTTATACACCCGCAGCGGTCTCTAATCTCTGCCTTCATCTTACTTCAAGTCCTTCAATCATCTCAGTAAGTACTTACCTATACTGTCTTTTCCTTCAAACAACCATCTAATTCATTTCCTAAAGATTCAGACACTCCCCCTCCATATTGAACATCATGTGTCAAATGACTCAGGTCATCTATTCCTGCGGCTGCCCCAACGGCTTCGTCATTATCGAACCGCGATGTCGGAGGTACCCCAGATGCGCCGTCACATATGTCCCTGATACGTATCTCAACTATCCATGCGACTATCACCGTCATCAGCGCTACTAAGCTGGGACGAGTAGGGGGGCGAGGAGGTAGACGAGGCCCTGATCGATTCCCGTCCTCTTTCTTATGTCTTGACTTCTCCCCTTACAAAATCCCTATTATCTTCTAGACCGCTGGCCGGCTACTTGAACAAGGATGGAGTGGATTCTGGATCAGGTTCTGGACTGTCGCTATCGACTATGTATTGTTACTTTGGCTTGTGTTTACCAATATCATTGACCGGGTTGGCCGCCTAATTGGCATCCACTCTTTGAAACAACGACCCATTATATACCAGCCATTATTCGTGGTGCTCAGAGTGACACTCACTTCAACCTCCTTTACTTAATGGAGCGCCCAACCATGCGGAACAACGTATTTGACACACCAACTCTTCCACTTACCAAGAGTCACAACGCCTGCAAAGAAAATCTACAGCACGCCTGCGAAATAAGAAAACAATAAATCTTGGTTTCATAGACAGTAATATACGCGCAGCAATGCAGTCTTATCGTGTAAAAAAGAATGGTTAAGCCAACGATTGTATTTGACACTACAGAGAGCAAGATACTCATTGATGATGTTCATCTCTATTATAGAGTCTGTTTCGAGACCTATGGAACTTGATTGGTATGATGATTTTGGCTAAAAAGATGTATGAGTATTACGTGGCTAAGATACGTAATTCAGGCTTTAGGGGTCGATCTATAGGGCTGTGTGATTGGGCAGTAAGTGGCCCTCGCACTAATTTGTTCCCATTAGACCAACACCAACCATTCTTGATAGGACTGCCTGCAACCAATACATTTTGCATACATCGGTCCGAGCTAAGCATGCAGATGCTGCATGACGCATCTAACCAACCAAATCAACAAGCTGCAGGCCTGCCCGGCTACAGCACACATGCGACTTTTGCAAGCTGCATGTTCTGAGCGGCACCGTGTCCGAGGCTGGGTAATTCGATAAGGACATAGTGGACGGACATGAATATAAAAAGACGGCCGAGTCCCTAAAATGTTCCCTCAGACAGTATGACAGAGGCTTTCCTCCTCGCCGGTCGAATTCTCAGTTTCTTCCAAGCTTTACTAAAAAATCGTCACCATACTTATTATCTTCTTCAACACTTGCCATGGCCTCGTCAGTCCCATTCACTGTTGAAGGTGCCCACCGGGGCTTGCCAAATGAGCCTATTCTGTATCGCATCCGTGTCCCAGCTCACGGGCCAGAGAACTCCCACCAAGGCCAGGTGATCAGATACCTGACCGCCCCTCACCCTCCTAAAGGCGCAAGCGGTATGCCCGACTATCGCGGCGAGCTCCTGACGTTCGACACGGTCCCCGCCGGAGACTGGAACCTCGGGCGTCTTGTTGCCACCGGCGGCAGCGTTGAGGGCAAGTTTATCCTGGGCTCGACTGAGACGGCGCAGTTGGAGGAGACTTCGGGGATGTTGGACGCTGGCCCTGCCTGGGTTGACAAAGAATTCAACCTTGTGGATCTGTTGGACGCTTATCACAAGGGCGATCAGGCCGATGATAGCCAGGATGACATTGCGCACATGCCCACCGACATACAGTGTATGAATCACGTCTCCGCTATGGTCCTCCCCACTCCTGAAAGCCTCGCCACCACCGTGGTAGAGCCCGAGGTGATTGGCGTCTGGGCATGGCAGCCAGGCCACGCACATGGCATCGCGGATGAGAGTCATATCTACTCTATCATTCAAGCCCGTGACCCAGGTATTGCGCCCCGGTTCCTCGCTCATATCACTGATAACGACACACGCGTGATTGGCTTCCTACTCCAGCGTGTAATGGGTGCTTGCGAGGCAGGAACAACAGACTTGGAGAAGTGTAGGAACATTCTCAGCCGCCTACATGCCCTGGGTATCGCCTATGGCGGGCTGCTAAAGAGACACTCATTCCTGATCTGTGATGGCAATGATACAGTTCTCCTCCAGGGATTTGGTGGTTCGTTTGTGACGACTGATCAGGAGGTCTTTAGCTGTGAGCTTAATAGTCTTGAGCAACTTCTAGCTTAATAACCATTCTATTATTGTAAGCAGATCAGAGGGCTGCTTTCATCCACTAGGTATTTAAGATCCAGGCCGCTCTCATCACGTCGATTCTTGCAAGACTAGATCGCCAGTTATGGCAGCACCAATACCAATGCTAAGTACGGCTATAGCCGTCACAGCAGACGACGCATTTACCAGAGCTCGTGAAGACTTCATGTCAGCTCCCTCCCTAAGTGAGCAGGCCAAGTTCGCATCCTGCTCGTCAGTGAAGGACGTCCTGAACGGCTTGAAGAGTTTCCAAACCCTCAAAAAGAACGCCAGACGAACCAAGACATGTATGGATAAAATCCATGCGCTTGGAGACAACCTTATGCCCTATTTTAAGATCATCGAGGTCTGCTGCACAGCGGCGCAACCATGGGGAAACATAGCATTTAGGTCCCTACTACTTGTCCTTAAGGTGTTTTAGAATCTCCCTGATATGGTTTCTCACACTGCTTACGAGAGATACTGACAAAAATGCAGCTTGCAGGCAACTTTACGACCTTCTTTGAGAAGTTATGCGACTGGACAGACGCCCTCAACTCGCTCCTGCCGCGATACCAGGGAATCTATGATTGCCTGTGCCATAGACCTACCATTATCAGTGACAGGCTTTGGAATTCATTCATAGACTTGTATTGCAACCTCTTTCAGTTTTTCACTGCTGTGGCGCGCACATTTTCGAACCGATACGGTAGTACGTATTTTTCTTGACTCGAAGACTAAGGCGTCAATGCTGACTTTCGAACACCCGTTCTTGTGGCAAGCCTTGTGTGGAAGCCATTCGATGCCCGTTTTCAAGCGGTCACGGAAAAAATCAAATTCCATGCAAAAATCGTTAAGGAGGAACTTCATTTCGCTTCCCTGGACCAATTTCAGGCCACCCTGCAACAGGAAGCTCAGCGCGCAGATAAGGCACAGCGTGTGTTACGTGAAGCTATGGATGAGAGAGCGCAAGTCCGGGATCAATAAGCACAGCGTATGTATTCTGTGATCTCTAGTGTTGTCTAGACTTGAACGCCATTGGGTTCTAACCATCACATACATGTAGGTCTTTTTGAAAACGGGGTCACCAGTTGGCTGGATCCGCCCCATTACAAGGACAGCTTGGAGCAAGCACGTCAGGAAAAGATGGAAGGAACCGCAGAATGGCTCTTCGAAAATCCTACAATGGAATCCTGGATGAATTCGGGCGTGCAATTCACTGAGACATGCCAAGACACATCTCGGCAGCGCCCGGAGTCACTTCTCTTGATTGATGGTGAGCTGGCTTCCACCCCCCACAAATGAAAGGGAAGCATTAATTTCGAGTATTCTGCAGGGAACATGGGCTCGGGGAAAACAGTGCTTGCGAGTTACCTGATTGACACGCTGGGCCATGGGGCCAGCGCTGGAGATTTCCCACCTGAGGTTTGTTACTACTTCTTCTCGCAGAACTCCGATGCTCGCAATGGCAGCAACACATTGTCGGCATGCTACCGTGCAATAGCGTCGTAGATTTTCCACAGGTTTCACAACCTCGAAAAGATTCACAACATCTTTACGTTCGCAACAACTGGAATATCTACGGACCCTCATGCCTCGGAATCAGAGATAGTAGAAACCATTGCACAGTGCCTGCCGCATTTGCCCGGCCTCTACTTTTGCATTGACGGCATAGATGAGTGCGCGCAGAATTCGAAACTCATAAGTCAGCTTTCTACATGGTGTGCGCACTCTCCAGTGCGGGTTGTCCTACTCAGCCGGCCTAACGTGGCATGTCTACTTCATTCGATCCGGCCAGATCGGCGCATTCGCCTCACCAGCGATATGCTAAACCGCGATATCCGCATGTACCTGTTTACTTGCATACAGGAGCTGGTGGAGCAGCATCTTCTTTCTGACGACATTGACACCGATAACATCGTTCTGCACCTGACGAGACGCGCAGAGGGCATGTTCCTATGGGCGCGCTATTTGCAGTTGCTAGCGATGACATGTGCACAGCGACTTGGAATAATTATGAGCTCTAACCCTCGAGGCTTACATGGCCTCGATGAGATGTATAGCAAGATACAGGCTCACATAGAGACCATGGACGAGCATAGCCGCAGCCTGGCTTGTCGGGCATTTGCTTGGGTAGCTCGGGCGTCTCTTACTTCTGCCGAGCTCAGAGAAGCCCTATTCCCAGATGGATGGGACATAGAAGACAGCAGCACAGTCAAATTTGAGCAGACCCTTGTCGTTGTCAGCTGCGGCCTGCTGGAGCAGTCTATAAACGGCTGTTTCCGGTACATTCATCTTACGGCCCTGGATTACGCAACACGGGATAGCTTGCGCGGCGGTCTATCGACAGGTATCGTTCCAAAAGCATACCAGGGAGAGTCTGTTCTGGCGGCTGCGTGTATCTCTTACCTGTCGTCGAAAGTACCAGCCCGGCCATTGTCCGGCCAAATGAACATCGACACCAAGAAAGACGACCTCGTCAGAAAATGGCCCCTCCATAAGTTTGCCGCTACAATCCGATTGTGCTTGAATGCTATGACAAGGGACACTATTCCGAAGCAATTGGCACGGAGAAAACACATGGCCGAGCTAGGAGTAAGCTTTGTTGAGAATCAACTGGCTCTGATGGCGTGGATCGAGGCAATTTGTACGTATCGCGTCCGTGTGAGTGAGTTGCTTCCCACGATACCCCAATTGGGAGAAGGAACCCTTGATAGAGACGAGCTGCATCTCTTTATCGAAGTTTAAGGCCTTATCAACGACCTGGCCTCTCTGGACTCCAGTTGGGGTAACATTCTACACCAGAGCCCGTCTGAAATCTGGGGTGACATCACTGCATTTACCAAGAGCCGATTCTTCCGCAATACATCGGCCGCTCATATACAGCGTTTGGCACCGGAACTAGAACGAAATGAAGACGGTGTGTCAGTCTGCACAGAGAATGCTATGTTCTCAGTCTCTATGTGCAATTCCGATGCAAGCCAGGTTGGTGTTCTCAGTGTGTTCCCCAACAGATCCTTTCGTGTAGGCTGGGAGAACAGACGAGACATACCATGCCATGCAGACCCTCTGGAATGGAAGAGTGCTGGCCAGCTTCGCCTTCCGTCCGCTCCTAAAACAACAGCAGATTTCACAGAAACTTCAAACGGGTGGCTTGCTACCTATGAAATCTTCCGTGTACTCGAGACACATAGTGAAAGCACTGCACTGCTTACTGTCCATCTGGACGTAAGAAATATTGAAGTCTGCCTCCGGCAAAGCCTTCGGTTCTCGCCGCTTGGGACCTGGAAGTGCTCATTTCCTCTAGCTATCTCCCCTAGCCTGGACAAATTCTCCATTTTCACCGACATCTACCACCTCTCCGCGGACAATAAGGCCTACACGACCACTTTCATTGTACCTGATTTCCACCCGAAAATCCAGCTTGCCTGGGCGTCCAAGACGAACTTTGCGGTCTCCTACTCGTACCTCCTCTATTGGAGCGAGGACTCTCGCTACGTGGCTTACATAGACAGTGATGGCCCCGGAACCTGGAATGAATCTATTTGTATCGCCATATTTTCAGTCCACGACAGCACGAGCAGCCCCAGACTGGTTAACATCACAACCGCGTCTTCCATGGGCATAAAAAGTAGCGATTGTGCTTTTCATCCATGCCGTTGCATTTTTATGTACCAAACAGCTTTCGCCACCTACTTGTGGCATTTTGATCGTCGTATGTCTATCTTCATTCACGGACCTGAGGGTATCGTTCCACACACTGCTAATTCTTTTTGCCTTGTTAGCTGAGTCACAACCATATCAGTTTCATCGGGCTCCGTTGACAGGACTCAACATCAGATCCTGCATATCATTTTCACAGTGCGGCCAGTACGTTGCCATTGCTCACCAGGGCCAGCCACGGCCTCAGTACTTGGCACTCCCAGAGAGGAACAGCAACTTGAATATGAGTATGAAGCGGTATTTTGGTGAAGAGCACGAGATGGCCGGGTCACAAGTGCAAAAGAGACAAAGACAAGAGGATGATGTCGACAGCGAGCGAAAAGAAACCCGAATCGCAACTCTCGGGTTCTGTTTGCCGGCACCTGTGATTTCATCCAACGCAATTGTTACCTGCGATTCAGCATCAGGCACAGCTGCATCGGTGGTTCAGGCTAATACCGGAAGCGTTGTACTTGCTTCTATGACAGAGGAAAGCATGCGGATTGTGCCGCTCCTCAGACTTCCTAACGGGCTTCCTACCGTGTCCACCATACCGACGGTGTCCTTCAACTCAGTACATGACAACACCACTGTTGGCCAGTGTAAAGTGATTCTCACAGCTGCACCAAACACAGTCTACAAAAGCGATAAGAGAGCGGCTGTCTCTGAACTGCCTCTCGTGGCTTGGAAGGATATACGGGCCCTGCGAGTAGAGCGCATACCGTATAGTCTAGAGCGGACAAGTATGACAGAAGACAACTGATTTTTGGAGGGGAGAGATGGGAAATCAGGTGTTGTGATATCTTTGTCAGGATTTTGCATAGTTGACAAATTTGCATGTGGATGGAAATTGATGAAGATGACTTCCATAGTAGAGCATTTGCCCTAAACCTTCAGATATACAGTAGTTGTGGCGCGAGACCTTTTGATTCCCTTTCTATGGATTGACAGCCTGTGCATCGTGCAGGACGATAAAGACCAGCTTCAAACTCGCCCATTCTCTCGCTGTTGTCGTCAAGGGGATACACCGTGTTGAGTGGGTACAAAAGGACGTGCAGAGCAAAATGCGATCTTCTTCCCTCTCCCGGCAAATCAAGCTCAAGCGGGCGAGGTCCGGAGATTAGGTGGCGGGCCTGGCCGACCCCTATGTCTTTGGTTTCGAGGTATCACGGCGAAAGGACGAAGAGACAGACCTGACATCGGACTTCAGTTTGAAGAACAATGCCTATCGCCACCGCAGCCGATAGGAGAAGCCTTGTATCCTTGAACCCGTTGCTTGCAGACCAGCCACTAACAATGATTTTCTCTTGCAGGGCGCCGTGTTGCTTGAGCTGGTCTGCTGGGAGTCCATATTCAGGATTAAGTTCAAGAACCTCAAAGGCAGAACCACTGTCAGCCGGAACCACTCAGGAAAGATATGCTGAAGTCGGTGCGCGAGGTAGTTCCGCACTTGATGGGGCAGTCTTTCGCGGCGGTATTTGAGACATGATGAAGTGACACAGAGGTTCGCCCAGTTTCAGATTCATGAGGGGTTTAAAGAGAAGGTGGTAGCAGTGTTGAAACGTTTAGTGATTGCAGGTGTTTAGAAGAGCCAAGGCACATCTTAACTCGTTGAGCTGAAACACACTTACAGAAGATGGCCATCTTTCCATGGTCTTGTGATTTGACACCCTTTTGCTTTTCAAGAAACTAGCCACAGTAGGTGCTCATTTCCTGGCTTTAGGAGGAGCCTAGGAAGGTCCCTGATGTAAATGAGAAGGAAGACGGCCTTCACCACCTAGTAGAAAAGCACTTCTCTCAAGCTGAGCTGTCAGCTGCTGCAGTCTTGTTGAACCCTGTCAAGTTCAATACTGTTGTTTCTGTTTCCAGGCGGCTGATGTTTCCCGATGCAAAAGTCCGCGCGCCCCGCCGCCTCCAGGAACCACACCAAAAACCTAGTCACGCGCCCTAGAAAAGATGCGTGCAAAACTCCACGCGCCCCAGACCCACACCATAAAAACCAGTCGCGCGCCCTGGAAAAGATGCGTGCAAAACCCCACGCGCCCCAGACCCACACCACAAAAACCAGTCGTGCGCCCTGGAAAAGATGCGTGCAAAACTCCATGCGCCCCAGACCTACACCATAAAAACCAGTCGTGCGCCCAGTTCTTATTGCCAGCCTAGAGGGTGCGACCCTGATTGTCTACAGTGAACCAGTGAACCTAGGGCGTATGTGACCTCAATGCTTGGGATGTTGTGACTTTGTCCTTGGTCAGAGGGCGCAGCGACTTTGATTTTGTATGGTGCCTCTGGGGCGCGCGATTGATTTGCATACAACCTCACTTTTTTTTATTCTAGTGTAGGGGGGGCGCGACCTTAATTCTGTATGGTGCCTCTAGGGCGCGCAATTGATTTGCGTACAACCTCACTTCTAGTATAGGGGGGGCACGACCTCAATTCTGTATGGTGCCTCTGGGGCGCATGATTGATTTGCGTACAACCTCACTTCTAGTATAGGGGGGGCACGACCTCAATTCTGTATGGTGCCTTTGGGGCGCATGATTGATTTGCGTACTGTTGGACCAGTGATTGTGTGTATTGTTCTGTTCCCCCTTCTTTCTGTTGAGGAGGCTGGTTCTGTGGGATCTCTAGGGGAATCTAGTCTGAAAATAGCCTAGTGTGACTTTATATCTTATATCTAAGGTATGAGGTGCATTTTATAGAAGCACTGCTTAGTTATATAATTATATATTATATGCTTAGATAAGCTAGATCTATATGCTAATTAGAATCTAGTTTAATATATCTCTCTAGATTGATCTTCTTCTAATCAGTCTATACTTCTATTTATAGAGGTAAGATTTATTTCTTATCTTTTAATCTTATTTTCTAAAGATAAGTTATAGATAGTCTATATATATTATATCCTTCTAATTTAATATATTCTAAATAATTTATTATAATAAGATCTATATCTTAATTATTATAAGGTTAAAGCTCTTTTTCTTAAATTCTTCTTTTCTTCTTTTCTTTTTAGATAATAGTACTACTATAAGTACCCCCTCTAGCTTAATAAGAAGCTAAAGAGAAAGTAAGAAATTTCTAATATAATAATTTATAGATTAATACTATATTTATATAGATATCCTTACTTTTAAGCTTAGAAATATAGTTTTAAAGCTTAAATTCTAGTTTTAGAGTACTAATTAGGATTTAATACTATTACTTCCTCTATTAGTACTACTAGTACTACCCCTACTACTTCTACTCTTCTTTTTAATAGAGATAATAAGTAAGTTTATTTTAAGCTCTATTTCTAGGAAATAAGATATTAATTTAAGTTTAGTAACTCTAATAGTAGTAATAAGAAGCCATCCTTAAAGTATCCCTATATCTCTATCTCTAAGAATAAGAAGAAAGAAGAAGAGGATAAGTCTAAGAAAGAGGATAAGTATATAAATTTAAGATTTTATTTAGAAAAATAAGCTGTTAATTTAGATTTAAAGATAATAAGCTTAAGGATCTAGCTTAAAAGCTAAAGTAATATATTACTAAGGCCTATAAGGCTACTAATAAGCAGTATACTAAGAATAAGAAGGCCTTAGACTGTTATACTACCTATACTACTAAGGCTGTTATTTAGTATGTTTTATAGTTTATTTTCTTATTTTAAGTCTTATCTAACTATTTTATAGTACTAAATCTAAGAGGATTTCTTTTTATCTAGGCTATACCTACTCTACTCTTATAAGAAAGAGTGATAGCTAGTACTATACTATAGAGACTATAGGTATATATTATAAACACTATATCTAAAGAAGCTACTATAATCCTATATATAAGTATCCTTTTCTTAAAATAAGCTTTATTTTACTAATTTAAGATACTAATCTAAGAGATATGCTTTTAATTATTCTATTCTTTTTAGATTTCATCTAGAGCAGCTCTAAGGACAACTACTAAGATAAGAAGATAAGTTATATATTCTAGATATAAGTTTTATTTTATTGATTTAAATCTCTATTTAGAAGAAGAAGAGATGTTATACTATAGCTAAGGTTGTTCTAGCTAGATACTAGAAGGATATCTTTTCTTATACTAGTAATTTTTATCTTATTTAGATAAGATATATTTATTAATTTTAAATCTTATATCCTAAAATAGATACTTATTTATTTTATCTAGTCTTTTCTACTATAGATAGAACTCTTACTCTTATAGCTTAATAAAAATTACTTCCTACTAGAAATCATTATACTATTTACTATAAATAAGTTATAAATATATAAAATATAGCTTATTTTCCTACTTATATAATTTAAAGGTCCTATAGAATTTTATTAAGTAAATACTCTTATAGGTCTATTATTCTTTAAGCTTTAATTTTCTTCTATATATTAACTAGTTCTAGCTACTAGTAGCTCTTAATAAACTATTTATCTTATAATATCTTAGTTAGACTATTAGTAATTATCTTTAAGCTTTATTTATAGGAAATATAGATTATTTTCTATTAGATATACTCTCTTAGCTAATAGTTATAGATATCTATATATTTTAGCTTGGTTTTTAGCTTTTCTATAGCATTCTCTAATAGGTTAATTATCTGCTGATTATTATAGTAGAGCTTTAGAACTAGGTTTTAAAGCTTGATCTTTAGATTATAGAGTAGTCTCTACTAAAAGAGTCCCTTTTTTATAGCTTAAGTTAGTATTAGAAGTTTGACTTCTATAGTAGAGGTAGTAACTATCTCTTACTTACTAGCTCTCTAGCTAATAAGACTGTTAAATAGTCTTATTATATAGGCTTATAAGCTCTTTCTATTAGCAGTATTATTAGTAAAAGATGTATTATTATAGATTACTAAATTATCTCTATCTTTAAGTTATAAACTAAGGAAATAAGTATTAAATATATAATATAGAGCTTGATTTACTGCTTTTATATATTCTAGACTAGGATTTATTAGAAATCTAATAAGTCTTAATATTATAAAAGCTATATTAGATTAGATATGTTACAGAATCAGCCGCCGCTACCGCGGGACACTGCCCCAAGGGCGGTCAGCACGATAAGATAGGCAGAAACGCACGGACCGCTGGATCACCCTGGAGTACGGTGATCCATCGTGAGGGATCA